ACATTTAATCAATTAACAGATTTCGGCACTCTTGTTACTTGCTTGCAGTATTTTTAACAATTGTGTCGTTCTTTTAATGTAATGAATATGTTTACTTATTAAATGCTTGGACTTCTAATATATCAACTTGAATACAGTATTACAGAAGGATGCTTAGATGAGTCGACGTGAGTATGCATGGAAAAAATGTGTTTAAGTAAAATGTCGAAACAAGTCGCAATATAATAGTCGGGGAGCGCTGTTGATTGCAGGCGACGAGTCTTGCATTCCTGCCACTAAAATATTTTTACTTGGTGTACAAGTAGATGGCAACGATGAGACCGTAGAGACCCAATACTTCTGCGAAGATTAGAATCAAGATCATACCGACAAACAGACGAGGTTGTTGAGCGGTACCTCTTACACCCGCATCACCAACAATACCAATGGCAAATCCGGCAGCCAGCCCAGAAAAACCTACGGCTAAGCCAGCACCGAGGTGAATAAAACCCCTGGTAAAAAAAGAAAAAATATGCTTGTTAGCTATAAGAAAATATAGTAACAGTCAATTACATAGAAACATACTAATGTTAAGTAAAGCAGAAAAATTAAAATCAATGAAGTCCCAAATTGATTAGCACATTGACTGCTACATGTTACCCATATTGTTAAGATCTTTTACAGTTTCTTAATTGGATAAACCTCTGATGTAAATAATTCTGTGATATAGAAATCTGGATATGAGCTCAAGAATATGTGAATATAGAAGATCTAAAAATTATAAACATAGATCTCTATGTAACACATACAGACACACATACACACACACATGTTGCTTTTATAGCATAGTTTTATAGTAAGTACTTTTAGTTACGGATAATAGGTGCAATAAAATATTATGAAATTGATAGATAAGACTTGTTAACTATAGAAGTACTACCCAATGCAAGTTTTAGTAGATTCAGCATGGCAGTCAACATGTTAAGCAGAATATATATAGATAAGCATTATTAACTTTTTAATAGCAATCAATTGTAAATATTATAGCATACAATATTTAACTTCAATATTTTTCAGCATATGCTAGATAAGCAATATACATTATGTTCTTCCAAAATCAATTTATACATTTCAGTGGCCATAAGTAATACTCATGTAACAATGATATCTTATAAATAACAATATGAATATGAAAAGAAAATAACTCTAAATTTTTTTGTATTGCACAAGATTATTGTACTACCATCACCTTTAGCTACTTTTAATACAAATATGAAAATTAAGAAAATTATAACATACCTGAAAAGAGGGTATTGGTCCGCTGGTTTCAATTCACCAGAAATAAGAACAGCTACTACGAGACCATAAATGGCAATGATACCAGCCATAACAACAGGAATGATAGATTTCATGATAAGTTCTGGCCTCATAACAGACATTGCTGCAATTCCTGTACCTGACTTTGCTGTGCCATACGCTGCTCCTAGAGCTGTAAGTAAAACAAGTATGACATTGTATTTATTTTGTTCATAAACATCTATCGATAAGAAATTGAAGGTGTAATATTAAGAACCATATCATAACATAAGGTACATCATCTATAACTTATAGTATCTCATATATTTCTCAGAAATTATAATCTTGAATCATTCTGGATGTTTTATAACAACTTCATGTGTATTCATGAATACTTCATCGGATTTAATGTGATAAATTATAACCAGTATGTTACTAAATCTTACTTATTCAAAATTAACATTATTTGTTGAATTATTTACATGATTTTATTAATGTTAGGATATAAATTTGAAATGAAACAAAGATATTTTAGGATAACAAATTATCAATTAGATTAATCTTTAATTTGAATAATTGTTAATTTAAATATGATTTTACTTTGATTATACGTTATTTATTATTAAAAAATCTTTGAATAAACAATTATTCATTATTCTTGAATAACTGCTTATTCGAAATTTATTTTTAAAAGTTATTTGAATAATACTCAACTCTATTTTAAATCTTCCTATGTAATAAAAAATTTAATAGATTCCTGTAGTTCATTAGAAATATTACTCCCGAACATTGGGGGACTATCGATCTCGTTTAATATTGATCTTGATGACGAGGTCACGGACCCGATTTCAACAGAATTATTCAATTTTGTGACTGTTTTCATTGACATATTTCGAACTTCGAAATAGACTCGAAAAGAGAACATTTTTCCAGTCATGTTACGAGGAATTATTCTGCCGAGACTGGAAATCGTAGTCACATGATTTTCACGTTGGCAGTCACATGATTATCATGTAAGTCCCATCCCGTGAGTAGGGGGCGTGGCACAAACGGACAATCATATTTTCTTTTCGCTTAAATTTCGACTTTTTATTCGATTGTTACAGAAAAGTTAGTGCATTTAAATTAAACAGGACAAAAGAACACTGGTTACGTGTGATAAAAGGCGCGCGAAAACATAGAAACGTTAGATTTTTTGACGAATAGGATTTGTTCGAAACTGAAATGAAGATTTTACATGCATTCAAAAGTTCTCATGCTTTTGCTTCGTAAGTCAAGCCTTCCTCGTGTGTCACCGTCCATTCAAGACTGGCGCACACGGGAAAAGGGATTCGTATTGATTTCCTTGATAGGGACTGACGCTTCAAAGTTTAAGTTTTCGCGTCTCAAATACTGTTTGTCTGTTACACTCAAGAATCATTTAAACAGAGATCGATAGATAATATCGATTATCTCAAAAATCAAGTGGAATCTTCCGTTGATTCGTAAATCCTACATTTTCTCTACCCGTCAGCCAATACCAGACTTTTACTAACAAGTACTCAACGAGGTCAGCATTACGAAATAACCGTACCCAGCCTCGAATGTCGTGAACATACTTCGATAAATCGAACCGGAACCCGCGACGATTATCGAGGGAGGCACCTGTTCCAGACCAGTTATTTAAATATAATGTGTATGAAAATAAGAAACAATGAGAGTTAATTGTTTCATTTGTTTAATTCATTCTTCCTGAAAGAACGACATTTAAAAGTCATCCCATCCATCTTTGTTTATTTATTGGCCCTTTAATATTCTTTTCATTTATTAGTATCTTGTGCCAAAAACACACAATCACTCCCCCCATCTTTAGACGAATCGTGCCCAATATTGACTTTACTTCGGGTACCGGTACAGCCTATACGGCTAAGCTCGTTGGTAATAAAATCTAATGAAATTATATTTGTTTCGATAATTAATTGGTATATTGATCGTTGATCGTGCCTAAGACAAAAGCTGCGGCCATACAATTTCAGAAAGTAGTAGGGATAATGATTGGGACGATTAACGAGACAGAAACCGCGACCGTTAAAGAGGTAGTACGATACAATTCTCTCGTAATGTAAAATTAAGTTCGTTGGATTGCGTAGCGTCTACTGAACATTAAGAAATTCTCGATGTACATGTCTAAAAAACTAGCGTTTCAAAATTGAATCTGTATCCTTGACATGTTCGGCACTTCGGATTAGAACACACCTGTATCGCTAGACATACATCACAATGTAATAGATTTGACAATGACAAAAGGTATCGCAAACCATTTTATAGAATTATGAAAATTCGGTGCGCGTTTATCTTTACTGATAGTTTTACGTTGTTCATGATTGATTGTCGAAGAATTTATGAGTCATACGCGTAATAAGCAAATCAAGACGGATGTTACAATATACCATTGTACAAACGAAATTAGTTTATCCTCTACATTTATTCTGTTTTCTATATTTTATGTCGATTCGTAGCAGAGAAAATGGCGTGCGTACAGTCGAGTTAACCAAGGTTAGGTGCATTTTAAAAACCGTATTTTCTCTACACCACGATAGAGTTTTTGCCATACGAGTTATTGATAACAGCACTCGTACTCTCTCTCACCAAATGTCCAGGCCAATTACAAACAATCGAAACTCACCAGAAAATATAATGGCTGAGGCGGCGCCCATCACTCCAAAGAAGGGCCCGTAAAGAGGATTTCCTGAATCGCCCATTGTGATGTGTTTTAAGACTCGTAGGTCAATTCGATCACGAGTATTTACAGGTTGTCGAAACGCGAACGTCGAATCAAGAACGATCTTCACGCACTCACTTCGCTAAACTAGTGCCACTGTCAACTATGGCCTACCGTACAGGAGTGCGGGTCATGTGACGAGTGACGGCCGAGAGAAGAAGAAGAAGCTGCCGAAAATCGAGAATGTCCGTTCGCTCGTTATTGGCTGGCGAAGCTGTAGCCTATGGTTGCCAGCCAATTACGAAGCGTCTTTCATCTTTCGTATGTGACGTCAAGCTCTCTTATTGGTTCTCCACTTGAGCACTGCGCAGCGTTATTGCGCAAGCTTTTGCTTTCCTGAGCGCGTGACGGGCGTTTTCTATATTTCTTCACGGTTTATTGAAATTTTTATGACTTTAACATCTATAAAAATACATTAAATATTTCTTTAGATATAATATATATTACGTAAAAGCATTGTATCGAAGTCGCATAATGATTTGAGGTTATTTGTTTAAATTCTCGTGAACACGTGACTGAATTCAAATGCTGCCGAACCACTGTATTTTCAATTTAAAAACCAGTAATTACTATGACGATTTAAAGATTACTTATATTATGAAATTTAAATACTTTTTTGATGCTTTTACTGATGTAGCACCTGAACTCCTTAAAATGACCTTATGTTCAGTCATAAAAATTAGCGTTTTAGTTAATGTTACTATTTTATAGTACAATTTCTATTAAACAAATAAACTTTAACCGCTTAAGGTTTTAATGTATAAATAAAGAATTGTATAATGTATTATTGTTTTATATAAATTGTATCGCAATTTTATAACAATGTTTATAATAAAATTATGAAATACATAACAAATTCATTAATTTTCTATTATTATATTCGTTTTGGAATTTCTGATACATGTTTTGAGTCAACATTTTAATTTTAAACACGTGCTCGAACTTACTGACCGGAAGTAACGTTCAGCGGTCTTAATATACTTGATTCAAACACCATAATAAACGTGCTCAATGAAATTGACAGATTTTAATAGCGATTATCATATGAGTATACACTAAGTAATCATGAAATTTGCATATAAGGTAAAAAAATATTGTAAACAAGGAATTTCTTAAATAAATGGTTGGAAAACGTATAATTATTGTCAACATTATTTGTATAATGTTTCTAACCTATTTCAGTAGAGTATTTCTCCTTCCAATATATATTATATTTATTAAATTATGAATCTTTTGAAATTTTGATATATACCACATAGTTTTATAGTCTTGAATTAACTTAATAACTATATACTATATGTAATTATTAAGTTTAACAATTAAACTAATATTAGAGTATTAGTGTAAAATGTGTATTAACTGTTTCTTATAGTTCAATAATCTGCTTGGAGCAGTTTATCGCAAAGGAAATTTAATATTTACTCCAGATGGATCAACAGTTATTAGCCCTGTCGGGAATCGGATAACAGTATATGATCTTAAAAAGTAAGCCTATTAAATATAATATCACAAAGAGATTTGTTTTGATATTTAAATATAATAATTATGACACTATTAACAGTAAATGAAATAAGTTTTTAACTATTCTTTCCAGTAATAAGTCAAATACATTACCTATAGAGAGTACTTATAATTATACATGTATGGATTTGTCTCCAAATGGTACTTTACTAATTGCAATTAATGCAGGTATGATTTGATATACTAGAATAAGTCAACAGTTCTGTGTCTGCGAATAGTGTTTAATTTATATATTTGAAAATTTTTTTCAGTGGGTGAAGCATATATAATTAGTATGATGAGTAAGAGGGTAATACATAAGTATCATTTCAAACAACGTGCGAGATGTGTGAAGTTTTCTCCAGATGGTAAACATTTTGCAGTATGCAAAGGACATAAAGGTATGTTTTTAGTACAACTCATATACATGCAGCAATATAAATGATGTTAATAATGGTTTCAGTATTTATATTCAATGCACCCAACTTATATTCGTGCGAATATAATCCATTCATCATGGAACATGTATTTGCTAGAGCTGTAGCCGATACAACTTGTATTGATTGGTCTTATGATTCAAAACTCATAGCTGTTGGTTCCAAAGATATGTCTATAAAAGTATATGGAATAGAAAAGTTTGAGAACTTTAGGTCTCTTAGTCTTGGTAGCCACTCTCATGTGATAGTAGCATGTTTCTTTGAGAAGAAAAGTTATGATCTGTCTACAATTAGTAAGTAAGTATTTTAAATTCAATCAGTATAAAATTACTTTATTACAATATAATTATACATTTATTGTGAAGAAATGGACGACTTTCTATTTGGGAGTGTACAATTGATCCAGACGATTTAGTACAATGGGAACCACACACTAAAAGAGATAAAAAAGATGATAGTGACACGGAAGATGATGTTGATGTTGATAAAGCCATAGAGAAAACAGACAAACAAATCAAAGCTTATGAACGCAATTTACAACAATCACGTAATTTTTTTGTAACAGTATATTTTTACCAATAAAAATATTATATGAACAGAAATTGTAAAACATATAATATGGTTTATGTTTCAGAAAATTCAGTTGAAGCAGATCAGGATAATAATTCTGACAATGATACAGACGTTAAAAGATTACGTTACAAAAGATTATCTCGTCATTATTTGGCCAATATAGTTCAAAAGGAGCAGAAGGAGGTAGTAAAACTTACTGCTGCTGCATACCACAAAGAAACTTCTATTCTAATAGTAGGCTTTAATAATGGTTCATTCTATTTGTACGAAATGCCTGAAGTAAACATGATACATTCTCTTAGGTATTTTTATATACATTAGCATTGATCTTTTTTTACTACATGAATATATACTTTAACAACGTATACCTTTATTATCTTTTTCAGTATATCACAGCAATATATTTCATCAATTTCTGTCAATTCAACTGGTGATTGGATTGCTTTAGGATGTTCTACTGCTGGACAATTATTAGTATGGGAATGGCAAAGTGAAACTTATGCAATGAAACAGCAAGGACATAGTAATAATATGAATTCTATAGCATATAGTCCAGATGGTCAATATATTGTTACTGGAGGTGATGATGGGAAAGTGAAATTGTGGAATACCATGAATGGGTTTTGCTCTATCACATTTCATGAACATACATCAACAGTAACAAGCGTATTATTTAGTCATAACAGAAAATTTATTGTTTCTGCATCACTTGATGGAACTGTTAGAGCATATGATTTAGCAAGATACAGAAATTTTAAAACTCTTACTTCACCACGACCAGTACAATTTTCCTGCGTCGCATTGGATTCAAGTGATGAATTTCTTGCCGCGGGAGGTCAAGACGTCTTTGAAATTTACCTATGGAGTCTCAAACTGGGAACTCTTTTAGAGGTATATGTTTAAGCATATCAGTATTTAAAGGTATAAGTGTTCCGTGTATTATTTAAATATAAATTTGTTTGTTAGATATTAAGCGGACACGAAGGCCCGGTTGTCAGTTTAGCATTTAATCCAAGCATCACAAGTACAGAATTAGCATCTGTTTCCTGGGACAAAACTTTGAAAATATGGAACGCAATTGAAAGTGGTTCAGCGCATGAAACAATACAATTAACTTCAGATGGTTTATTTGTTATTTATAAACCCAATGGTGAAGAAGTAGCAGTTGCTACTTTGGACGGACATATTTCATTTTTTAATTGTAAAACTGCGGGACAAATTGGTAGTATTGAAGGAAGAAATGATTTAGGTAGTGGAAGGTCCGCGACCGATCTGATTACAGCAAAGAAAAGTTTACAAGGAAAGTAAGTATATTCATGAGTATGAAGTAACATCTTATTGTAACTAAACAAATTTTATTTATTAATTCAATCTTACATTTAGAGCGTTCACCTCCTTATGTTATTCAGCCGATGGCACGTGTATATTAGCCGGAGGACAATCAAAGAATATATGTATTTATAATGTACAAGAATGTATGCTGGTAAAAAAATTTGTTGTAACACAAAATAAATCATTAGATGGTGTTACTGTAAGTTACTTTCATATTGTTAAGTTTATTATTTCTTATTTAAGAATTGCGTCATCTTGTATACATCTTATTTTGTGTAGGACTATATAAATAAGCGAAATTTAACAGAATTTGGAAATAAGGCATTAATTGAAAAACGTGGGGCAAACGAAGGAGGAAATGTATCGTTAAAGTTACCGGGTGTTAGAAGTGGAGACATGGCAAGCAGAAATATAAAACCGGAAATTAGAGTATATAGTTTACAATTTTCGCCAACAGGTAAAATCAATGTTATAAATTATATTGAGATAATCGAACAGCAGTATTACGTGAAATTATATATATTCTTAAATCATCTTTTACATAATCAGGACAGGCTTGGGCTGCTGCTACAACAGAAGGTTTACTTATATACGCGCTAGACGTTGGTCTAGTATTTGATCCTTTTCAACTGGAATTGGGCATAACACCAGAGACAGTGAAAATAGCTTTAAACGCAAAGGAATATTCAAAAGGTTTGAAATATAAATCTTCTTTTCATTCAGAATAAAACAGTATATACTTATAATAAATATTTTTAGCATTAATGATGTCTTTAAGATTAAATGAAAAACTGTTGATACAACGTGTTATAGAAAGTATTCCCTTGACTGATAGTAAGTAAATTTATTAATATCTTATCGAATTATTTACTGTATGAATACTTACTACGTTTTGTTTTAGTTGAATTAACTACAGCAAGTTTACCTGATATCTATGTTGATAAAATATTGAAATTTATAGCATCAGAATTAGAGTCAACTAGGCACATACACTTTTATCTTCTTTGGATAGAAACAATATTAACTAAACATGGGTCAAAAATTAATTCATCGCTTCAGATGCCAATATTACTGATGCTTCAAAAAAATATGCAAAAGAAATATGACGATATAAGCAAAATGTTTGTTATTTCACTTTTACAAATGACCTCAAGAGTCGATAGCATAATCAACGCTAATTAACATTTTCCTGTTTACAGATGTGATTTCAATCAGTATACAATGAGTTATCTGAAAAAGCTTGGAGAGTTTAAAGCTAAGAAATCAATCATTGCCGTGACAAACGCTGATGAGGAATCTGTCATATCTTCGATCGAAGAAATGGATATCGACTGAAAAAGGACAAAATAGAGAATATTTCACAAATGTAAATGTGTGTATGTACATAAATATTTCACGCTTGTGTATAATAACTTAACTTTTAATAAATTTGTAAATTATTTTTTATGAATATTTGTTCCATTTAATTCTTTCTTTGGTGATTTTCTTAGGTCATAAATTATTATAAAACATACATTTAAAAAATGCATACAATATTTTATACATTCCGCTTCACTTGTAATTAAACAATTTTTTATTAATCACTTCAATCAAGCAAGTGACACTTCTATACATTGTACTATGTTTCACGAAACGTTCTTAAAACATGCTATAACGTATTTCAGTGCAGTGAAATACAATAATTCGATCGGTGAACTTTGCTAATAATTTATACATTTTTATTATACATCAGAAGACTTACGCTGCTTTCTTAAGCAATAGTATTGGCCAATATAAAACGATGAACAGCATAAATAATATAGGGAAACCTATTCTACTATAAGTGTCAATCTTTTGTGATCGCGTTTTGTACATACGTATTATCGGGTATTCATGATCTAGCCACGCATTTTGTAAAAGATGTTTACTACCTGCTCTTTTATTTCTTGTATTTGGCATATACGATGCATCGTAGTCCCAGATGCTTTGGCCTTTTTCCATGGCAATTATTCGCTAAAAATTCAATCCTTAGTAAAATAATATTGTAAATTTCAAGTTTCAGTATATGTAAAGATAGTGGAACAATTGTTATACAAACTGTTGAATAATGCCGAGACAATATTGACGTTTGAAGATCGTATTCCAATTGGTTCTGCAAATCAAGCACTTTAACCACCACAAATTCACCAAGTGCAGCAAATACAAACATCATACAACCCGCCATCCAAACATCCAATGCCTGAAGAAGAAATTGTATTAATCTAATATATCTGTAGTTGTTGCCAACAATTTTTATGTTAAGTGTTTAAAAAACATACCTTGACATAAGCAACTGGAGGAATGTCACTTTTGAGACCAGTAAACATAGTGACTAGAGTGAGCATGCTGGTCACCAGTAGAGCTACTCGTCCAGGAATTGCATCCAGACCCAACCAGAAGCTGAACCAAGACAACATTACCACCAGAGTTGATGGAGCGAATGTCTGTATCAAGTGATGACCAATTTGCCTCTCGAAACGAAAGTAAACTACCAGTCGAGAAAAGTTTCCTGTGGAATTGTTTAACATGTATATTCCATCGTGGCTTGAAGCACATCAGACGAAGACTAATACCGTTTTTCTCGACCATATAGTCAGTGGTTTCTTCGGCAATAATAGGCTTCCCAATATCGTATTGCAATAGCTTCATTTCCGGATTCACCGTGACACCACCTACTCCCCATCTCAAGCGTAGCTTCTGTTTGTGATAGGAAACTGTCACGAGTAACGCAGTTTTCCAAGTTAATCTAGAGGTTCTATTGAATCAGATTTATTGGATAGAACTATGGATGAATGTTGATGAGACACAAAGTGCAGTTGATAATCTAGGATTATTCAAGGGTCTTTCTTTTTTATGAAATCTATCGTATTAGATGTTCCAGATCATTGATCCTGTGTTCAATCTTTCATTACCCTACAATATTCTTTGTGAGTCACGACTAGCATTAGGAAGAGCAAAATTAGGAAACACTGAACTATTGTATGGTGAGTTTTAAGCGGCTTTGTCTTCTAACTTACACTTACAACTTTCTATGTAGATAGGACACGTTTGAATGTCCATTGGGTAGAGCTGAAATTCCATTTGGCAAGCGATGATGGCGTGCATTCGAGCCGAATACTTCACCGTCTTGTTTCTGTATAATGTAACCGAGGAGAACTTGTGATTCAGAGCGGCAATTTCTGAAAGTAGATGATGTTTTTAATTGATTATCAATTAGAATAGGAGATTACGAGACTAACCAGAAACTTTTGCATTCAGGAAATAAGGATCTGGCTGCCAGAGATTGTCGAAGAACTCAGGAGGCAGAGTCACGTAATCGTCACCCTCTTCGAAGATGTCCTCTGGCATATCGAGTCGAGTCTCTATCCAACTCTGGCGAACGAACATATCCACTCTACTTAACAAGGAATTTTATTACTTATGCGTGTCAAATAATAAGTAGAGTTTAATTACTTCAACATGGGGTGGTTCTGTATCATAACAATAAGGATACTCTTGTTTCTCACCGAAAATCCATATCCTCTACGTTTATCGAGTTGATATCAGCTACGAATATATTGAAGTCCACTATCACTGGCATACCTTGTCTCGATGGGGGCCTGATCTCTGCATGTACACGTTTAATTACATGTTAATTACTGCTACATATCGCGATTAACATTTGCTGATTCATGATTCGTGATCATAATTCAAATCAGCGATTTATTAGCTGATATTAAATACTCAACAAAGTATTTCCGCTCAGGGAATACCAAATTTACTCTCGTTATTAATTAACGTTTACAAGGAAAGTTAAACAGCCTTAATTTTTTGTGGTAGTTTGAGACGTAACAAACCTTTTACATAATGCTGTGGTAGCACTATTCTCGACTTCAGACTGGAGTTTTTCATGTCCAAAGAAGAGCTGGAAGAATAGAAGATTGTATCTTAATTATCAGCGGATCAGTGAAAAAATTTGGAATAAGTTTCTTGTGAATTCGCAGGGATTACCTCGCACTGGAACGCACTTCCGTGAAAAACTTGAGGCACGAGTAAAAGAGAATTGTCAGAACCGCGTTCTTCATCCTAAGATTTAGACAACTGCCGATGCGTTTTGACGAACCTACCGATCGGCAACGAACTATCCGTACCAATTAATCTATTACATAGCAGTTACACGCAATCTACTTCAATTGCAAATATCGTCGAATACCTCGGGCCCGGTTGTTATTACTTTTCTAGAGTTGCGCAACGTTTTCTGCGGTCGGATGAAGTTGTACAAACGAGGCATCCTCTCCTGTATCTTGCTTCATCGAACGTTAATCAACATGTAATTCGAGTTTTGAAACGATAAACTCAATCAAAGTTTATGCAACGATCAGATTTCATTGTTTTCGTCAATTCAAACAAAAACATAAATATCCATCTTGATTAAAACGCTGGACTCGTTTCATTAGTTACTCTTTGAGCATGGAAAATCAACGTGATAGAAACCGCTATTCGGTGAACAAAATCTTGTGAAACTCAGAGGAATTCTTGGTTTAGTTCTGTTATATTTATCTCTGTATTCTAGAAATTTATCGGAATATCGATTGACAAGGCCGGGTCAATTGTCATCCAAATGTAGGAACACGTTTCGACTAAAAGATGTAAAAATTTTCAATCGCCAAGTAGCTGACTTTCACAGCTTGAAGCACTTACAATTTTTTTGCAATTGGTTTTACTCATTTACAATCCTACAACCCATTCACGATCCATTGATCGACTCATTCATAATCCATTCGTGACCCATTCATCACCTATTTCTGATCCGTTCTGGTCTGCTTCTCTTGTATTTTCACCAAGAATATGTACGTTGCATTTGATAAAGAGTACATGACACACACGGTGTGTCTTTCATGCTACACTAATTGGAATACTTTGATCTTTGCTCTTTCGATTACTTACACTTTACAGCGAGATAAACAATGTTCCTATAAAACAAATACCAATTGGAAAGCTCGTTTTCCACTCGATATTTCAAGACTTCCGATAAGGAATGCAAGAATGCCATTACAATTCGTGGAAGACTTTCAGAGAGGAACGTTTTACACGATAACCATTTATTACGGAGAGAGATGCCTAGAGAGACGCCTTTACCCCGTATAACAGTAACCGAATATCGAAAGGAGGAAGAAAAAGACCAGAGAGAGTAAGGTCTGAAAGAGGCGTCTCTAAACACCATCAGACTGAACAGAGACCGAGATTCCGATCTCGTGTACAGACTCTTCTTTTTCATCCTTTGATCCCCTCTCCAGGATTTGACCTTTATGAGTGGACAACGGTACCAGCATCATCCACATGCACCAGGATTAGACGTCACTAGTCTAGAACTCGACCTCGATCGACGACCTCGATGAGTACTTCTACACTTTTCCCTCGATTTGCGCCGTCACTCTTCGTCATCTCGTAATTTCAGGGAGGAACTGTATTTGGAAAATGATCTCCTTACGTTGCTGAGACATATACGGGGTGATACGTGGTCATACATGGTCATGAACACGTGGTCATAGTACGGCAAACACAGTGCGCGAAGAAAGAATATGAGAATTTAAAGCGTGACGACTCAATGCATGTAATATCATACATGATAAAATAATTTTATAAAACAGTTAATCATTCATACTTTGCTTCCTAGCTGCCGGCTACGAAGAAAGCAGTGACTAGACGAATATTTGCGGAAGCAGCTATAAAATCAATTAAGACACCGAAATTAGAGGTTTCACCACTTTTTAACTTTATGTATTCTGTTCATTAAAGGAATAAACAGTTTTGAAGAATTTGTCGAAATAAAGTAATAAAAGTTTTATGGCGGATCTTGATGACACTAAATTACGAGGCGTCGGTATTTATTGAGGTTCATCGATTTAAATCGTAAATTCGTGAAAAACAAAGAAAAGAATGATTTATTTTATCTAACGACGAGGTTCTAACAGGTATGATAGATAGAAACGTTAGAATAATTTACGAGTCTTCACGCCTTAAATAGATTGCTTAATTAAGATCCTCGTGATACGACTTGTAAAGCTATAAAAATTGACCTGTAGGTTTACGAGTTTATTGTATTTTTAATCGGAAATAAACGAGTTCACTTCATTCCTGAAATAACTTTACTCGTGTCAATGACTGAATTAAAAATTTCATGCATCTGGAGCATGAAAGCATGTCCAGTGATTTAAACTGTTTATTAAAGTTTGGGTATGGTGACAAAGAAGTACAAAACCTTCAGCAATATTCTTGTTTGAAAAAGGACAATAAAATTAACATACACGATACTGTAAGGAGGCATTACGTTCTATGATTGCGTAGGCGTAAGAACAAACTGTCAGTGGTTAGCAAAAAAAGCTAGTAGATAGAAAGTCATCTTGTATAGTCTTCCACAGTTTGTCCCATTTAAGCTTCTCTCACGGTAAACGTAAAAGTTGCGTGCTTAATATGCATTTTTTTCTACAGCGAATATAACGCCGCAGGTTAATATTACTGCTTCTGCGACTTTCCATATGGGGGTCTAGAAATATTGGGGTTTAGGGGCTTTGGGGTCTAAGAATGTCGGAATCTGAAGATAATTGTCTTCTGGAATGTGAGGAGATCGGGACGTAGGGATATTGAGATTTAGGAATATTGGGACGTAGGGATATGGAGACGTAGGGATATCGACATATAGCACTATTAGGACGTAGGGATACTGGGACGTAGGGATATTGGGACGTAGGGATATGGGGACGTAGTGATATTGGGACGTAGGGATATGGGGACGTAGGGACATCGACATATAGCACTATTAGGACGTAGGGATATGGGATACTGGGGCGTAGGGATACTGGGGCGTAGGGATACTGGGGCGTAGGGATACTGGGGCGTAGGGATACTGGGGCGTAGGGATACTGGGGCGTAGGGATACTGGGGCGTAGGGATACTGGGGCGTAGGGATACTGGGGCGTAGGGATACTGGGGCGTAGGGATACTGGGGCGTAGGGATACTGGGGCGTAGGGATACTGGGGCGTAGGGATACTGGGGCGTAGGGATACTGGGGCGTAGGGATACTGGGGCGTAGGGATACTGGGGCGTAGGGATACTGGGGCGTAGGGATACTGGGGCGTAGGGATACTGGGGCGTAGGGATACTGGGGCGTAGGGATACTGGGGCGTAGGGATACTGGGGCGTAGGGATACTGGGGCGTAGGGATACTGGGGCGTAGGGATACTGGGGCGTAGGGATACTGGGGCGTAGGGATACTGGGGCGTAGGGATACTGGGGCGTAGGGATATGGGGACGTAGGGATACTGGGGCGTAGGGATATGGGGACGTAGGGGTACCGACATATAGCACTATTAGGACGTAGGGATACTGGGGCGTAGGGATATGGGGACGTAGGGATACCGACATATAGCACTATTAGGACGTAAGGATACTGGGGCGTAGGAATATCGGGACGTAGGGATATGGGGACATAGGGATATCAACATATAACACTATTAGAACGTATAGATATCGGGATAAAGCACTGTTAGGACGTAGGTATATTGAGACGCATGGATATCGGGATACAGCACTGTTAGGGCGCAAGTATTTTGGAACGTAAGAATATCGGGACATAGCACTATTAGGACGTAGGTACATTAGAACGTAGGGATATCGAGATATAACACTACTAAGACGTAAGGATATTGGTACGTAGGGATATCCAAAAGTAGAGATACCGACGCGTAAATACATATGACGTAGCAGTATGTGACATAAAGAGATCGAAACACAGGAATATCAAACATGAGGACACCAGGACGTAGAGATACCGGGACATACACATATGGAAACGTAGGAATATCCGCATGTAGAGATATCAGACGTGGTAACATCAGATGTGACGTAGAGAGATCGAAACATAAGAGTATCAAAATCTAGAGATATCAGGACGTAGAGATATCGAAACATACACATATGGAAACGTAGGAATATCCTCGTGTAGAGATATCAGACATAGGAATATCAGATGTGACGCAAAGAGATCTGAACATTGTACTACCAAAATGTGAAGACATTAGAACATATTGGGACGTAGGAATAACGGAATAAGTCACCAATTTGAGAATGTTTCACATGTACATTTTAAATATTGTATTTCTTATTAACGTCCACGAAAACCTAATGGCTCTGAAGAACGTTTTTGCGACAAACCTCTCCACATAAGAGATCTTAGCTGGACTATTGTCACTAATTACGTGAGGTTTTTTACCGTTGCACGGATGTAGTTTTCTAGTGTTACCAACAACCGGATACCAATTCTCTAATAAGGAAAAGTGTTCGTAGCGTAAGATTCCCTAACGAACGACGGGAAAAGTGCAACGATATCAAGAAAACTTTCCTTGTAATATCGTATATCAACTGTTTTATTTCCGTGGCCGTGAATAAATGAGGCACTGCTGAATCTATCTGTTAATTTAGTCTTTTTCGGTGGGTGCAATGAACGCGTTTTATATCAGAGAAAGTCGCGAACGTGCAAACAGGCTTAGGTGACCGTGTTTGATGTTGGAAAATCGATTTGTTTTTGCGATATTAGCACTCGATTAAAATTTTCTTTGATATAATTAGATTTCATTTGATCTTATTACTTTCGTTGCTCTTTGTACACAATTATAGAACTATGTATAATTTATGTTACCTTGTGAAGTTCTATCATCGTGTTTTATAATTACTTTATTTAAGTGAATCGAAAATTGGAAAGCCATAAAACGAACGCATAAGCGTTCACTTTCTCCCCGCATCAAAGGTCATCAAGGAAAAATTGATAACAGCACATAAACTGTCAAGGAAATCCAGCATACTTTGTATTCTTCTGTAACATATTTCTTACCATGTGAGACACATTTAAAAATAAATTACTACTGTTATAAGCTGTTTGAGTCTATCTACCGTGGTTTTTAGAACAACACGATTTATGCTCTTCTTACGCGTGCGCCAGATACAGTTAGTAGTTTACGAATAATAGCAAACGTAAGCTTCTTTTAACTTCTTAATAAGAAACGTAGTCGAAAGGATCAGTGAAACTTCGTATGTGGCAAAAACTCCCATACAATTTTATTTTCATTGAAGGCCTTTGTAAAGGTTACCGAAGTGCCACTCCACTTTTCTGGTTGAACGATTCACGATGTCCTAGATAGATAGTGCGATAAAGTCTTTAGAAGAAGCTAATTAGAAATTAATACTTCATGCATATATGCAACTTGTGCTAACGATTATACTTTGTAAGTAGCTTCCTTTAATTTGTTCGGTGTACAGGTGTATTAATTTCATTTAAATTCATTATCTTTAGGTCTGTCTTCACATATCTAGGTTCAAATACATCCAGATTCAAATGTTGCTAGAAGTAGTCCTAGGTTTAAAAATTTTTTAACTTCCTGCCTTTCAATATCTTCCTATATGCATATATTTCTAGTGTTATTTAATTTATACGCATAGAAGAAAGTGTATTTTTAGTGTTATTTAATTTACACACATAGGAGGAAATGTATTTAGTGTTATTTAATTTATACACTTAGGAGAAAATGTATTTCTAGTGTTATTTAATTAATACACATAGGAGGAAATGTATTTCTAGTGTTATTTAATTTATACACACAGGAGAAAATGTATTTCTAGTGTTATTTATTTTATACACACAGGAGGAAATGTATTTCTAGTGTTATTTAATTTATACACATAGGAGAAAATGTATTTCTAGTGTTATTTAATTTATACACACAGAAGAAAATGTATTTCTAGTGTTATTTAATTTATACACATAAGAGGAAATGTATTTCTAGTGTTATTTAATTTATACACACAGAAGAAAACACAGTATCTACCTGCATATTTGTCATTCATCATTAATTATCAAACTCGTATCCAAAAGACTTCATTAAACTTTGAGGAACTAATTCTCAACCTTCGAAAAGAAAAGCAGTTCCGTAATTTCGAATTAGAAAACAACAAATTCTTCCTGATTGCGCTATAATTTTCAACGTGTTGCTTCCTGATTTTTGTACGAACTTCTTGCCGGTCAGTTTCACGCGTAACAAAAACTTTAACATTCTCGAGAGGACTAATTATCGTAGAAATCGTGTCGTGTTCGAAACATAAACGAGAACCGAATAGTGCTAGGGATCCGAATGGAGAGGATGGCCATAAATAGGAAGTAGCCGGTAGCAAAGAGTATCCAAGAAATTTCACATAAATCAAAGTCGTCTTCAACTTCGTTCTGCTATGCAGGGTGAGTCTGAACATGACAGTTCGAAATAACTCTTGAATTATTTGTTCTACAAAGTGTTTCAAACGGTTCGCTGAAATAGGCCATGTATTAACATATTTATTGTTCATCGACTTTATCTATGTTGCAATATATTCGAAAATAATGACGTGTGGTGGCTTTCATGTTTATTTGCAATAAACTGCAACAGTTTACTCTTTGTTAATTAATACTATACTCGCTTAGAAAAGCTTAGGTTTTGGAGCTTAGAAAAACAGTGACATAGAAAATGAACAATTATTTCTTGAAACAGTGACATACTGCTCGAAAAGTTTTTGTATAACCATGATACCTGAATGATAATTATAGAATTAATCTGATCTCAAGGACAGAATTAGTGAAATTACAAATTAATTCGTTGAAGGTCAATGTAAAAATGACGATGAGCCTAAATCGTGCGCGTTTGATCAAATCTCACGCGACATAAGCTCCCCTTAAGGGTTGTATTGATTTCTATGATGGCGGCCGGCCGGCGCCTGCACCCTCTGAGTTCGAGGAAGCTGAAACAGCATCGCTCCGCCGTGTTTTCCACGAAATATAGCGATGAAACTGGTCCAGTGACGAGGTCCAGGTGAAAACTAATTAACCGTGTACGTGATAAACGTTACGCGAACCGATTCGGGACGATTAATCGAGAGTTTCGGTGAAATCTTGCTCGAACGATGCGAGATCTCGTGGTTCCAGAGAGGTCCTTGACTTGATCGGGCAGTGTCAATGTTCCTGAGATGAGTTGCGAGACATTTTAAAGCTGACGGTGAGTTATTTTATCTTTTGCTGATTGTCTTCGTACGTTCATTCGATCTTACACCAGATTCTTCGTATCCTTCGAATATACTTCTTTATATTTTCTTGTAAGGTTAAGTAGTAAACCTGAAAGGAGAACAAAACGATGAAATTAAAGCTCGAGTGTGGGTGTTAGGGTGGGTATCGAACGAAAGAGCATTAACCTTTGTGACTGTGCGAGACTAGCGGTTCAAATTATTACACCGACTGCTTTAAAATCTACAGGATTTCAAAAACCCTACCTTATTTCTAAAATTCCAAAAGTGAAATGTCTAGACAAAATACTTACGGTGATGAGACACAATTATATTCGTGTCATCTTTTTACCTTTTTCGCTCTTCACATTTTGATGTGTTATATCCTTGACAATGAAAGACCGCCGCGAAAGCGAAAATCAAGTTTGAAATTTCACAAGAATTTCTTTTTAATTAACGTTACTAAGACGATTTAAACGTTTCACGATTGCGTTTATATAGAAACATGCTTAAACTTTCTCCGGCCTTATTCGGCGTACATGATCGATACGGTACAATTCGTGAATCGATGTAATACCGTTATTGTTTCCAATCGCTGCTAATCGATTGTATTAGGCCATTAGTTATTTTGCTTGTACCGAGATACACTATCTGTGTCTTTCAACTTCCAAATTTATCGGGCATGTATCTTCATCAAATTCTCGCTTATATTTTAAACTTCGAATTAGATTATTATACAACTTAAATTATTATACAAATCTTTCTCCTTTTTTTTAACTTCGTATACCAACGTAAATAATTTTTATAAAAATTAATTTTAACATTCTTCCTCGATTTTAAACAACTCACAGCTGTAAGAATGCCGATTTGATCGGTGAATATTTTCAGGAAAGTTGTAGTCGAAAGTTTGCTGAATAATTCAGCCATTTTATCGTCAGCAGTCTAATATGTCATTTTCTTCGCTCGTTGAAAGTTATTTTTTCTCACCCTTCAATTATCTTTAAACGTTATTTATAGAATATTACAGTCTCGATAGTAAACAAAGTGGAATTACGATCCAGATGCACGTGCTCTGCATGCTATACTTGCATTTAAGATTTCACTTTCGCTGCTTCTTCGGCGACTGTTACACCGGGATGCAGAGAAATCGCGCAGGGAAAAGAACGAAAATCAAGACTGTACGAAAGAAACCGTAAAAGCATAACAATCGATCGGTTACAAGATTGATTACTAAATATTTAGAAATTGATCGCTGTGAATTTTATTCATTAATTCTGATTACAAAACAAGAAAGTCGTAATTAGAAAGCTGTCTTTCTTTTTGTACTTGTTGCAATAAATAAATTTATTATGACAGTTCTGAAATACGACATAACACGAGAATATCGTTCAACGTTAATATAAATTTATTTATACATTCGTGCATCTCAAAAGAATCGTTTGCAAAAAATATAAATGCATGAATAAAAGATTTGACACTCGATTTGAAGAATATGGTAATCAGTTTCTACTGATTTATTGATCGAAAGTATGAATTTAAGCGAAGTAGTAATAAGTTTATTTTAAACTCTCGTTATATTGCCGTGGGCAAAGATTAAAAATTATGCTTTCACACAGCAGTGATTTGCATTGGAATTTGTTTGAAGGTTCCTACAACAAGAGTCCTATTATTAAATTAAATATAAAGTTATTAAGATGTGAAGCATGATGAAACAAATATAAATGACGATTAAAGAAAGTGTTGATGCAAAATGTCAGAATACCATTTCTGATCTCCCGGAGTCTAGACATTGACCTCGAAAGTGAGGTGATCGAGGTGAACCATGCATATAGAGAAGAAAGTGCCAGCCAGCATCCGATCCCTCAGTCATGAGTTTAATTGAAGAAAAACACCGGGTAAATTACTGCATTGACACATACGTTGACATTGACATTGCTAGAAACGTATTTTGTTCGTTTAGATAGCGTAACGTGACTTCTCCGTTTTTTATCAACGTCACGTATACAACTGTTATCGATCTACATTTTTTTATTTCGATATCTGTTCGATGATAAGAATGTCGATTTAATTGATAACGAATCGAAGAAAAAAAAATTGCCTTTCCAATTTCATATTAATTAGAAGACTGATCTGAGATAACAGGTTATATGCTTATTTTTTATTTTATTAGTAACTGAATATTCTGAAATGTTAATAGTAGATATTTTTTAGAATAAGATTTAAGGCCACTCATGAAGTAGATGAAGAATATTATAATAGATTATTATTGAAATTAATGATCTTATTAACGTTTGACAATTTGTGACTAACGAGTCAGCAAGTGAGAGATGATCGCGCCAGATACGAGATAAACTTGTTGATTCGAGAGAAAGGAAATGCATCCACTCTCTATCTAACAACTTTTCCCTTCGTTTCAGGCGAGTCATCGCCAGGTATCGGCTATCGTGCTAAGAGCACTGCTCTGGAAAGTGGTTTCACTTGGTAGTCTATATCAGATTGTATTTCAGATTTATACCAATAAAACTCGCGATTAAGATACCTGAATTTACGTAAAAAATCATCGTTGAAATGATTCGCACTTTATTGATCGGACCAGCTGATAGAAAGTCTAGCAAAAAACTAATTATTCACTTCAAAAGAACACTTCGAATACAGTGTTCTAATGCTAGTGAAATTGAAAGAATATCGATGCTATAAGAAATTTATATCACTCCAAAAATGACGGTACTTATACGTGAATGCTTGTAATAAAAGGAAGGCATCTATTCCAGAAATTAACGGTTTAGATAAAAAAGTAAAATAATAAATTTCCTTGCAGTATATCTTATCGGTAACTTTTTAAATGTTATTCGGTGTAAGGAATATTTTAATATGAATTATAATGATTAGCATACTATTAAGTAGTTGTTAAAGATATACGCGACATATGTGACGTATATGTAGGCTATAAATTAAGTCAGAACTGGATGGGAAAATGAGGCACGTCGCCACTCGCAGTAAATACAAGATGCAATAAATAAATGCGAACCAATACCGTGTGAAAATACACAACGATACAATGAGTGATAGTAATTAGTAATACCTAACCTAATATGTACCTACCCTATAATACATCACCTAACCTAATCTAACTTAACAGAGTAATTAGTAAGTTTATTAACGTCACAATTTCTACAAAGGAAATCGATAACAAACTAAAGAAGAAGAAAATAATAAACTCAAAAGAAAATTGTTTTAGATTTTAACGCGTCAAAATACCGTGTGAAAATACACAACATCACAATGAGTGATAGTAATTAGTAATACCTAACCTAATATGTACCTACCCTATAATACATCACCCAACCTAATCTAACTTAACAGAGTAATTAATAAGTTTATTAACGCCACAATTCAGAACTACCTTTCTACAAAGGAAATCGATAACAAACTAAAGAAGAAGAAAATAACAAACTCAAAAGAAAATTGTTTTAGATTCTAACACGTCAAAATAAACGCTACCGAGTTAAACGTTTGCTTGCCAATGTTAGGTCACGATCACCAACAGCTGTTGGTGTCGTTCATTGATAGATTGTAATACACGATTCTGATAACTAATGAGGATGAGGATCGCTCAAACAATATAGTATTTACGTTGAACATGCAATGATCGATTCTCGGAATGTCTGTGACTCGGCAAATATTTGACAACCACGTCAAATATTATTTCATAGATTCCATTGGCCAACATTCCGTAACATTCGTTTCCGTGTTACCTGATGGCTCGTTTAAAGTGTGCCAGCGAGTGTCATATCAAGGAACCTTATAATCGTGTATCAACGATAAGGATCGATCCTTGGGACGCATATTTCACTAAAACCAGCACGTGATCCTGGAACAACTTTCAGATATATACTTTTTTGAATATTACTCGTTTTATGTATAATAAGACATCTTAGAGGACCACGGTTTTTGAACGGGATTAAACAGATGCAAACGCGCACGATGGAAATATAGTAGTAATAATGATAAGCTTTATTTGTTAGGTGTGTAAACCTGTATTTTAACCGTTTTAAGGAAGAGAAACTTTAAAGCTTTGTAAATGTATTTCATACGTTTAGCTGCAAGCGTATGATCCTTCGAAATGCACGCATATAACAATACTCAGATTTTTAAATTAAATAATCGATACTCAATTTTTTGTTACTCTACGAAATTAGGAATTCATTTGTAAACGATTGACTTATTGTTTCATCTCGTTATTTTGAGCAACCTAGAACATCGAGAACCATTATGTCAAGGTTACAATTAATCCAAAAAGTGAATGCATACGCAATGAGGTTAGGATCGTTAGAAGTTAACGCAATTACGAGCTGAACGTAATGGATTCCCTGATGGTGCTACCGGTTGATAATCGCTTAAGGCACATTGATAATTATTACAAACGACACCTGTTCCACTGTATTGTGGATGACCTCTAGACGGGGAAAAGAGGTAAATCCGGATGAAAGTTTGCCCCAGGCGAATCTGGGTTCTATTGATCTCCTTTTATTCGTGTGAACATTTTTTAGAATTCCTTCCAGCGACATTCGATTCAATAATTTGACTAATTGACGATGGAGTAATTTAAACAATCATTCGATTGTGGGTATTTGAGGTACTAACATAAGCTCTAAAATATTAACGGTACTGTACAATAATCCATATCTAGTTATAGTCATTTTATGTGTCCATATTTTTAAGCTTAAACAGAGCTGCTAGCTGCGGACATAGGATTTAAAATATTTGAATCTAACGTAGCAATCTAAAGATCCAAGAATCCAAGAATATACGAATCTAGGAATCCAGGAAAGTAGAAATCCAAGAATTCTTAGAACCTGATTCAATAGAATTCAAAGTCTCTGAATTTAAATAATTAATTTGACCGAAAAATATCAGAGAATCAAATTAAAACCTGTCTTCCTTATCGTCTAAAATATGCGAAGTCCTAAGACAAATTAGCAACGGAACTTCCGTTAACTCTTTCCTTGACCGAGATCCAAGCAGATCAAACGAAAAGAAAATAAAATCGTAGCCGAAAGAAAGAAAAAACGAAGAGGAAAAAGAAAAAGAGCACAGTGGTCTAACAAGTGTGTGTACAGGTAACCCCCAGGCTCGCTTTCTCCTTCTGCAGCCAGATTCCTTCTCTCGTTTTTTCCCGCCTCCGACTTTTGTTGAAAGACGATAAAAAGGGTGAATTAACGTCACGAACTATACCGTGGACATTCACACCCACCTATATTGTGTTTGTTAACTTTTTCGGGTGCATACGAGTCGCATGAAAGTTGCTCTCTTGACTGTTGGAATTCTACCGCGCGCTTCTCTGTTCTCTTTTATTGCGTTTGACCTTTGACTTTCGTTTCAAGGTGCTTCTCGTAACAATAACATACCGTTTGTAATGAAGTATCGTTAAAAATTAATATAATAGCAACTTTTACTTAACGCAGTGTAATTAGTGATACAGCTCGTTACATTCATGGAGTTGTGAAGGTAAAAATTCAATCTCTAATATTAGTATTAACATGTACGTCAGCTGGACTTAGGACCGCGTAAAAGTTCCGCGTAAAATCAATTTGTAAAAGTTTATTTAGGATCTCATTGTCAGTGAAAATATGTACATTGATAAAAAGAAGACAAATTGTCAAATACGACAGAAAAATGTGTATGGTTTTTGAACGTTTAAAAAGTGTTAAACTTCCACAGAAAAGATAATATCTGTGACTTCGGTGATTTTTAGTAATATTTGCTAGATGAACTATGGATTATGACACCGTAATTTTTCTTCCTTGAAGTTGAAATTAGATTAATATTGTACATCACGTTTCTATTAAAACAATGCGATCGAACAGACACACGCGTTGAAAGAAAATGTTCCAACCAGTCGGCCCACTAAATAACCAGATGAATCGAAACAGGTTTTCCCTTACTTCCGTCTAAAGAGAATCGAAATACAGAAAGAGGTCTCAATCAATTCGATAAAAATGTAAGTTTAAACGCATACATGTATGTGCATACACAAACTGTTTGCATACATAGGAAGTAGGTTTCACAACAGATTGATGACTCTTATGCAAATGAAGAAATGGTACTCGCTCCCCGAATGCGTAGGCAGATCTGTCTATTATTCGAATATTTTTGCAATTTTCTCTCTTTTCGAATATCTATTTATAACACAGCTTCTGGTGAACATTTCATCCTGCTTTATCAATTAACTAAACAAATAAATTATTGAGAATCAATTTTTAATTCAAATTGCTTCAAAAAAATTATTCGATAGTACATTTGATTTGAAAGATTTGTTACTTAGTATTTAAGTAATGCGATTAGTAATGCGATTAAGATTACACTCTATCATACCTTTCATTTCGCTTTCTCCCCAATTTGCTCCGAAATCGAATCGAAAAAAGATCGTTGTTAATGAAAGTTGCTCTGACAAGTATCGTTAGCTTAACTAATTCATATGAAATATAAACAGCTATTAAAAATCTACAATTGTAATCGAGTATCGGCTATAAAACACATGTATACGACTATATAAACAACTGCTAATGTGTTAATTATTCGCGAGAGTTGAAAATTGTCGTCGTTAATGATTCAAAATGAAAAATGGCAATTCCACTTTGTTCGGCGCTATTTTAATCGAGCCACTCAATTACGAAGAAATAGTAAGGTGCAGGTGAAAGGCCGTTAGTGGTTCATGGACCAACACATTAAAATATTTGGAAACGTGTTTCACAGTTAAAGGACCACTGACCCGTTTTAATCTGTCTCTCTGAAGACGATTTTTACGCTTTGCATCGCTTTCTCTTGGATCCATATTTACATCCGCACCCGAGGTCTCTCTTAAAACTGCCGTAAAATAGGTTTAGGATCCTATGGGATTTTACGACTCACGTAATCTAAATTTTAATCGTTACAAAAGAATAACAGCTGATGAGTTTTTCAGTAGTCATTCTACTTCTCGATTATAAGCTGCTTCCTTCTTTGTTCTGCAAATTCTAGCAGGAAATAATGAACGATATTATGAATTGATTTCGAATAAATTTCTTAAAGTACGAGTTCGCATCTCTTTTGCTTCTTAATGCAATCGTATATCTTTAGAATATTCAGTATGAAAAATTATGAGGACACAATACCGATTTCTGATAACAGAATGGTATACTTTGCATACACTAAAACTGTTTAACTAAATGCACGATACTTCTTCAAACCATTATCAGTACGATAAAAAACAGTCGTTACATGAGTACCTATTCAACAATTAAATAGACTACGTAATCAAGTAATTTTCTTCTATCTAGAAATGCTTTAAACCATTTTTCTGTTTTCGCACATTGCACAATTTACATATTTTTATCGTTTTCCTTCATTTCGTAATAAATAGCTTTGCATCTTGCATATCTGTCATTTACAAACCTTGCAATATATGAATTAGAATAAAGAAGTAATTACTCCACATATCGAACTGCCCATATTTCCTGTATAATTTCTACGCGATTAAAATTCGATCATAATTCACGCTAATATTCATGAACCAATGTTATCACTGCCGCGAGTCCTCATCCTCCCAACGGCTCTTCCGGCTGATCTTCGTCTCCCTCGAGCATTCACTACCGCCGAGTTCAAAGAAAAATTTCTACTCATCTCGACCTTGGATCTCGTTCGATACCGTTCTCCCGTTCGTGGTCAGAGGGATTCCCGAAAGTCTCAAACGTTCCGAAGAGCATGTACCGAAAATGTCTGCGCCATGCGGTGTTCTGCCTCTCGCCTCGGAATCGAGGACACATCGAAGACGTCGTGTAGCCGGTGTTATACAAACCGTACAGTCGTTTTCATTGCGGCAAGTCGGTGGAGGTGGACAAACGTCGAGGTATATCCATAGGTGGGATTCGTTGGGCGACTCGAGTCGGAGAGGTAGAAGAGGAGACAGTTAGGGTGGGATGCGCAGCCTCGAAGAGGATCGTTCTTGTCTTGACCGATTCCGAACGATCTATCCCCACGATCGACCCCACCATACGATTTTGGCCTCCTTTGCACGTTTACGTCTTGGAAATCGTACCACCTCCGGGAACACCACCGGGGAAATATCGTTGTAACGACACCAAAGCAGGACCAAAGTTATAAAGCACACCGGTGAAGCTGGTACAAGGCGCTGCCACTTTGCTGATCGACCTCGTCGTGTCACGATCCTCCTCCTCTCGCGAACGAATCGACGACCTTTTTTTCTGGCGGCACCTCCGCTGGTGTCACCTGTCACGACACACTACGGATCGCGTTCCTTTATCGTTTCGTTGATAATACGTAGCCAAAGTAGATTTACAGGAACAGTGAAGAAATACTCTTTGTAGTTGCTCGAATAATAGTAGTTGCCTGTATTGGTGTCGCACGAGGACCTTGAGGAAGTTGCGCGGGCGAGAAGGGTCGTGAGTGTTCCGCCTCTTAAGTTCCTGTCGATCTGGTCATTCAAGGTAAGAGATCTTTTCTCGATGCACTCGGTGCATCGCGCGATGATTCTGGGGTTACAAAGGGGTAGGTTTCTTTCGATTCGTTTCGATAGGAAGACGTCTTAGATTCGTAGGGTTCGATTGAACTTGGGACTGATTTAGAACTTTCTTTGTATAAATATATAGAGTACTTCAATGGGACATGGAGACGTTATAGAGAATTGCAAAGAACTTTGAATATAAATACAAACTTATAAAAAGTTTCAAGATTTTTAGAACCTGAATAAAATTCAAAGTAATTCTTTTCTAATATAACAAATATAGACTTGCAATCTTGTTGAGATTCCTATTGTTCAAAATATAAAAACGAATATATCACGACTTTTTAGTCCCTGGAGCTCGAAGAAAGTTCCAAGTGATTTAATTTTCTTAGACATATAGAATATGAATAGATAGATCACGTTGCAATTTGAATATATAAATGCATCAAAACTTTCAAGACTGATTGCATTCAAATAAAATTCAAAGAAAAAAACTTTCTCCTACAAACATATGGAATACTCAGATGAGCTACAATGGATGAACCATTGATGAATTTGGATGAGTCCACGCTTCGAATATGAATATAAATATTAGATTTTTCAAGACGTTCAAAATTCGAAGCATTTGAGAACTTTCTCCATATAAACATATGGAACGCTAAGGTAGGCTACAAATAGGCTTTAAATGGGTTGTGAATGAACTAGGGATGGACTATGGAGCTCCGAGTCGGTAAACCGCTCATCCAACTATTTCATACATTCAAGAAGGAGAGTTGCGAATCACGAATTATTGTACCTCAAAGAATCTCGAAAATCTTTATAAATTTACACTCGAAATGTTTCCTTCCCATATGTTCACCTGTAGAAAGTTTCAAATCGTTTCAAATAAAACTTGAAAAATATTGAACATCTTGAGTCGTATCTTTGTATTTGTATATCTAAGTACCTGAAGTGATTTAGAGTACCTTAACTAAACAACTCACAAATGCTCTACATATTTATAAGGAGAAAGTTTTGAAGTCTACAATTTTTTAGTACATTTATTTATATTTGAAGTGATTTGAAGTTGAAGTAGCTCGACTTCGACAGATGTCCGGATGTGTTAGAATAGTAGAGGCCATAAATCACTATCTACCGGTTCTAATGTCCCACGAAGATGATGAAAGGATTATCGTGAAAAGGCAGTTGTATGTTTTTTTTGTAACTTTAAAAATTTTATCTTTTGCTTTATGGCTGCCTTCGTTTCGAGCCTCAGTGTTATAACGAATATCGTTTTGCAATTTCTCTTCAAAGCATCGATGGACCTACTGATGGAAATCTAAGACGATGTAGTAAAGTAATTTTATAAGTCTGATAACTAAAAGTTTGAATATTGCCCTTAATTCATAATTTGTAAACAGTACAAATAGGAATAGAAATAACACGATTCTAAGTCTATCTTTTCTTGTTCATAAATCATTTCAATGTACGACAAAAATCACGTATTCCGTAAGATCAAGTGTTAACAGGTATTAATATTAATATGTTCCAAGAGGTTCAACAATATTTGTCCCAAATTAACTTTTTCCTTATCACTCTGTATATACAAATTATACTCGGTTCAATGTATAAATCAGTGAGTCATTTGTTCAATTTGAATAATTGTACGATTACAAATTTGTTCTTTGTTCTGAAGTGTGAATTGCAAATAATGCTCTAATGAATATTTAATTCCGTTTCCGTATTTCCCTTTCAGAATCATCTGCTTTCACAGTTTTGCGTGAAACGTAGAGTTAAGAGTATTAAGGCGTTCGTAGGTGCAAAAAAGTATGAAATTATTGATTTTACATTCCACGGGATAAGAAAGAAAACTCGTCCGTAGGTGATTTCACTCAACTTCTAAAGATTATGACTTGATTTATCGAACTTTCTCCCAAGAGATCAATTTACGTGTCGAGCAGCTGTTTGAAAATCGTCATCGCACCACAACTTCAAGATTTTCTAACATTAAACCAATTTGATCTTATTCGCTTTACGAAATTTTTTATCTTAACTTCACTAAAAATATTCAGTAATTGAAGCACTTATATCAAGCTAATATTTTTCAGATTTTATTGCGCCATTAAGCTTATTTATAGTTAGCAATTTTGTTAATCTTATTTTTTATGTACTTTACTTAAACGTGTGAAATTTTGAAAAAAAGTACAGCAGTTACGTTTTACGTTAAAAGCAATTTTCTAAATTGACAGCAATTTCCGTATATATTTAATTGCATACAACAGGTTTACCAAGTGCAATCAGTGAGAGTGAAAAGTGCCATTTTGCTTTACGTTACTGGAACCATATGAACTTCCTTTTCCTCATAAAATATAACAAAAATTTATTCTACAATTGTACTAAAGAATTTAATTTTAATTTCCCTAAACAAAATTTTTTAAATAATACCTGCATAGAGGTTCCTATAGAGCAGGAGGTTCCTATTGAGGTTTTAATACTTTGTACATACATTTACATTTTGAAAATTACAAATGTCCAAAAAAAGAGTTCTGCGCTATCTTTATAGTAATACAAAAAGTATTTCTACATATACCAATATTTTTAAAAAGTGAAAATACGGAAATCAGATAGTGATTAATGAAAATATGGTAATCATTGCCCATATAAGAGTTAAGCCAAGAAGCATGAAAACTAAGAGAATGTATCATAGAACACTTGCACTTGCAACAAGTTCACGGTGAAGTTAAACCGCAAATGAAAGTAGACATTCCAGCCATGCAATCGAACCATCGAACCGGTCTAAATCAACCTATTCGAAAGATCCTACGAAACATGTTTTCCCGCAAACACAGCGGGAGATAGCATTTCGTTTATCCGGTAACGTGAAAGTTACATATAACGTTTCCACCTTTGAGTGAACGACCGGATAACATAAGTGCGTGGTATTAGTCGTTTACCGCAGTATAATGATAGTAGGATCACGCACTTACACCCGATACTTTTGTTTGATTTTAACAGTAATTTAATCCAATATCCACTTTCCATATTACTGTACATTCGTATGCCATATGTATTCAAATTACAGATTTATCTTTTTTAATCAGAATTTGAGATAGCCGTAGAGACTCCTAGAGTCACTATCAAATGAGTTTCATACATAAAAAAATCCTAAATTTGAAAACCCATGCAAAAATGTGATCTGCACAAGAAAATCGCAAATGATGGATTTTCATGCAAAGTGTGGAAATTTCAAGCATGAAATTTCACAAAATTTTCGATGTCTCTATTATGAACGATACATTATAATATTCTTCATCGTATAAATAAAAATAATCCTTACGAATGCGTAGAATATGTATGCCTATATAGCGTGTGCAGAAAGTTGCGTGTTCTTAACGATGAAATACATAATTGTTTGCGGTAAAAGATAAGACTCACGAATGTCCCTGGTGTCTACTATCATGGAATACATTTTAGACCGTTTCCAATTTCTTCTGTTGAAAATATTCCACGGGTGGTATACACGAAGTGTAAAGAATGTATTATGAATTTCCTGCTCGCTAGTTTGAAGAAATCTTGATTCCAAAACTAACAATCCTTATTTCGACTTTGTTGCAGGCAATGGCGGGCATAATTAATTCCACAGCAACTCTAATAAATGACATTTATGATTACTACCTCTGGACGCTATCTCTTGCTGGTAAGACACTACATTTTGTCGACTTTACAAACCCTAGAACAGTAATATCTGAAGTCAACCAATTCAATAGTTTTAGACAAGAACTTTTATAAATATGTAAACATATTTTACAATTTAATACGAATTTAAATATAATATTAATATGAGTGATTTGGCGACTTCAGGTTATTATTCTAGAGCTAAGTTACAAATTCTTTTTTATTTTTACCTCTGTCATTGCCCAATGTGATCGTAGATGAAAGAACGAGAGGATGGCTCTTGGTCGATTCACCAAAACCTACATTGATATACACGATGTTGTATTTACTTATTGTATGGGCTGGGCCGAAAGTTATGAAAAATCGAAAAGCCTTCAAGCTTACATGGGCACTTGTACCATATAACCTTGCGATGGCTCTTCTTAATGCGTACATTGCGATTCAGGTAACTTATTTGGATACATATTAGAGATGAAATGATGCAAATAGTAAAATCTTATAGGTATTACTACTCTCATTAGAGGAAGTAAAAGTATCGATTCATGCCTTCGTTCATCAATCAATATATTAATCATTGCATAAATCATTTACAGCTGTTTGTAGCGTCCACCAGGCTACGTTATAGTTACGTATGTCAACCTATAAGGCATGTGACTCGTCCAGATGAATTACAAGTAGGTTGAAAATGCTAAAAATATTGATCTTATTAACCCGTTGATTCCCAAAGATCAAAAATATATCATTCTTTATTGTATTATAAAATAATTAACCGAGCAGTTTGTCCGATATTGCGTACTTGATGAAGAAAATGTAGCGTGTATGCAACTTTGGGTGTTAACGGGTTCATACAAATTTTATACCTTCTTTTACAACACTCTTTTCTTACCAGATCGCTCATGCCGTTTGGTGGTACTACTTCAGCAAACTACTAGAGTTCTGTGATACATTTTTCTTCATCTTGCGAAAGAAGGATAATCAATTAAGCTTCCTTCATGTGTACCATCACTCCACCATGTTTTCGTTGTGGTGGATCGGCATTAAGTGGGTTCCTAGCGGGTCCAGTAAGTATCCTTGTTTATTAACTATAGAACGATAACAGTGATAAATTAATCGAGAGTCCTATGAATTCTTGCCTATTAATTTTATGCGCTTATTATCGAACAATTAAAGTAGAATTTGACACGAAAATAATTTCTATTTTTCAGCTTTCCTACCAGCGATGGTGAACAGCTTCATTCACGTTCTCATGTACTCGTACTACGGTCTAGCAGCATTAGGTCCCTCCGTAACTAAATATCTTTGGTGGAAGAAATACTTGACAATTCTCCAGCTAATACAGTTCACCACTGCCTTGATTCTTGGTATCAACGGCATTCGATCAGGATGCGACTTCCCGCTTTGGATGCAGTACGCTCTTGTCATTTATATGATCTCCTTCATTGTCTTATTCGGAAACTTCTATGCCAAAGCGTATATTGCTAAGGTAATGTATCTAAAACACATTAAACCGCAATATTTTTTAAGCAAAACTTAAATAAACATAATCGATAGTACAAACTTTTTGATACAACCATTCACGTCACATATCTAATTGTACAGGGTAAAAAGGCGTACGCGGAAAGGCAATTAGAGAAAATGAAAGCAGCCGCACAATTGAAGAAAGAACTTACCGATGGAGCTGTGTGCAACGGTAATGTTACGAATGGACACGTTAACGGATATGCGAACGGTGTATCCAAAAAGACTCAATAAAATAATACATTCCTAAATTCACTATTAAAATATTGTCGTCGAATTGCAAGCTGTATAATTATAAGGGGAAAACAAAGTCTTATTTTATTGGTAAGATGACCCGGAACCGGAATTCATTTGGCCAAAGTTTCTAGTTCTTGCAAATCGCTTTGTTCACGATAGGCGACGTTCTGGACGTTGTAACTATTCAAGTCATATTTAATCGTAAACCGATATTTCCTTGACGAATTGTGCGCTCGCGTACAATTTAGATTTCTCAGTTCAAATGAAGTACAATGGAAAAAGTGTTTCACTAGTCGCCATTAGGAGATCCTGAATTAAAACCTCATTGATCCTCTAGGTTCACTGTAAATTATATTCTTGCAGTCTTCGTGTGTTGTTTGTAGATGCTAAATTCTCTCAAAACCGAGAATGGAAGGCTGCTTTTCCCTGACCCGTAATTAAAAGAAGCCTATTGCATCCAAGTTCACCTGAAAAAGTAAAAGAGATGTCAAAAAAAATTTTTAAAACAAAGAATCTGACAAATAAGACGAATAACGAAATACTTTTTCTCTTGCATTTCTTCTTAAGCAGCAGAAGTCTAAATTGCGCGCAAGAATACACGCAACTTCAAACTTACCGGCCTGCAATTTTTTGAACTCTTGGACCAGCAGCACAAAGTCCAACGGATCGCTGGTCCAGGGTATTGTAAATACAAAATAGTCGAGTATGTTAGCAGTTTAGTCGTTAGTAGGCGAATTGTACGAGATCCAACGGGGTCGAGTACGATAATATTGCATAAGCGTGAAGTAAGCGATCTTTTTGTGACCGACGAGTAAACTCTGCCTTGTAAAAAAAATAATAAAATTGATCGTCGACTCGGGAACTGCCTTTAGTTTCTGTTTTTATTCTTGTGCTAGAAATAAGATTAGGATTGAAATGATGCCGGTCACGATAAGGTTGTACCTATACATTTGCACACTCGGGACATAGTTAATATATACCATGTCGTGATATTAGATATGTTACAATCTTTTTAAACGAATGAACATACCTGTCTAACACGATCGAAAATATTGTAAAGAAATTGATTTGCATTTTTGCAATTGTCTAATGTTTACATTACTTGTAAATAATCTTCTATTTAATAAATTGATAACAGATGTTTAGAACAATAAAATATATACATTGTATATTTTAATTGAAGATTTATTGTTTATTTACGGCACGAACATGCTTATAAATCAACGGTAAATATCGTTTTGTTTCAATTTGATATGAAATAAATCAAACTGAAAGTCGCCAACAAATATTTTTCTCATTAAAATATTTAAATCCGGTTTCGCGTCAAATTATGATGTGTAATGTCGTGATCGTTTACAAAGAAATGAATTGCAATCATTCATAAATGTTTGTTTGTTTGAAACTTTTAAAATTATTAGGCAAAAGATTATTGTTAATGCATTTTATTAATGCCGCAATATGTAAAAAACAATTGTTATAAAAAGAGCATTGCTGCGCAATGTAAAAATGAAAAAAAAAATGCATTATGTTTATTCCTAATGACATCTGTTCATCAAACCTTTCCAGTGGAATAACGAAAATACAAAATAGCATGTAACAAAACTAAAAATTTGATAAAAGTATATTGTATATTATAACTACTTATACGTATGAACAACAAATTAAAAATTCTCCCAATACAAACATATTTGTTTCTTGTATCTAATTTTGTTTAAAACTATAATACCAAAAATACAATATTTTAAAGAACAACAAACAATTTTGATACAAAATATATATTAAAATTAAACAAACGGATACTAGAAAGATTGTTTCTTAATTAGGAGTTAAAAATACGTTTGTATTATGAATTTCTAATTCCACATTTTAGTACTCTATGTGGTTGTTAGTATTCTGATTAGCTTATCTACCGAAATTTTATACATTTTTCAATACCTTCATACATTTTACATTTGATACTACTGACAAAAAATTGCGATTTTACATAATATTTTAAAACACATTGTTCAATTACACTTTTTATGCAATCTTTTGTCAGATACTCTTTTGTATATGAAATTTTAATAAACACGCATATTTAATCATTTCTATTAGAAGAAATAGCTTTTGCAGAGTTTCTATGTGATAAAATGTAATTATTTGACATATTTTACACGCATTGTACTATTAAGTTCAAAGAAATATACAAATAAATATAGTTAGCAAATATTATATCCTACATATTATAAAACTATATTGTCAAATAATTTAATCATGGCTTCTAAGGATTATAATGGCTATCCAAATTGAGGAGATTTTACCAATGTAAGATTGTACGTGACATACAACAGCAAATTCAACTGGTCCATTAATATCATAAACCTTTGTTGCATATAAATCTTTGCACAATTCATCTACAGGACACTCGCGTTTATTTAACACAAAACCGTGAATGTGGTAAGCTCTATATAGGTGTTTTAAGTCTTTTTTTCCTAATTGTATTTCTGAAAAAGGTTCTACCTTAGACATGAAACTTCTTAAAATAGCAGTTGCATGTCGATTAAATATAGTTGTTAAACCAATTGTACTACGCCAATGAGCCAATTTATCCTTTAAACATTGTTCTATATCCATAGCAGTCCTTTTAATTTGCTTAACATCTTCATCTGTAATATGAATCTCAAGTGTTTGTACATTGTGATCACTTTTTCCTGATGTAATAGTATCAATGGGTCGCCACTCTTTACTTGATTTCACATCGTACTTCAGATTGTGAGGTAAAATGGATTTTTGCAAATTTTCCCATATCTATAAAGACATCATCTTTAGTAAGAAAAGTTAACATTATTTTAATCAAATTTATTTCGAAAATTATTATACTAACACCAAAATGATTAATTAAACGGGAAACCTTCATTAAAGGACAATGACTATCATCCAATTTATGATAATTCCCAGTTTCTGGATCCCACAACATATATATGCCATTACTACTGATACTCAGAACAAATGCAGTCACTTTACTTATTTGTGATGAACCTATCATATTATTATAGAATTCGTATTTATGTTAATATAATAAAATATCTAAATTGTACAATATTACTACATACCTAATAAAACATATGTTTGTAAATCAAAGCTTTGTAATAACACTGCTAGTAAAGCTGCTCTTCCATAGTGATCTACTTTTCTTATATTTAATGCTTGACGTGGTGTAATTGGACCATAATGAATTGGTAATGAAGGTAAAAACATCACCATTCTTGCAGCATCTTTTGGATTTTCTAAGCCATTAATTTTATATGGTGTAACAAGACAACGTTGAATACCTTTTAGTAATGTACTTGTAGCAGTATTTTCAACAGATTTGGGAGTATTAGGATGTTCCATTTTAATTAAAACATAAATTCGAGTACATGATTGACCAGGACTAGCCTGTATATAGCCAAAAAGTAATACAGGACTGAATAAAGGTGATAGTGTAATCCATCGTTCAAGTTCTTGATAATTTCTATGATGCTCAAGAGGAATTCTTGTTTCACCTAACCATTGCTGACCCCAAACAGGATGAAGATCATACAAACGAAATTTTATACAATATTCATCATTCTGTCTTGGTAACTCAAATTGCACTGTTTGTTGCCATACAGGTGCTGGACCATCTGCTATGGATGTTGCATGAACCGTATTACCCCATTCAACTTCTATAAAAGGTTGAACTAGAGCTGATTCTTCTCTAACTGGTATTTCTATTCCTCTTAAAATGGTAACAGCCAAAATTGTTTTCCCTATTGTATGATGTCTACGGGTTCCAGATGATGATTCTAGGGGTTGTTTAATTCGAAATAAGTTTCTAAATAATGTATCAAGTAAAGAGAGTGCAGGCTGTTCTGTAACAACTATATCTGGTGACTTTACTTCTTCTGTTTGGGTTTTCTTTGTAACAATGTCATCTAAATCTGTATTAAACGTTAATGCTTGATCTTCCAACAAAAAATACTTTACTTCTTTCTTAAAAATATTTTTGGGTAGCCTAAGTAAGGACAAATTATTCTGAGGATCATTTGGATCATTACTCAATTTATACACCTGAAATGTGTAAGGTTCTTGATTGTGTTCCCCATAATTATTTACATTAACTGTACATATTACTGTACCAGCATGTATTTTACCTAGATTATCACTTATCGCAAAATCAATTTCAACTTTACTATTTTCAACATTACGCTTTGGTAATGGTAATGGTAATATACTGGACTGCCCACCTTTGATGTGTACTTGTATTGAAAGATTATTACATTCCTTATTTCGAATTAATAATTTGTGCAGTTTTCTGTTAAAGGGACTATTTGCCTTGCATATAATCTTTTTTTTAAATAATAAAGAAACAGATGTTATTTCAACTGTTTCATCAGTTAACGTGTTGATGTTAACTTCTCGAATTACAATTTCTACAAGTTTCCCATAATATTTATTCTTTGATTCATATTCCACAATTTTCATGTCACTAAATTGGGGAAATCTAATGTCACTGTAAATAAAAGGACTGTCAGATGCATATAATCCATCTTCAGCCAAGTCCGTTTTTTGGCTTAATTTTCGCGGATTTCTATTATCAGTTGTAAGAACGTTAGTTTTGTGATCTTGACTTATAATAGGATGTACAGAACATAGACTCAGATTTTGTTCTGGCTGATTTTCTGTATTTAATGCATATCCTTTAATAAAATCGATGTCTTGTGTGGACATATTTACTAATACACCACTGGTGCAACATACATTATTATTTTATAGTAAAACAACTTAAATTTATTACACGAAGTACAAATATAGTAGCTGCCATTTTATATGCATATTTATTTACATCCATTTAATATTTTTGCATCGGAACGTTGCCTAGCAACGTATAGGCAGGAAATGTGATGTAAGTGCCATCTTTAAATTTTAAATCACTCAATGCCTTTGAAAGTGTGTTCGATTTCGTTTGTATCGAGGATTTAAAAATTAAAAATTTTTGGAATTTACAAGCTCTTAAAATATATATAATTTATATATATATGAATCTTCCAAAATTAGTGGCAAGTGAAGTGGTGTGGAGAAGAACATCTCCCTCCACACCAGACTTCATCCAAAAGAAGTCTACATTACACCTAAATGTGCATACGTTCAAAAGTATAGTATGTACTATTGCTCAGTACTATATGCATAATCTACTATCTTTTACTGGTTATGCACAAGTAATGTACGACTATTCTAGTGCATTAATTATTAGAATTAAAATATCATTGTGAAGACCTTCAGAAAAAAAAATATATCGCCCAAAAATTTACAAATTTTATTTGAAGTTATACTATTCATATTTATATATTTACCGCACAATTTATTAACTCCGTTATTTAGATACTCTGCAGCCAAATTTAATGACCATTACTGGCTTGAATAAGTCATTTCATTACAATTTAAATTATTTGTTACATAATTTCATTGAAAAGATTTTATGGAATTCAAGAAGATTGAACGAGACGTGAAACTGTAAAGGAGGTCAGAAACCGCAATAAAGCGAGATCGCAGAATCAAGAGTAGAGAGCGGATACGGTCTGTGCTCATGGGCAGGAAGTAGATCAACTACAATTCAACGCATAATCAATCTGTCGAAGTTTCTGTATCGATTTTATATGCACTCTTCGCTTTAATTTCGGACAGAAATCTTTTAATTTTTTCAGCAATATATTTTTTGGCATTATTAATCGGAAATTTTCATTTCATTTATTATTGCAAGACACACCTCTTTTCTTAAAGCACTGAAGTCAAAATAAATTATTATAAAAATTACGAATGACATACATATGTAAACGTACGACTTTCGTTTGCATTTGATGAGAAAAGTAGAAAGGTAATAAATCTTTAAATAACATACACATAAATAATTCTTTCATTGTTTACTGCAAATGTTGATGTATTTATAACATATTAAACTGTACAGCACTTACAAAAATTAGATGAAGTGTATAAAGATGAAATGAATTCATCAAAAAGTGCTAAATATGCAAAATATGCAAATTAAAATTAAATAATACTTTAAATCAATTGTTTAATTAAATAGATATTTATAATTTAAAGGTAACTATTGATATATGTATTACTGTTATTTTATTATAATTATTTTACAGTTGCAGTTACAGTAATCTGTTTTGAGAACACCTGGTCTGTAGAGACAGGATCAATACCTAATATAGGTGTCCATAAGCCAAATGTTATAAATGCCATATGTCTTAACTAAATTGAAAATTGAAATTTATTTTTATACATATATAAACTTTATTAATATACGATAAAAATATAGTAATAATATATTAAAATTTATATTGATATCAACTAGTTTTAATAAAATTTCTAACTCGATAAAATTTTATAATATTTTACAAAATTGCGTACATGCACGTATTTAAAAATTTTGTATGTCGAATGTATATAAATGAAGACGTACAATACAATATATAATCAGTATTAATTTCATGTATTAGAAAATTTGAATATTTCATATAAAATATTCATATAATTAAGTGCATATAACCACAAGCGAAACAATTTGATAACCTACTTAATATAATATATTTGAATTCCAATTATTTTTTTATTAAAATGCTATCTGCCGTTACAAAATAAATATATGAATTACGTGAGTCACCAATCAAAATGTACAATCCAAATATGGAAGAAACTGTTTCACATCGCAACTGGAGTCTTTACATAAAAGTTCTTCGACCTTTCACAGGTTGATGCATACTGTAATCAATAATTAAATATTTTTTAATGTTCATATTACGCATGGGTTTTAAAAATTTGTATTGCTCTTAATATCAATGAAATAATTGATTATATCATTAATGGAGGGACTATATTTTCCGAATAAGGATCGTGTGTTCAGATGCAAGTGAGTACTGCGGTCAAGAAAGGACCAATCACGAAAGAGAATGAGACCATCATTGACCAATCAGCTTACTCTGACTGGTCATCTACCGAACGTATAAATAGCTGCACCCAGAAGCCGGTGATGCACTCGTTTGCTGATTGTTGGACGGAAGTTTCGTAGTTGTTAGCGAAAGCTCCATTACTTGCTTTAGCCAACTATCGACGTCTTTCGTCAATTCATTATTCCATTTTTAACACTCGAAGCTCTACTACAGTTACAAAATGGTAAGATTTCCTTAATATTTAAAACAAGTACTTGAGCATAATTAAAAAATGAGTTAATACTTGGGTGGGAAGGTAGCCATTTTGTAACGGTTTTCTACCGGCCGGCTTGCTATTTCTCAAATATTATCTTCCTTCACTTAATCCAACATCTTAATCGTTTTTTAAAATTGAATCCTTGATTATAAAAGAATTTAACAAAAAGAATAGTCACAATTTTTGTTAATTATTGTGGTTTATTTATTATAGTATCAATATTACACTTGTAATGTATTTTTCAGAACTTAAAACTGTAATATAATTATAATAAATTTTAATCTTATTTCAGCGTGAATGTATCTCAGTTCATGTTGGGCAAGCCGGAGTCCAGATCGGTAATGCTTGCTGGGAATTGTATTGTCTGGAACATGGCATCCAACCTGATGGTCAGATGCCATCTGACAAAACTATTGGTGGAGGTGATGATAGTTTCAACACCTTCTTCAGTGAGACTGGTGCAGGAAAACATGTACCCAGGGCTGTCTTCATTGATTTGGAACCAACAGTAGTTGGTAAGTGTCTTCAATCTAAATGTTTAGTGCATAATAATATAAAACTTTAATCAATATTTCCATGTTCTCAGATGAAGTACGTACTGGTACCTACCGTCAGCTATTTCACCCAGAACAATTGATCACTGGCAAAGAGGATGCTGCAAATAACTATGCTCGTGGTCATTATACAATTGGAAAGGAAATTGTTGATCTTGTATTAGACCGAATTCGTAAATTGGCTGATCAATGTACTGGCCTTCAAGGTTTCCTTATTTTCCACTCGTTCGGAGGTGGAACTGGTTCTGGTTTCACTTCTCTTTTAATGGAACGTCTTTCTGTCGATTATGGCAAGAAATCAAAGCTGGAATTCGCCATTTATCCTGCCCCACAAGTCTCTACTGCAGTTGTTGAACCATACAATTCAATTCTCACCACGCATACCACGCTTGAACATTCCGATTGTGCATTTATGGTCGACAATGAAGCCATCTATGATATTTGTCGTCGCAATTTGGACATTGAAAGACCTACCTACACAAACTTGAATCGACTAATCGGCCAAATTGTGTCTTCAATCACCGCATCTCTACGATTTGATGGCGCTTTGAACGTTGACTTAACGGAATTCCAAACAAATTTGGTACCTTATCCTAGAATTCATTTCCCTCTGGTGACATACGCACCCGTCATTTCAGCAGAGAAGGCTTATCACGAACAACTCTCTGTATCAGAGATTACAAATGCATGTTTCGAGCCAGCAAATCAGATGGTAAAATGCGATCCTCGCCATGGAAAGTACATGGCCTGTTGTATGTTGTACAGAGGCGATGTTGTGCCCAAAGACGTGAACGCAGCGATCGCCACCATTAAAACTAAACGCACCATTCAATTTGTTGATTGGTGCCCAACTGGATTCAAAGTTGGTATCAATTATCAGCCACCGACTGTGGTGCCTGGCGGTGATCTTGCCAAGGTACAACGTGCCGTTTGCATGTTGTCTAATACCACTGCCATCGCAGAAGCATGGGCTCGTCTTGATCATAAGTTCGATTTGATGTACGCTAAGCGAGCATTCGTACATTGGTACGTTGGAGAAGGTATGGAAGAAGGTGAATTCTCTGAAGCTCGTGAAGATCTTGCAGCTCTTGAAAAAGATTACGAAGAAGTTGGCATGGATTCCGCCGAGGGTGAAGCAGAAGGCGTTGAAGAATACTAAATAGTCTGATCATGATTATCGTTTTGATATCTTTTTTTTCGCAATAAAAAGACGAATTATCACCAATAATAATGTGTATTCTTATAATTAAACCTTCATTTTATTATCCATAAGTATTATCCTGATAAACTGATTTTATATAATTGCATTTGTAGTGGTGAACCAATAAATGAAAAAATATTTAATATTTCATTTTTGCTTTCATTAGTAAAATGTTTTAGAAATCGAAAAATGAGATAGTTATAATGATTGGTAGAGTTAGTGATTCGGGTAGGTCATTGTCCCAATCACTTTGACGTAATGTGATCTAATAATCAATATCACACTTTAAACATTTGTCGGGAAATGATTTCTAGGAAACAATGTTGAGCTAAGTATTACGACTTGAGTTTAAGTTAAAAGTGCATTTATTTTTCATTTATTTTACAGACTATTTTGTTTTAACAAGGGCATATACGCACGACTCTTTAAATTTAGGCGACTAGAACCTTTGAATCGTGAATTAAGAAAACACGAATTGTAATAACAATCTTAATATGGCTTATCTAAGTTCCGAATTTTTTAATTCTTGAATATGTATTCAAAAGTTTTGAAAGCTATGCACATTCGTATCAAAACTCGCTTAAGTTCGTCATATCAAAAACGTACAATTAAAGTCTGCTATATTTTATTCTAAGAAAATAATTTACCTTATAAATGATACTATGCAGGAAATACCTTTTTTTTAATTCATGTTTAAATAATAAACCAGCAAAAATATACATTTATTTGTGCGTCTCTTTGTATTTACAAAGAACAATACGTATGAATACGCGGGACATTACAAGTATTAGGATTTACGCAAAAAGATAAATAGAAGCACATATTTCGTTTAAACTCTAACAATACATTTAAAAAATACGCTCATAAAAAGTAACAATAGATACTAAATTTTTGAACTTATTTATATTATGTTTATTCAAATTGTATATTACAGTTCGGAACAGGATTCATCGTCTGATTCGAAGTATTCTGATTCGTAATGTAAGTAATCAGGAAATTCAAGTAAGAAATCGATATCATCATCCTCATCTTCCTCATCATCTTCTATTGGCATTCCGTAATATAACATGTTATAGCATTTAGAATTTCCATCTTCAAAATGTTCATACGGCCTATCATAATTTAGAACAGTATTACATAGCCAGCAAAACGGTGTATTACATCGCCAACATTTCATTTTGTTACATCCATCCAATTTCTAAAACGTAATTACATTATAAACAAATTGAATAACTAATACTAACAACCCTTAAACAACTATATAGAAACATAATTTTCAATACCTCAATAGCAGCCTTGCATGTAGGACATTTTTGGCTATTAGTTTGAATCCAACTTTCAGACATTGTATTTTCTACTAAAGTCTGAAGTTGCTTTTTACCATAACGTTGTTCCATCTGGAGCTTTTTATCATCAGATGCTTCTTGATATTCGGATACTAACTGATGTGTTCCAGCTACAAAATAATAAATTTCATATCATATATTTTACTAACATAAATAATCAGAAATTTAGTAACTAAATTTATACCTGAGTAAAGTTTACATGGCTCTATACCATGATATACCATTTTGCAAAAGACACAAAATGCATATTGACAAATTGGACATTTTGCCATTTGTTCATTTGGTTCAAGACTGACTGGATATTGACAATTACGTCTTGGGCAATATATTATGTCCATCATAGTAGCTAATGTGGCACTTAATAATATAGAGTCATACTTAGCAAATAATTCTGAACTTACTAGATCCTTAATCTGAAAATTGTAGATTAAATTATGAGTATATAATAGATACAAAAAAATAAAACATTCTTATCTACTTCATAAAAATAAAAGCTCACCTGAGCAGGAGTAGCTTCGGAAGTACATTTTTCTTCAGGACAATAAATGTTTTGCACATTTCCATCTTTTATTCTTACTTCTAGGTAATTAGTTATGCAATCTTTACAAAATACATGAGAACAAGGTAAAAATTGTGTACAGTGTTCACCTAATTTGTCTTCAAAACAGATTTTACAAGTACTGAAATTCTTCTTAAATTCAATTTGATTTCTCTTTTCATTGTAGTCAATTAACATCTGAATTGGATTTCTTCCAACAGGACAATCTAAAATAGCTCTCTTATCATAGGATTTTTGTATCAACTTCTTTTTACTGACATATTTGTTATTAGTTCCTACTTTCACCTTATTCTTTACATCCTCTGTATGTACTTTGTCATTATTATCTATTATTTTGTTTTTCTGAATATTTTGCACTTTTTCCAAAGTTTCTTTGTAGCATGTATATATGTAACTTATGTTGAGACTTTCTTGTATATGTAAAAAATCCAAAGTCTCATCTTGTAAAAAAGCCACCCATGTAAATAAAATTTCTTGTCCTTTGTTTTCTATCCACAATTTATCCAACTTCTTGCATAATTTGGTTAATAGTGATAAGTGTAACCAGGATGAATATAAAGTAAATTTAGGAGGTAACTTGGAAGGATAACTTTCTGGTAAAACAATGCGAAGCATTAAAGGTGGTAAATGAGATATCTTGATTGTTTGTTCTGGTTCATCCACACATCTTAAATCCTTATAAGTTGTGTAATAATTGGGAGGAAGATTTATAAATATTGTAAATGTACATTGATAAGTACCATTTTCTTCTTGATATGAAAATTCTTCTGTGTTGTAAATACTTTCCAATGCAATTATTTCATCTTTCTGTTTTTCAGCATCCATTTATATGAATTTGAAAACCAATTATAAAAAAAGATTATAGAATGAACTGTATAGGATCAACACTGAAACAAATAAAATAGAATGATAAATTTTATGTATGTATATAATCTGCATAAAAATTTTGGCAATGTGATTTGAAATAGATTTGTCAAATACAATATACTTTACATTTGACAGTTATAGGTTAGATACTTCAAAAATTTAACTAGTCAGTACAATGTTTGGTTTTCATTAACAAACAGAAGTATATAATTAACACTATAAATCAACGTTGAAAATAAGGTATAAATGGACAGAAATTATTAACTAATCACTGCTTTAAAATAAATTTTAAGAAAAAGGTGTACACAGTTTAACAATTTTTTACTAACCAAACCATTGTTAATACAAAAAAAATAATAAATTTAAAATAAAATTCTTACCACAATTAAAATTTTATATATTCCATGCAAATTTTCTAAACATACGAACATTGGAATAATACTGTATTTCACGTAGGATCGGACCACTTTGCACAACACGACTGAACTCAGAAGAAATATAATAATTTAAAATTATGTAATGCAAATAAATATGTATTATGTTTTTAAGCTTCTGTTTTGTACCAAAAGTTTATAAATCCAAATTAAATTATATAATTAAATTTTTTCGTACATACACTACAGACTAGTGATGGGCAGATTAAATGCCCACCGAAGAGTTCATGGGCACCGGCGTGTTTGTGTAGAATGTCTAGAGAAAACCCTAGGAAAAGACTAGGGAAAATCTAGAAGCAGCTGTTTGCACGTTGTGTATCATGCAAGGGCACAATTGCCCGTTGCCCGTTACACGTCAGTGGATTATATCGCGTTAGCATGTTCAAATATGAGAGAAGTAATGTATACATTTGGAGATGGTTTTTTTCTTAAAGATAATTACACTTGCTTTATCTACAATAAGAAAAGATACATAATTGATAACACCTGTCTTCAGCCACGTTAAATAATCATTCGAATCCATATGACTTGTTTTATATTTTTACCAGTGTCTATTGTATTCAACTCTTTTACACTGTTTTTATCAAAACGTTCAATATGGAATACAATGACGATACATGGAAATTTATTTTTCCACTTTTTATTAATTTCGCGATGTCAATTAGTGTGTATTTTTTAACTATACGTTTAATTCCAAAGATAAAAGACATGTTTATTAAGGCTAACCTATATGGTATTGATATGAATAAAAGTAGTGGTGAAAAAGTGTAAGTGAATTCGAAACTACATCATTGCTTCATCTTCTATTTTAAATGTGTTAAAAGCAGGTAATTTGTGTACTTTATTCTTTTATAGGCCAGAAGCAATAGGTGTTGTTACTGGGTGTCTGTTCCTTATAACTCTTTTTCTGTTTATTCCCATACCATTTACAAATTATATATTTAATGACACAAACTTCCCTCATAGTGAGGTATGCAATTAATATCTTATAATATGAGTATTGAATCAATATTAAATTCTTAAATATGATTTTACATGGATAGAATAACATATAATACATAAAATCTCAATTACAGTTTATGGAATTTTTGGCTGCTCTACTTTCAATTTGTTGTATGTTACTTTTGGGTTTTGCTGATGATGTTTTGGATCTACGTTGGCGGCACAAATTATTATTACCAACCATTGCTTCTTTACCACTTTTGATGGTATATTACATTAATTTTAACTCTACATTAATTATTGTACCAAAACCATTAAGATCATGGCTAGGTTTCTCTGTGGATCTTTGGATATTTTATTATTTATACATGGGAATGTTGGCAGTATTTTGCACAAATGCCATAAATATATTGGCTGGTATAAATGGTCTAGAAGTTGGTCAAAGCCTGATAATTGCACTAAGCATTCTTATATTTAATATAATAGAATTATCAGGAAATCTTTGGAAGGCACATCAGTTTTCATTATATTTTATGATTCCATATATTGCTACTTCATTAGGCTTATTGAAATTTAATTGGTAAGTAAGACATAAATTGTATAAGTTATTATATATATATACAGTTCCTCTTTTTAGTAATATATGAAAGGATATAAATAAAAACAATAGTAATAATTAATTTTTTTATAAGTTATATGTATATAAATCATTTAACATTCACAATTCATTCAACATATTATTTTGGTATATAAATTCAGTACAATATTATATAGTTTACATTGAGTATTGAATATGAGTTAATATCACAGTCAGGTGTAACCAGTATGTTAGTAATAGTCTAATTTAGCATAAAAATTTTCTACTAGCCAGTCATACTTCCATGTATTATTAAATATTGTTTCAGGCGCAAAATAGAGGTCCCGAGATTTAGAGACTCTTAGGAGATTAGTTTTTCCATCTAACCATAATCCACTTCCTATTAGGTCCTCAATGAATGGTACATCTATAGTCTTATCTATTTCAATTTCTTTGGATTTGATCTTATTCTGTAAACTAGTTATAATATTTGCAGGTGCTTGACATAGATAACAGTACCATCCTCCATAATGATTTAAATCTCCTATTACTAGGCCTAGGCTGTCTCTTTCGCTGATATCTCCTTCTAATTGCTCCAACATGATAGAATTTGATTGATAAGCTTCATGCATTAATCCAATCGTACAGGCACCAACTGTTATTGTTGTTTTAAGTGGATGTTGCCAAAAGAATCCATAAACGGACCATCTTAGTCTAAAACCAATAGGTTGTGGCCATCCATTATATACCTTGAGGAACATTAATGCCCTAGAGTTTAATATTTGTTCTGATTCAGTCGTTACATAAATATCATCATCCCTTAGATTTCGTACTACAGTTCTCATTTTCTCCCAAATATATTTAGACACTACTCTTGATGGTTTGTGTATCTTTGTTGCTACATTAATATATAAAATCTTCTTCTGCTTATGTTGCAATAAACCTTTAAGTAGCTTATGATGAAAATTGTCTTCTGCATTACTGAAATCACAGATTACAAAAAGATCTACTACATTGTATAATTCCTCTACTATCACCTCTGCGATTGCTGAATTATATTCATGCAGAAAAAATGCATGAATAATACGTCTAGCTATTTTACGATGTTTTAATTTAATATTCTGTTTCGATGCCATAATTGCTCTCCAAACAACTTCTGGTTGACCACAATCCGAACCGTGCCATCCATGAGCGCAAATACATTTTTGAAGATCTTCACTATTTCTCATTTTCTGATCATCCACTCCATATTTCCAACATATGGTATGGTTATATACTTCAAATAGTGCAAAAGTCTTGACATCTTTCAGTATTACCTCTCCATTGATTGTCTGGTAGATGGGAAACTTTTTATAATTAGTTTGTTGTATTTGAGGTTTCTGCAATATAGTTAATAGACACATTATTAATAGAATTAGAAATTTGACTGCTCAGGTAATGTTAAATGCTTTCACAATCCAAGTTGAAAATATACTTTGAATGCATTACTTACCTGCGGTTCTTCAAATTTTACAAATGTAACAGAAGTATGAGTTGTAGACACAGTTAATTCGGAAGGTGGAGTTGTAGCAACATAAATCATAACAATTAAAACTTGCAAGACTAATAATGTATAAAGTAAGGCAAGCTTCCCATCTAGGCGGGGCTGCATGGCACTATATCTTGCTTTAATTTTCAGTTATTCATTTTGTATCTTATAAAAATTTCATTTTAATCATAACGCTTCTGGCACAACAGAGCACCATCCAAAAGCATATATATAATTGACGTAGATGACGTATGTCTATGGAATGGAGTTTTAAGTCGTTGATGATACATTGTATATCAAATTAATTGAAATTCACATACTTTTTATTACTTGTATCAAACAATTAGTCGAGTAGTTACCAAGCATGATAAATTATAATAACCATTTAGAAAACATGTTTAAAATATTAAAAGAATATAAATATTTATATATGTTTAAAAATTTTTCATTACTTTAAAAAGTATAATTTTCGGTTATGTTTACAAATACTGAATATTAACCAGTAAATAGTTCTCAGTGATATTTTAGATACAAGATACATGTAATTTGTATACAAACTCACGATATAGTTTGACGCTAACGATGATATGAATGCCTGTGCGTCGTGACGTTTAAACCGTGACGTCACCGCGCCCCGACGTGCCATTTAACTTTAAATGGCCTCGATCACTCGTTGACAACTTTTTTAAGCAAATAAAATTGTGTTTTTTAATCAACTTTTGGTGTTCTGTTAATTCTAGGATCGTTTGCTGCATAATGCCACATATTTTCACCTCTTCATAACAAATTCAATGTACTATTTAGTATGTACTTCGTTGTTTCGTTAAATTCTACTCAGTTTCTTATGCTGCCTTTTAAGAGTGATACAACGAGTTCAAAAACCACGCCCAAATGCTTTTCTTCAGGTCTTTGACTGTAATTCGTCAGCAAGCGCGATTATAACGCCTCTCAAGGCGCACGCGTCTGAATCCTGAATCTACCATCTACCATCTATGATCTATCATCTACTATCTACCTTCTACAGTCTACCATCTATATCTACCATCTATTATCTGCATCTACCATCTATCATCTACTATCTACCATCTTCCATCTTATAATTTATCAATAATTTTTGTAAAAAATGAGAACATGTAAATTATATAGAATTAGACTTTATAAAACACAATCCGGTTTGAAAAATTGAGAATTGGGAAATTTTATTATTCATTATCTTGAACATTCATTTTTTATCATTCAGTTTAACTTTTTACATAAATAAAATTTTGTCTTGTTTAAGGTATCCAGCTCAAGTATTTGTAGGTGATACTTTTTGTTATTTATCTGGCATGACATTTGCTGTTGTTGGCATCATTGGCCACTTTAGTAAAACAACGTTGTTGTTTTTCATTCCACAAATAATTAATTTTCTTTATAGTGTACCTCAATTATTTCATTTTATACCATGTCCTAGACATAGATTACCAAAGTGAGTATTGTAATAAACTATTCCCAGTTTATCATAATATTTAAAAATCTATATGCATATTTTTATTTACAGATATAATAAAGAAACAGATAAATTAATGATTAGCAATACAGTATTTAATAGAAAAGATATTGGAGTTATTGGTACGAGAACATATTGTACAGAAATTAATTCATTAACATTATAATAATTTGATCTCAGATTAAGTAGTACTGTTTTTAGGTTCATTCATATTATGGCTATTTGGAAATTTAAATATAATCAAGTGGGAAGAGGATAGTAAAGGTGTTGTTACTTGCAATAATCTTACATTGATTAATTTTGTTCTTATTAAAACTGGTCCAATGAAAGAATCTACACTCACATTAACATTACTGATAATTCAGGTAAGGTTGTAGAATAATGAGTGAATAATAAGGTGGACTTTTGTTTTTAAGTTACCAAATTAGTGTAATATTTACACACTATACTCTAATACATTGAACAATTATTGATGTTCTAGGTTGTCAGCAGTTTGTTAGCATTTGTTATAAGATACCCTCTTGCTTCAGTCTTCTATGATATTTAAAAAAAATGAACAAGTGAAATACAATATTATTTATTATTTCATAATGAAATAATAGATTAATTGTTATACTTTTGGTACAAAAATTTTGTATTCATAGTGTCACTGTACATCCATCGACCATTGTAAACAATGTAGATATTGCTTTATTTTCAGGAAATGAATATGTTCCTTTCTAGTTTGTAAGTTATATTATATTTTATATCTCAAATTGTACATAATTTGATTAAAAGTACTTTATAATATAATATATACAAAATAATATAAAATACAATTCCAGATTCACAACTACAATTTTTAAATAAACTATTACAAATTAATTGTTTATTTCATTTTTTTAACAATTTTTTTTTCAATAAGCAACATATATGTATACAATATTTTAAGTATCTAAGCAAACAACCTTCAGTATGCTTATATATATTATAAGTATATTCAATATGATAATTCACAAAATGTAAGTGAATAACAAATCTTGTTACGTAAACAAAAATTTTATAAAAGTTTAAATAATCAACAATTGAAGTGGTAGTAGGCATCATGTCTTTGTAGTCTTATATCTAACAGAAACACTAAAATAGATATTTTATAAATGCAGTTTTCAAAAATATAGTTCATAGGAACTTACGGTTGAAAAACTACTGAAACAATGTAGTTAAAATGTAACTGTGACCAATTTTTAATATTTCATTTGAAATTTCTACAGAAATGACAACTAGTACAAATTTATGTGTTTGTAAAAATTTTACTGAAGTCTTGTATAAAATTATATTTATGAATCATATCATGGGCACGAAATTTCGTTCTAATTCTGGTAACCACGTGTATTATTTATTAAAAATTTCGATTCCGATCATTGTAGTTTTATAAAAAAAACTTATGAAACATTCTGGAAATTAAGCATTACGCTCGGGCCTAGTTTGTCTTTTATTGTAAGTTGCGTTTTTGCAGCATCTCTCAAACTGAAAATGTGTGTAAGTTCCATGGCTGTGCGACCTAATGCTAAGGCCTTGTCGAACAGTTTTATTGCTTCTGTTAAATTTCCCCTGTTACAATAAAGTTTGTAGTTTAGTACAATATCAGAAAAAAATTAATATTATAAAACACAATTATTAATGGAAAAAGCAATATAGATTTACCTCTGAACTTCAATTGTACCTAATGTTTCATACCCATATTCACATTTATCATCCAATAATAATGCTTTATTGATATATTCAACAGCCTTATCAACATCAGCATTCCATTGCAACTGTAATAGACCTCTGTGTACATAGATTGTTGCATTAGTTGGATCTTTTTCAATTGCTTTAGCAAAATACATGTCTGCTTTTTGAAATTCTTGTGTTTCTGATAACATCTATATTGTTATATTATATATTAAATTAGACGCTGAATTTAATATGCATTTTAATAAGACATTTAAACTTTCATCTATACCTGAGCATACAGCGTATAACATTCAGAACAGTCTGGAAACTTTTCAATTGCTTCTTCAAATCCTTTCATTGCTTTCGCTATTACTTCCATATCCCTTTTTACTATACCATAACGATAATCTGCAAAACACTTTTGTACAAATGCTACCCCAAAGGTGGGATTAAGATCAACAGCTTTTTTGAAATCGTCTCTGGCTTCATCTATTTTTTCCATAAGTAAATTTACCTGTCATAATAATTTATATGATTTCTTTTTTCTTATTTTGCACAGAAATGTCATAGATTTTTCTAAACTCAAAATGAACTTCAGTAATACCTGTCCTCTATGATGATAAATATCACCACATTCAGGATCAAGTTCAGCAGCCATTTTAAAATCAGAAAAACTTTTGTCTTGACTTTCCAACTGCATAAATAAAGTAGCTCTTTTTATTAAGGCATTCACTTTCACATCATTTGGAACGGAATCGCTATTTATAATAGTTCCAAAATCTTCAATTGCAGCATCATGCTGCCCTAATAAAAGGTAAAATGTTGCTCTTAAAAGTAATATTTCCATTTTGTGTGGCAGTGTGTTTGATTCAGAATTGTTAATTTCTTCATTGCACAGTGGTATTACATCATCATACTTTTGTTCTTTTACACATTCTAAAATTTTTACAAAACCCCTAAAGATTACATAAATTTTAATTATTTAAAATATCTTTCACCATATATAAATACTAAAAATTTTTTAAATACTTACTTAGAAATATTACTATCATCAGTATTCTGAAGCCTTGCAAAAACAGGATCTTTGTGGAAGGTACTAATATACGTTTTAATGAAATATTTGCTAGGCATTATTAATTTTTTGTTTGCCAAATGTTCCATTGCATGTTGTCTTCCTAAAAATGGTACAAACATTATATATTTTTACTTCTCTTAATGTATATATCTCAAAGTACATGAGATAAATGAGATATTCGAAAGTAAACAGATAGGTAGTTTATTCATTCATTCATAATTTACCTAGTTGCTTTAAAACTCTATCTGCCATTAAAATTGTTGTTTGATTAGAAAAGTTTTCAAAAATACATGCAGCAGTAACATCTTCTAAAGCTGATTCTAAATCATTGCAATGTTCCATTGCCTTTGCTCGACGTAATAATGCTTTGGCATACTTTGGTTTCAATTCTAAAGCTTTTGTACAATCTGCTTTTACAGCACTATACTTTTTCTGTAAAATATAATTTTATTATATAATTTTATAAACATTCAAATTATGAAACCAATATTAATGACAAAATGTATTACCAATTGTTCATAGGCAGCTGCTCTGTTTTGATAAAAAGTAGCAAGAGCTTCTGTATTTTCCTTAGGGCATATTTCAATCGCATAATTATATTGTGTTATTGCTTCATCATACTTTCCTTTTCTGAACTGTTCATTTCCTTCATTTTTATATCTTTGAGCTTCATCCAATGGAGTCTACGATTATAGATCCTCATTTGACATATTTAATATTTAACGTTATAATAAAACATAAATAGCATAGCTTTTATGTTTTAGTTCTACTTTTATAATTGCTCAAGATTGTAATCCATTGTAACAACTTAATGATAAAAACTAAAGACAAATTATAGAATACATAATTTGAAAATACCTGAAACTTCTATTATGAGTAAAGTATCACTAACTTTTTCATTACAACTAATCAAACTGTTTCTAACCTCGGTTTCAAATGTAGTTTTTGGTGGATAATCAACATCAATTGAAATTTGTTTGTCAGTAGCTGCTGCGCCATTTTCCTTTGAGCTACCCTTTGATTTACCACGATTTGATTTTGAAGAAGGCTTAGAACTGTTTTTATAATACATATATCCAAGTCCTAAAGCAACCGGCGCTGCAACAACCAAAGCGAGTTGCCATTTTGGTAGCGGGCTACTGGCCACGCTACTCGCGCCACTTGCACCCGTCATTTTTCACAAATTGCTTACTGTTTCGAATTATTACAGACTATCCTGATTTTATGTTCTTCTTTGAATCTCAATGATACGAAAATGGGTAGTAAAAAGTAATGCAAAGTCGAGCGACCATGCGGAATGATCTCACTATAGGCACTTGCAGACGAATTCTCGAAGAAGCAAATTATTTAGTACGCAGTTCTACCACCATATGAACTTAGAGCTTAATCTTACTACCACAAACAAACTACAGAATAGATCATTTGTGCAATGCAGTTTTGTATCATTTTATTCTTCCATCACTTTACCACCTCTGCTACTATAACTATCTAATGCGATGTAATTTCACGTAATTTAATTTGGCACGTTTTGATTTGATTTAATTCATTATAAGATTATGAACATTTAAAATAAGCCTCTTATCGTTTTCGTGTCACATCCTGCTATATCGATTAGAGCTAGTATTACATTATAGCGCTATCGGTGGTAGGAACTAAAATTAAAAACATTGATATGCACTTGTTATTTTAATTTAATTTTAATAATATTTGTAATTTATTATTAAATTGTATTTCAAAATGATCATTGATCTTTGTTAAGATGCGAATACTAAGTATTACTTTATGCTGAAATTTTATACTATCTCCAATATGTAATGCTAGTATAAATTTATTTTTACTTGTTATATAAGAATGTTATTTCATTCTTTGATATTCGCGCCTTGTTTTTACGCGTGTACAAAATTTTATCTAAAAGATGGCAACGGTCTGTCAACAGAAGTGCAATTCTGTCTGTGGTCATATCTATAGATCATTGAATTTTGAAGACAGCTTAAATTGTAAGAAATGTTATGAAAGTTATGAAACTTGACAAAGAATGTTAAGTGATTGGGAATATTTACTGCGTTATAGAAAACTATAATATATATCAAATTTGTGATTTCGCACATCTTTATAGGAGTGTGACGTTTACCAAAATGGCACTACAAGAAGATGAAAACACCTGGTGAGCTGATTTTACAGTTTCAACATTCTTTTAAACAAATAGAAAATATATTTTTAGTAAACGTGAAATTTAATTAATTTTATTGATGTTTACTATTTTCAGTAATTTATATCTTTTATTCTGTGCAACACTATTTTATTACTATTGTCTTCGAATAATAGAAAGTATAGAACACTAAAAATAAGAAATTTATATATTGTATGTGAATGACTGTAGTTTCTTTTTATTTAATTAAAGTGTGTTATTAATGTCTTAGAAGTAAATTGATATTTTATTTAAGTTTATTAATGTATTCACAAATGTTCATTAATTATTTTACAAGGATGTTCAAATCAACGTTAAATAATAGTTATATATCAATTACGTTAAGTTAATTAGGAGCAATGTCTGTTATAATGAATAAATTGAAATGAAATAATTAAATTAGGGTGTTGGAGCTAGAAGCAGCTCTTCTTGATACCGAAGCACCTTCAGCATCTGATATTTACGCAATTTGCAAAGGACAAGCAGTTCCCACAAGTTTAAGGCCAGATGTATGGCAGGCTTGTTTAGATGTTATTGATCGGGGTAATCAACTGAGTCACTTTAATGAAGTTTTTGATTTACCAGAACAAAATATTATTCGTGACGATTGTCAGCAATTAGTTGGTAAGTACATGTATCTTATAGTCCATTACATTTAAAAATTTTAAGATGTATATTTGGAGGAAATATTCATTATTTTTTTGTCACAGCTAAACTTGGAAATGAAGATGAGGATAAAGTTTCTGTTGTTTCTGATTTAGAGTCTATTTTAACATTTTATTGTAAAAGCAAAGGAAAGCAGTATGAAAGAGGAAATGGGTGGATAGAATTATTGGGCCCATTGATAACTTTAAAACTCCCACGTAATACAACATATAATTTATTTGAGTCTATAATTGATATTTATATTCCTAGGTATGATATTTTATTATTAAAATAGTTATATCATTTTATTTACTAATAACAATATTATATGTATTTAGAGGTGAGACATACAGTTCTGTATTGAGATTGTTATTACTTTATCATGAACCAGAACTATGTTCTTTTTTGGATACAAAAAGAGTATCACCTGATCAGTATACAAAGGGATGGGTAACCACTCTATTTTCTGGAGTGTGTTCATTGCCAGCTGTTTGTACAATGTGGGATTTATATTTTATGCAAGCTGATCCATTTTTTATGTTATTTCTTTCACTTATTATGATAATAAATGCTAGGTAAAGATTATAAAATCAACTTCTTTTGCATGTATATTTTATTTCCTATAAGATTACATTTTGATTGTTTTTTCATAGGGAGCAAATTCTAAGTATGAAAGACAATGATAAACAAAGTATAATAGATGCAATTGCTGCTATGCCTTGTGCTTTGGAAGCAGAAGATGTAACAGATTTTTGTTCATTAGCACAGTATTATGCGATGAAAACACCGTCATCTTTTAAACATGATTTATATCCTGTTATGTTCGGCGAAAGTTTTGATGAAAAGTATATATCACACGCACTTTGCTTACCTGTATCTGCCCAAGAATTGGTTGAAAATTCTATCGAAAGTCCGTCCGTACCTAATACCTCTGTTGAGTCTGTTAGATTTTTTTTAGTGGATTGTAGACCCGCAGAACAGTATAATGCAGGACACCTGCCAACTGCGTTTCATTTAGATTGTAATTTGGTATGTTACTTTTGTGCACCTTTATTAATATTCGTGTATTTTATTTAAATTTTGAAATGATATTTTAGATGCTTCAAGAACCTGCTGCTTTTGCCACAGCAGTGCAAGGTCTGTTGCAGGCTCAACGGCAGGCACTTGCTGTTGGTTCACAAGCTGGTGGAGAACATCTTTGTTTCCTAGGAAGCGGTAGGCAAGAAGAAGATCGTTATACGCATATGGTAGTTGCATCCTTTTTACAGAAGCATACTCAGTATGTCAGTATGGTTACATCAGGTTACCAAGGTAAGGAAAAGTTCTATATAGAATTAGAAGGCTCATAAAAGCAATAATATCTTCATCCTCAGTAATGTTGTTTTAGCCATACACGAATATTTTGGTGATGAAGTTGTTTCTAGTCTTATTGATCATAACTCACAATATTGTTTAGTATGTAATGCTAATATATCCGAGACAAATTCTAATGAAACAAGTCCTATTAAAGTAAAAAATAATAATTCTGATTTCCTTGGAAAAATTAAGAAAGTGAAAGGAAAATTATTTGATTACATTGTTAATCCTTCTGCAAGTGTCCATACTAACTTGGAAAATAGAAATAGCAAAGATTTAGAGTATATTAAACGACAAAAAAAGACGGCACCAGTATTTAGTATAGACGATGATCAAGAATTGGGTAAGTTCTAGTTTTTATATTATAGTTATGGTTGTAAAAATGAAACATGTATTTATTTCATATTATCTGCTTGTCATACTTCTAGATATGACAATGACTAATAACGAAAGCGAGGAACCTATTGAAGTAGTATCGATTCAACAATGGATGAAAGATCCAAAATTATTACATTCCTTTAAGTGTCAAGAAGTAAAGGTTAATGGAGATCTCTGTGATAGGTATTTTAATAAAATATAAGTGCTTTAAGAAATATGCTTTATGGCTTAATTTTTTATATATTTCTGTTTTTCAGTATACTTTTAGTTACCGATACTCATCTTATAGTACTTCGAGAAATACAAGAACGAAAGGGTGCAGCACACGTAATTGTTAAACGTCCGTTAACGAGTATCGTTAAAATAACTTCTAGAAAGAGACATTCAGATTTAATTACGTTTAAATATGGTACAACACAGTATAATGACACAGTCATTTCAGATATGGACAAGTTTCTTATTCCTAATGCAAGCGAGGCTACTAAATTAATTACACAACAGATTTTAAAACAATTGAAAACGTCAAATTAATGTTGGAATATGATAGCATTATGCACGATGGTACACGTTTGATAAAGTTCAATTTATTTTAGAATGTTTTTATCTAATAAGTTTCAGGACCGAAATTTTTTTAGTATTCGCAACTAAATGGTACTACAAATGTAACGTATTATTCATGAAGATAGCATGAAACATTTTAATAGTAATTCGTACAATTTCATACATGAAAATAATTTATATGATGTATCATCAGTAACAGTATGATAGATATTTGTACTTGAATTTTAAACATTTTGTGATTTTATTAATTCATTATTTACTCGAATTATATTTACATTTATTGTATTTCACTTTGCACTTTTAATGTTCTTAAAGATGTTCAACTTCTACGAAAACGCATTTTCTGCATTTCTTTTTTGTGATAGTATCAACAGTCAACAGTGTTTAATTTTGTTTGTATTTTACATATGGCTAAACGGTGGCCTTATTATAAAAATGAATAGGAGAGGTAATGGACTCTGCAAATTATTCATAAACGTGAATACGACGGAATGTAATGTGCCATGGACTAAAATATTACTGATTTTTTTGTGTAAATACCATCAGTAGAAATATTTACAATGATTAATAATTCATTCTTAAATAGGACTAAAAAACTTTTAATCAAAAACTAATACAGTGTTTTAATATATTATATTATATTTATATGTTATAATGAACTGATAATTGGTCCTAATATAATACAATTTGAAAGATATTACTGAATGGTTATAACGTTTGCATTTTATAGTGTAGTCTTGCACTAAATGTCTACAAAATATTTATAATGGTACAAAATACATTGAAAAGTAAACAGTAATATCACTTTTACAGGCATACCTATTACACTGCCTGATTATATTTCGAAGAATTTTTAAACTTTAAGATTTACGATATTTCGAAAATATATTTGAAGATCATACAAAATCTTTCATAAGAAAACTATCCGTCTTTTTCTGGAGTTTATATTTAAACTAAATGATATGATTCTTTTTTAATTTAATAACAGGAATATACTAATGATAGCATATTGAAATTGGTCTCATAAATTTTTATGCACATGGTTGTACTGCTTTTTTATATAATTCGAAACAATATTATTTGCAACAATTATTAGTTTGTCTATAGACTATAAATATTTTAATATGGTTGTAATTTCATGTGTTCTCGCAAATGAATTATTTAGAAAGTATAAGTATGTATTTTATGTTTGAAATTATAAAAAGGGTAATTTCAAATATGATAACTAAATCTGTCAGAATCTTCAATCTTGTAGATACTATCAGCATTGTGAATATTGTAATAATAGTGATCTGTAACATACTTTATTCTTATGTACAGTAAATAAATTTTCTATTTATGTGCTTCCAGCATGAACGATAAATTTAATAATGGGACAGTTATTGATTAATCAATTTTAGAATTTAAAGAATTATAGTGTGTTGTAAACCACTTAAATATAAATCTTCAGTTGTATGTAAATAAATTTTATGTAATTCATCACGAATGAGTTCGAATAATACATATTTTCAACAGATTGTAAAGATGTAATATAATTATACCTCTTGACATATGTTATACAATATTACAACTTTTAATATCTAATAAATGAATGTAATGCCTACAAGGTGTTATCTATCAGTGCGCATAAGTGCATCCTGCTTGCATATTTATAATTCACTGATATAATTGTTCGTCATTTATTTAAATAAACTAATTTAAATAATTAATAATTCAAATATTATTGCGAGAATTTATTTATAAGTAAAATATCCTAGAAAATTTTTATGAATATATGTTACATTTATTAATTTATTAATTTTTGAAGTATGGCGTTATCGCGTTACACAGGATGTATTGATATATATACGAAATAAAATCGAAATAAAATCAATTGCTTAAATACAAATTTTTTAAATGAAAGGAGATTAATATTCATACATGTGAAAACATGAATATTTAATACGTTTGTACTTTATCACTCGGTACACACAGTTATTTGTAGTCTCAGTTGATAACGAAGGTTCCGGCGGAGAAGTAGCTGTCATGACGTATATTTTATGAACGTCTCTGTTTCTAACGTAATAACATCAAAAAGAAGATTTGTTATGGAAACTATAAATTGGGGGGAATTATTCCCAGGAAGATGGAGCCTTGTCATTTTTATTTCGTACATGGCCCTTTTTGTGAATCAAGGTATTATGTAATTATGGTTAAGTTTATTTATGTTTACATTGATAAGTTTTGTTAAAAATTCATCTTATTATCATTATATATATATATATGTATTAATCACTGTATTTATCTGCTTATTTATGTTATTTTTATCATATAAATTATACTGTTAAATTGTTTTTATTATAGGCATTATTGTAACTTGGTCTCAACGAGATGGGCATTATGAATACAACATTGTTATGGTAGTATTGATGACAGAAGTATTAAAGTTACTTGCTTCAGTTATATTATATTGCAAAGAGTAAGTAGTATTTATTATATCCATGCAAGCGCTTCAATTAACGTAATACACATAACTTCAGTATTTTGTAATGTAACTATAATTTTCTTGCAGCAATAGCATTACACGTCTCATTCAAGAAACACTGGGACATAAGAAAGGTAAATATATAAGATATTTATAAGATATTGTATAAAAATGATAAAAATATGTAAACTGAAGTGATTGATTTATAAAGTTTATATATATTTGAAATGTCAGAGTTACAGATTTTATATAGGAATTTTTTATAAGGATCTTATCAGTAGTTCCTATCTCATTGATATGTAAAACAAACGAATTAGAAGATAAGATAAAGTCACAGTTTTTAAATTTTGTACAAAAGAGTACATTTACAGAATTTTACCTTTCAAATATTAAGTGCTCATAATAATTATTATTTATTCTTCTATTCTAGTGTTCCTTCTATACATGATACCTTCATTTTTATATTGTCTGTACAATAATTTGGCATTCATCAATTTGGCTGCATTTGATCCAACAACTTACTATGTTTTATTACAATTTCGTGTTGTTACGACTGGAATTATTTTCCAGGTATGTAGCAGAGGCATTTTTTGTGGCATATAATGGAGCAACAATAAAGCATTTTCTAAAATGATATTTCTTTTAGGTTGTTTTTAATAAGAAATTGTCACTAAAACAATGGCTTTCACTAGTGTTACTAACTATTGGATGCATGGTAAAACATATAGATTTGAACTTGAACATCAGTGTATTTGAAGCCAAAATTAATTTAAATAGTAACGTAATTTTAATATTTGTACAGGTACATATATATTATCAATATTAACATGTTATTTTAATTAAAATCTGATATTAATATTTGTTTATTTTTCAGACTATTTGTTCTTGCCTGGCTGGAGTATATAATGAATATTTACTAAAAGAACAAGGAGCAAATATCAATATTTTTGTACAAAATGTATTTATGTACATTGACAGTATTTTCTGCAACTTTTTAGTTTTTGTATTACTTTACATCTCAGACAATAGCACATCAAATATATTTAACAATGCCAACCCTAGCTTACTTATGCAGCCAAAGGTTATTATAATTATGTTAAACAATACAGCAGTCGGTATAATTACGAGTTTTTTCTTACAAAATTTAAATTCAATTTTAAAAACCTTTGCTAGCGCGTTGGAACTGGTATTTACAGCAATTCTCTGCTGGATAATATTTAATATTCCTATCCATTTAAACACTGTAGTTTCTATTGCTATGGTGAGCTACGCAGTGATATTATATTCTCAAAATCCAGTACAAAACATTAGAACCAAAGAAAAATTAATATCTGATAGTATAGTTTAGTCAAATAAATTTAGGAAATTTGTATTAATTATATATGAATCTAGAAGTATTTTACTTCATATAAACTTATTACATATGTGTTCACAGAGCTATGTTTTACTGTATACTTTTTGTACATAAAATTGTTATAGTACTTAAGCGATACAAACAACTTGCATAAGATAAAAATGAAAGTGACTTTTATATAGTATTATAAACTGTAACTAATTTATTTCATATGTAAATATTTATAATTCACACGGAAATATTTAAGTGATCAATATTAATGTTAACTATAATTTAAGATCTTTTGTATTATAACAAATAAAAATTAATATAAATATATACAATTAAATAAAAATCTGTGTTTTTATAAACGATTATAACATTACATTATCAATGAAAATTCCATTTGTATATGAGGCGAAATAACACAACACCTGCTAGTGAATCGAATACTATTTTAAATTGAAAAGGGAATTCTTGGATCGATCCGAATTTTAATTGGCGGGAAAATCGATTCACTAACATCGATAAAGCAAGTCACATATCTCTTTGCTAGAATTATGCGATGTAAATTACTTTTGATGTTCTCGTAATTTTGTTCGTGATTACGGCATACGTACCTGTATAAAACCATTTTTCGAGAAGTGGGGAGAGGGTGGTCGATATTACCTCGAAACCACCTTGCTTTGAGAACAGAGTGACGGCAGTCACATGTCGACCGTCGTCACGTGAACATCGTACCGGGATATTCTTCCGGTTGTCGCGCCGTTTGTTATGAAATGTGCATTCATAACGAAATGACAAACCTGATATGCCGTACAGTGAACAGTTTCTCAAAAGCGGAAACAGTGAAATATGTTCTCGTGAAATTAATGAATTTTCTTGTCGCCTTTGTACGAAGACAACAGGTATGTTAATTGTACATTGCTACATTAACATATTTCTGTGATATCATTAATGTAATAAAATTATTCTGAAGTGTTGCTTTGTACTTATATTAAATTTCGCATAGAATTTTGATTCTCGTATAAAGTCATTACTAAAAATGATTCATCTGACAGCGTCAAGTCAAATAATAAATTTGATCACATGATAGTTTGACACATGATTGGCGCCATTAAAAATCGCGCCAAATAGGTATCTGTAATGTAACAGAAAAGAAACCGATTCAATAGTTTTAATTATTAATTAATAATTTGTATTAGACAATGTATTAAAATTAAAATGCAGTTGTCCAGGACTAACAATATTGCACAGTATTTCTTTAAAATACTTATTATTATTAATTGATGATATCGATACTGGCTGTACAGCAATAGTTGTAGTTCGATATCGATTATCGATACATAGGCGCGAGAAATAATAGAATTTGAAAAGTATTCAGTTTTATTGCAACCTCGTGAGAGGACAACCCTTTCTTTTTCAGCTTTTCAGACGCACGCACGTTTTCTTTGGATTATGCAATCACCTTTCGTGTGTACTACTTTTATGCAGGGTTCGTGTCGTGAGATTCAATGATAAACTTCGCCCCGACTCTCCCTTTTTTTTAAATATTGGCTACCAAGTCAGATAACGGCTTGTCGAGCGTAATATTTGGAAAATTATACACATAATTTCTTCAACTACTAATTACAAAATATTAAGCTATACGATATACGAAAGAATATGGAGCATAAAGATTAAAGTTATTTTTAATTATTCCTGCAAATTTATTTGATTAAATATATTTTTTAATAACCAAAGTTTTGTATGATTATTACAAATTATTGGTTTCTATTAGAAAAAGAGTTAACGGCATTTCTATACACGCTAAAGAGATCTAAATTAATATTGAAACGTGTTTCGTGACCAAGGTGGTTAATTCAACAACTGAAACCGGAAATCAGATGCGTCAGGAGCTTGCCGGTTAGTGTCTTACCAATGTCAATCATTTCAAGCATGTCTACCTAGCTGCTGCCGGAAATGGAGGAAACATTACGAAAGTCAAGACAATATGAAATTTTAATTTACCCAGAAAAGATTCCTCATGAAAATTAAAGTTGAAGGATATTATACTGGATGTAAATATCTATAAAAAATAGAATATTTATTATGCCGATGTATCTCTAACACTTTTAGAATACAATCGTTAATCACATTTTAATATTTTAGTACTTGATATTATGGTAGTTAGACATTTCCATATATATGTATTTCTAATATAATTTTTTAAATAATTTACGTACGATATATGTTAGAAGTCAGATCTGAATTTTGTAGATCACCTGGTATATCGAACATAATGGATGTACAAACGTTGCAGCGTTACTTGTTTCACTGTAAATATCCAACGAATCTATCAATCAGGTTTGTCCTCGCGTGACTCGATGAACGAACAGGAGCTGGCAACACGATTCTTAAGGAAGACAATGAAGGACCTACGATTCCCAAGGGACGAGACGTAGGGTGGTATGTCCGAGTGCTTCGAGTTCTCGTCATCTATGACAGGATCGACGAATTCGGGGCCTCTGCAGCCCCCAAAGGATTCTTCGGCTCTTTCTGCTCGTTCCTCGCCTTTCGATTTTTATTCGACTTCCAAGAGTCCAGTTCACAATCATCGTCAGCGACTCCCTCGAAAGATGACATTGGCTTCACCCAATGGACAACCCATACAACTTACTCCTCTGTGGGAGCACGTGGTCAGTACAATTACAACTGACTTATTAAAACATTCATTTTTCTGTCCACATAAATTCATGAACATCACAGATAAAATAGCACACGCACCACACCAAATTGGAGCTAAATTTTAATTCAAATAACCATATAATTTATGTGTTGTAGGTACGAACTCGAAAGTTCCCAAGCGAGGTCGACACGCGTCTTACGTTCTTAGAAATATCGGAGAGACTGCGTGATCCGGAATGGGAGGTGCGTCAGCATGCTCTTCGTGTGCTTATAGACGTGTTACCGACTCTGAATGCTGATATCGTGGACAAGGTCATGCAACCAGTGGTACCAGAGCTGGTCAATAATTTGGGCCACCCAGCGCCCGCTGTTCGCAAAGGGGCTCTCGACGCTCTACGAGTTTTTCTCATTCATAGTCGCGACAGAGAAAACACTATCAAAAGGGTAACTTCATTTAAAATTAGTGTGCTTTCTTTATTCTAAAATTAATTATAATTACACTAGAAACATAGCTTCTCAAGTTCCGATCAAGTTCACTTAAAACTACTTAAAACTTTGCCTATAATACATTGTAGTTCTTTACGACATTAAACTTCAAGGTTTGCTTTCCATAGCTTCCCGATAAAATATGCTCTAAACGTTCACTCTGTAACAATCACCAACTTTGTAATATTCTGACCATCACCAGCTTCGATAGTACAAAATATTCCTCGAGCACTTCGAAGACGTTAGTCCACAAATATCCGATAACCTTGTGAACTATCCCCCACTATCCAATACACTGATCGATCGTAAAACGCAATTTCATCGATCACTTGCACGTTTTCTTGCAGATTCTTCAGGATGGCTTAAACCGTTCCGAGGTGTGCGACTCGTTCCAGACGAACGTCACCACCGGTGTGATCCTGAGCGTGCCATCGTTGCTGTTTCCATCGACGAGCAGTCCATCACCGACTCCTCAGCTCGTCAAGGACGCGACGATAGCTTTGGCCTCGCGTCTGGCTCAGGTGCCTCATCAGGAAGCTGTTCTGAAATCCCTCACCAAAATCCGCGATGCAGTGGGCACGGAAACCTTCGAGAGCTACGTGGAGGACTACGACAACAAGCTGAAGAAGAACATCGAGATTCTGTCGAAGATATACAATATAAAGTCTAATAAAAAGACGCAGAAGAAGAACAGCGATCTGAAGAGCACCGAGAAGGAAACGGAGAGCAAGCAACAGGACCAGAAGTGGGATAGTGATAGCGACACGTCGGGCATAGCCGAAGAAGAGGACGAAGTGAATCCTGCGACCATGTCAGCAGCTAGAGTGGTGCTGGAGACTGAAATTAAATTCAACGAAGAGACGGCTATCACGATGACCATCCTCGAAGAGAAGGAAGATAGCGAGAAGGAGCAGGACGAAGAGAGCGGAACGGATGTGAGAAACGACGCGTCTCCTGATAGACGAAAGACGCCACGAAGGGTACACTTTGGCGGTGAAATAGTGAAATTGAGAACTCCTGACAGTGATGAGACTGAGTCCATTGAGACGACCCCGAAGACCAGGATACCTGTTCCTGTTTCTCCAGCGACGAAGATGCCTAACGCGAGGCAAAGACCATCTTCGCAACCCTGTAGTCCTCGAAGGGAGGCTGGGAAATTGAAGAGACCATCTAGATCGGTCTCTAACAGTCCTAAGAGAGAAGTGTATACGCATAACGCGGAACTGAGTCCTAAGAAGAGTATCCTTGCCAGGACTAGTAGTCCTTTGTTGATTAAGAAATCCATGGAACAGTCGAAGAGGAAGAAGAGCAATAAGCATACTGAAGCAAACGGGGATAATAAGAATCCTCCTAGGGTCACTGCAGTTACTGTGAAACCTGAGGACGTTAAAACGGAGGAAGTTATTTTAGTTCAGAGCGATCCAAGTTCCAATAACACAAGTGATAAAAGTCTGATGAAAATTGTAAAACAGGATGAAAATGAAGAAGAAAATGATTTAGAAGATTCTGACAGCAAGGTTACAGAGGTAGTTAAAGAAGAGAAGATTTTGGAAAATGGGAAAAGAAGTTTGGAAGAGACACACGTGACGACGGAGAGTATTCAGAAAGTGGATTCGTTATTTGGTTCGCCGATTAGATACAACGAAACAGAAGAGGATCGTGATGAAGTTAACGAAGATGAAATTGCGGAAAGAGTTGGTGGTAATTCGAAGAGTTGTACGACGACCGGTTCAAAGCACGATAACGTTGATCGTAGGTCGTTGAGAAACGTGGACTGTGAACGAACGTCGAGGGGTGATCGCGATAAAGCTACGCCTAGTGTGATCGAGAAAAATGGAAATGATGTTGGCGAGGTGGAAGTTAAATCCGAAGAACCCAGCTGGGAGGAATTAGGATTGGTCGATCAAGAAGTGCTAGAGGATTTACATAATAAGGTGAGCGTTGTATTGCTGTTTACTTTTTTAATTGTTTATTACATGGCTAATGTTTGTTAACTTTCATTATTTATTATTTTTCAGTTCTATTTTTATTTATAGAAGACTATTGTTATATTGACACCTTCGCAAGGATATTTTGCACTGTAGTGGATCACCACGCGTAACAGTATTACTCGTTAACGTTATCACACGTTAATATATTACGCTTTTATTATCACTCGTTGTATTATTACGCATTACATTACTGTGTGCTGGTACCCGCTGGATTACTAGGTGTTGGATTATCACGCGTCGGATCACCACATGTTGTATTATTACGCGTTGAATTACCAAGTATTGAAACACCACGCGTTGAATCACTGCGCGCTGGATCACCACGCGTTATACTGCCACGTACTGAATTACCCCACGTTAGATTACTTCGCACTGAATTTCTATGGATTATCACCCATGATCATACGACACAAATGAAACATGAGTCAATTCAACTTGAAGAAAGGAGAGTTAAAACAATCAATGCCTATTATAAAAGTAACGAGCTCGAGCAATCGACATATCTTGTTAGTTTCGAAGTAAACCGATGAAGCACAGATTTTATCGAAAGTGTAAGCGCAATTTGCGCGAAGATTTCAATGCAAAAGGAAAACGAGGAGACGCGTGTAGTCGATAAGCATAGGTAATGTTAATTAATGGAGTTTAAATCATGTTACACCACGCGACGAACTTTTGTCGACGAAATCGATTGACCTACTTCGTTGTAATGTATCAGAACGATCTGTCCTAAAGTCGAAGGCTTCCCCTCGAGTTACATTAATGAATGGAGGTGAACGAAAAAAAAACAACGTGCTTGTTAACGAGCTTCAAATTCTTTGCTGTTTGAATCATACTTGTTATTTAGTTCCAGCTGTTTGCTTATAGTTTATTTGAATTCCTTGCATGTTACTATGTTTTATATATTATTGCAGATTTGACTGGTAGAAAGTCGATATTTAAAGTATTACGATTAAACAAGCTACTCAAATAACAAAGAATTAGTTTTCTTTATATAATAAATTTATAAGACAGGAAACTATAAAAAATTATCAATTTGTTTATTGAGAAAGTTCTATGTGGTATATTGGTAATAAACGTCAGGCGAGTAATCAAACAATTCGAAGTCTAATTTGAATTTTTCGTATAATCTTTTTACCATATCTCGGTTTAATTGACGGAAATATATTCTCGACACATTCGAGTGCCCGCCACTATGTCGCCATCTCGGTTTAATTACTTCTTGTAGTCGTAATTTATGGATCGTATAAATCTGGTCCCTCCACAATGTTTCTACCTATAGAACACATCATGTGTAATGAACACAATTATCAGTTGAATAATTTATTCATACATCAGATCCTCTATCAATCATATTAGCTTCCGTTTCTATTACAATACCAGATTTCAGTTTCAAGTTTTAAACATCTTCGGATCTTTTTGTAGACAACGTTTTTATAACGAAATTCTACTGGATAATTTCCCGTTAAAAATTTGAAGGTTTAATAAACAAATAACTTTTATATAATGTACTTCTATATTCTGAGATATGTTTATAAGATCAAACTATGGTTGCTCCAATTATGTATATATTAGATTAATGTATGTGAAGTACCTTTGCAATTATGTCATAATTAACAAGGCAAGGTGTGCAGAAAAAGTAGTAAGGCATCCAATGATCATCTCCGTAGCTCGCCAAATCGGTATCGATTAAATATCTCACAAATTCTTTGAAGGTGGGTTCTGTACCTGCCGGTTCAGGCACATCTTTCCGTCTGATCACTTGATCATCTCCAGGTCTCGTGAAATTCTCTTCTGATCGGCGACAAACGCTCAATTATCCATTTGTTAACCACTCGAGTGAGAAATATCAGGATCGATATTTTGTCGTGACTCACCGCGATACTTTCGAACAATCTTGCCGCCGTATTTCCGATAAAAGTGAAGTGTCCCGTGTTCCCTTCCAGCCACAGAGTTTTCCAGCTTATCGCGATAGGCGCTCAACAATCTTTCAAATGGGTGCCTTACCACCAGTAGTTTCTTCGTTGCCTTTAAAGCCTGTATCAGTTCTCCTTGTTAAATCTCATTGCAAGACTACTCATTGGCTTGTTGGCCGTTAGAGAACAAGTTTAGTTGTAGTCATGAAACTGCATTTACATGCGAAACTAATTGTTAAATATTTGTAAAGTCATTCACCCTTCGTGGGTCGAAATAATTTGAAAGTTACTTGTACTAACTATAAATCAAGTCTTGCTCGATCGAATTTGTGGATGTTCTTTTGATGGACATTTACCTGGTCAGCTTCTGGGAACTCTAGTTCCGGTATTAACCTTCGGGCAATGGTCGATAGCTGCTCCTTTCCGCTGTTCAGCTCCTCCTCGGACGCGTTCATTAGAAGACACAAATTATAAATCCACGTTGTACTACCGGCTTTGTAAATCGGACAGTACGATAGATCATAAGGCCTATTGCAAACGTCAAAGTGCTAGTTAATTTTCACCTTTATGTATCGATTTAAATAACGAACCTGACTATATAGAAAACACTGTACTGCGGTGTAGGTGGATGTTTAAAAATAGAAGGTTCTCCACTTTTCTTATAGATTCCTAAATTGTACTTCGAGCAAGTATTTTTTACCGCCAATATTCGATTGGAATTATCATTTTCTGCTTCAATCTGGAAATGAACATTTATTATATTATGACAGCTACAGATTTAAGAACACACAGGAATCTTCATTTGTTTACCTATTTACCATCAATCGCTCCAAATCATCGAATTCAGGAACTGCCTCGCTCTTGTCCGAATGAAACGATTTCATGATAACAAGAATCAAGCCACAGCCGATGACGCATTTTGCAATTCTAATTAAACTTTTTTTACAATTTCGAAACATTCTCTATTCGTTCGAAGCTGCTAAATACATATTAATCTTTTTTACCCACTACGTTTTTGACGTTCTTTAAGAATATATTTAAGAGAAGAACAAAGTTCTGGCTTCCATCGAGACACTGACTGACCGGTTTCGTGTTGTATCCCGACAGTGATGGATCCAGTGTATTCCGAACCTGTAGCAAGAAAATTTCTACCAAAATTGAATTCTAAACGCTTTCTCAAATTGATCATTCATTCTTCGAACGTGCCTGTTAAATGATTATACAATGATAACGTCGTCCTTGAACTACTAAAGTATCGTTCATAGCTTGATTATAGGTATGAAGATTTAACAAACTTCCTGTTCTTATAAATGATTCGTTATCGTCTTGATTAAACTTATCTAGCCTTATCGTAAATCCGCTCCTGGAGTCAGAGGTATTCCAGCACGAAAACGCGGGGGAAACTCCGTCGCATACTAATTCGATTCTTCGTATTTTCTTATGCGATGAGTAACTGGAAATATTTTCGAACAAGTATAAGCTCGGATATCAAGCGCTTGATGGCAATTTTGATGCATGACAATGTAACGTGTAATCATTCTAAAACTTGGCACGTAGTTATTAATTTGCAATTTTGTGCTATACCGAAACAGTACGCTTAATACAATTATCGATATCACGGAAAACCGTAGGTCTCATGACCGCGAAAGTATCCTTTCATTCAACGGAAGTTCAAGGCTATCCTATACCTGCTAATCCACGTGTACGCCTGTATGATAAGAATGTTACAAAAATAAGTGGTCTGTTTCGCACAGAGATTATTTATTTCTGACCACTTCTTAGTCGCAGTAGAATGAAATATCCCTTCATAATTTCAGGGTTTTGTCTTCTCTTGATGGGACTGGAAGTTAAAAAATTTGTAATGTAAGGTATTCTACACAGAATAATTCCTAAGTTTTAGCATAATGCCCTAAGTGCAGGAAAATATCGGAATTGTACTCTCGCGTAAAGCGCTTTGCACGAGCGAGAACGTTTAAGCTAATAAATTTACTATTCCCCGGTTACGCCTTACCGAAGTATTTCACGATAATATATCGTCGTAAAACAATACCTTCAATAAACGCAGACATTCATCGTCACGCAAATTAAATTACGTGGGTAATAAAGGAGTATTAACGTGATTCATGCTGCGTTAAAATATGTACACGTTGCAGGATATTTTCGTTGGAAAGAATGTTCTTACGCCGATGCGTTTTAATCGCTCGTTATTGCAATCCGTCTCTCATACGTATCTCGAACACCCTCGGTTTGTTGCAATTTTACGGTTTGTCCGATTAAGTAGATTGATCGCATCACCAGGGAATATTTTTCCCCGTCGACGCGACGTTTGTCGTATCTTCGTGGCAGTGAAACACCCTGTTTAAATTATGCATGCTGTTTCATTTTCCACGTGGTGGAAACAGTCCAGTTAAAATGTATGAATATTCCGCGGTTGAAAAACGACAGATTTCCTCGCGAAACAGTTATGCGGCTGAGGGAAACTCGTGGTTCTGGGTAACAAGAAAATAATTAGGAACGTGTTGCGTGTAAAACGTCGTTCCTGTGTACATGCAAATTCCTCCTCGCAATTGTACTCGTTATTCGACTTGAATTTCACGAGGCATCCTCGAATTCTTTACGATGTCCGCAATTTGCACTTTTAATCCTGTAATTTATTTTATAATACAAGGTTAATTAACAATGTCGTTCAATAATATATTTAAAACTTCTACAATTATGTGTAAGACGATATCGATGACATAAAAGTATCTCAAAATGGCTCTCATGGTACATAAGCAATGGTACATTTCAAGTACAAATTACGAAAAAAGTTATTACATAAAATTTCCTCAATATTGTCCATAATATTCAATTTTCAATTGCCCATTTATATTTTACATAATGAAAATTATTTCATAATTTATGTACGAAAATTTTATATGTTAAAGAAGTATTATCGGAAGGTATAGAATCCAAAGATTAAACGAAAAGTCAATCGCTTTGATGAAAAGGTTTGATGCTTAACTCCATAAAGTTTTCAAGAATCTATGTGATGCCGTAGGTTCAATGAAATTATGAAATGTCAATAATATTGATTGCTTCCGTGTAAATACAACTGAATCGAAAAGTGAATGCAGATGTTACCAGTGCATTGCATTCAGAGTTGCTGCAACGATCGATAATGTTCACTGGACGACTCCTGATTCTTGACCAACGGCATTACTAAATGATACTCTATGATACTTCTATGAATTATTCATGACATCTTTGACGGGTCACACATCATAATTTGTGCATCAGTTCTCACGAAAGCTGCAAAATCATTGTTGAAGATCTTAACTTTAATCACCTGTTTTATGTTGCAGCATTGCTGTTATTAATTATATTAGCTGTATTATTAGAATTCATTATTATTTTAATTATAAGCAGACTTATAAATACTTCATTGATGGAAATAATTAATGGGAGGGTTTGTCTCTGGAATTAATTGCTATTTGATGACATTTCAGGAGGATTGGCGAGCTCGTGTCAGGGGTCTGGAAAGAGTAGCATCGGCTTTGCGAACGTCTTCTGCGCTGATCGCGATAGAGCCACGATTAGGATCTCTTTTGCATGCGGTGCTGGGCTGCGAAAGGAGCTGTCGAGTAGCGGCTGCAGGCTTGGCTGTGGCAAAGGTAACTCTAATTTGTGTCATTAGATCGCTCTAAATGATATTCTAAATTAACATACAGATCGCTTAAAAATTATCACATAAAAAAGTGCAAAATGTCTCAACATAACGAGTACCTAAATTTCCTCTTCATCCTCGAGATCTTGATTCTCTATGCATGGCCTATCATTTCTTTTAAACGCTTCACCATCTAATATTCAATATTTAATAAAAAGTTTATGTAGAAAATTATAAATGCTACATGTAAGAAATTATATACTACGAATACATCTTTGGCGTAAGTAAAAATTTCGTCACCTAAGACCAGCAAAGTTGGCGCTTAAAATTGCGATATTTCGATGGTCTGCCAGCAAATCCCTCAGCTTATGGAAACTTATCACGAAACGCGAATATTTCTTATTGAGGTTTATGATTTGATTTCAACTGATAGAGTACGTTCGAATTAGGTAGTCGTAGCTGGGGTGAGCGAGGAGGCACTGAAGAAACAACTACCACAATTAGCTTGGGGCTTGGCAAGACACGGAGGACCCTGTGCGACCCAATTGGCTAGGATCACGATGCTCAGGCTGAGACCTGCTCTTCTTCTGGAACAGCTTCTGCAGCCGCAGTGTCTGAATGCTAGGAACGCCAAGGTGACGTTTCTCCAACTAACGAATTCATCTATTTCAGTAATGATTATACAATAATAAATTTTGTTACAGACCAGAGAAAACACGTTGCAGTTGTTAATTTTTTCGTTGGTAACGTTTCCAAGCACGGAATTCAAAGTGGACACGGTAGCTAGCAAAGTGGCTAAAATGGTAAAGGATAGACGACGAAGAGTGCGGCAAGCTGCACTCGACACTTTGGCTGTTCTGGCACAGATTTATGAACCTGAGGTACATTATTTTAAATAGGAGGTTCTATGTTAGTAGAATGTTTACCCTCTCTTACAGTATCTTCTTTCATGAATTTTTTAGGAAGTATTGGCAGCAGGCAAACGAGCATCAGAAGGTTACCACGATGCAGAAGCAATGATGTCAGCAATTAGAGCTCGCCTAGCTCGGAAATCATTACCCTTAGTCTCTGCTGATGGTCTTGTTATGTATGGTTTGCAGATTTCGCCCACTGTGCAAATAGCTACAGGTGATCACTTAATATTAGTTATAAATTTTGGCATTGTTAAGGGTATTTGGAACAGCGTATTATTATCCAATATTTCATATTTAATTGTATTACAGGACCCGATGTCGATTGGATTGTAGCCGGAAGTGGTTCGTTTTCACCCAGTGTAGGGCGTACCAAAAGCCAAATTATAGCCACGACATCCGGAAAAGAAAGATTTGCAAGGTAATTGCCGATAAATTACAGTATTGCGATTGTCCTTTCATGATATTTTTCAAAGTATGCAATCTTTGTAGGAATGAGAATAACTTGGAAAGTCCATGGATTGACAGACCAAATTTCGTTGCGCTCGGAGTTGGTATGCGGTCGAAAACAGACCAACCTGTAGTTTGGCAAATGGTTCCTACACATAGTCAGGTATAATTAACTCTTAAAAGTCGAAAGACTTATGTGGTCATTCACATTGAACACTGGCACAATAATGGGTACTCATTACTCAATATCAATTACTAAATAAAAATAAATACGCTAATGTTCATATACACGAACCTGCAGGAAATAAGCTAGGAAATAAGGAAATATCACGTTTCTGTATACATTACAATTATTTATTTAAACTAAATGCATTTAGGCCATCGCAGGATATTCAAACACCGTAATTCGATAATCGCACATGTACTGTTGAGCTGAATGCGACTACAGTTATTAACAATTTCAATGAACTCATTAATAAAACATAAGCCCAAAAGCTCGCGTTGACATTTGATCGCGTGTCACAGCTTGCCTGGAAAATGTAATCGCATTATATCAGGGCTAGATTTAAGTTTCGCAAATCATGGTTTTATTTTTTTATAAGCTATGTATTTACACACTTTAAATTCTGACATTTCAACGTTCAATGGTTTGCAGTTTATTCGTAATGATAACGTTAAACAGACTATCGATAGACGGTACCAGATAAATTTATTTTTCAATGTATACTGTAAAATTATGTAATTTATATCGACTTGCTGATGGATTCAAGACAGTAGATTAACAGCGTTGGCTTTTTGCCGCCTTGTCAGATAAACGGTATGAGAAAATTTTGTTTACACTTTCGCAATATTTGTCATTCTTTATAAAGAACTCATTTAATTCACTCGTGTGATCTATTGAAATTATATTTAGTCCATGTTTCATATATTTGTTAAAGACATTTAAGGTTAGCATATTTATTATTAATCTTTTTGCTGTAATGGTAATTATGTAATTGTATTTATTTCCTTTTAGGATATTCGATGCGAGGATGAAGTGAACTTATTGCACACAACCAGGGGTGCAGCTACAGATATTCGTAATGGTAATTGTTATTTAAATAATGTTTCTTTTAGTTTCAGTATAATTATTTATGTCTATTATAGGTGATAGTCTCAATTTGGATATAAAATTGAGAAATCAATCGAGAATTCCAGGGTTTGCGAGAGAGTCCGCGAGTTATCGCAACATCATCGAAGATAAATTTGATCGGAGGGTAAATTTCATGAAGTTTAGATATTTATTTTAAAGAATGATTATTAACTTTTGTATCTTAGGATAACGATAACAAAACAGAATCCAGAATTCCTGTACTCTATATTCGCGATCGTGCAGCAAAAATGAACTACAATCAGGATAAATCTAATTCCGAAACTAATTCGAAGAGAAGATTCAAAAGCAGTGTAGAAAACAGTTCTGAGGAAGAAAATTTTAGGTATTAAATTTTTCTTTGAAATATGATATTTAATTCGACAAAAGGAACTGAAAAGAAATTATTTATCGCTTACATAATGAAATGTTAACAGAAATTGTGGAACTATGAATTATCGAAGAAGAAAAGATCAACAAGAAAATAGCACAAATATGAATTACGATAATTACCGTTCGTCGAAGAATCTAAATAACGCGAGCACAGAATACAGTGTAAATTTTTATCTATCAAATATATCTTTTATGTTGGTGCAATAAATTAATAATTTAATTAACATTACAGGGTGTTTTGGAAACTTCGAGTCAGGAATTATCGAATGTTAATCCTAGGATACATCCAAAATATGTCGAAAGAGATAAATCGTGCCGAAAATCTGATAAATCTAAGTGCAGTTGTTCGAGTTCTATAGAAAGTCCTCAGCCTTCACTGTCGAAAAATGTTCAACAATCATTTGTAATGCACAATATGTGAGTGTGATTTTGTTACACTGCAAAATTATTTGTTTAAATGTTCATATGATCTCTCAGAAGTGGAAGCAAGTGGTGGAAGGCTCGTTATTTAATTTTCTAGGTACAACACGGGTTCACACAGGGAAGACCGGTTCGCGGATGAAAATTCTTTTCGACCATTGCAAACTACCCCCACGCCATTACCATATGGTTACAATACTATGGATTTTAATCAAAGAACTGATGAAAATGACACTAACATCTCTCGAGTAAGTGCTTATATTGCCACCATAAAACCAAAAACCGGAGTTTACAGCGCAATTTTGTTACAGGCAAAATTTCATCGTAGGACGAAAGATGCAGCTGCTCAAAAAATTACCGACGTCCAAGTATCTTCATCGGATGCTCAGACCGGCGAATATTTCCCTGCAATATCTTCCGGCGCACCTTCCAGAAGAAGATTACGTTCTATCTCTCCATCGCAAATGTACCAACGCCAACAGTTCGTTAAAATATATGATATGTAAGTACATCATTTTAATATATAGAATAGGTATAGATTCCTGGTTGGACACATATAATCAATAATATAGCTAGTGAAACGTGTAGCATGACATGTACATAATATTCTATGCGGGATGATAGTTCAGTCACGAATTATCCGTCAGAGTTCTTATCTATTCACCATTTATCACTAATGGTACGTTCGTGCACATGTTGTATTATAATTTGATATTTAATAATGCAATTAATAATAATAACTTGCATAATGGAATTAATTCCAACAAATTGTTATGAACATTGAAATTTTGTTGTCTCATTTTTTAAAGCAAGTTTTATTATTTATTTTACCTTATAGATAATAATATTGAAATAAGCAAAGAGTAACGATAGTGAATAATTAGCTATGAATTTCTACGGGTTCTTTTTTTATCTAAAATTAGTGATGCAATGTTATGGAGGCATTATCGTCCCTGCATTCATTTTATTATTTCTCAGGAAATGTACCAGAAAATTGTGACGTATTTATTTTCGTACACGCGATAATCGTTGGAAATTCTAGTGCGAGATATATTTTCACCGCTTTTATAACTTTTTAACCACTGTTCTGGCACGTGACAAATATAGGGTAGAAAAATTTGTTCCAGGAATGTGTTTCTAAGCCGACATTGTATGTGTAGCATTGAAACGATTATATTTACTTGATCGATTTCTAGAGACGTTAAATGAAACATGATTGGTGGTTTTATCCTTTGAATCAGTCAAAGCACAATTATTTTTAACGCATTATCTAGATTCTAGGACATCCCGTCTAGAACATTAAAATAATTTATCAAACTTTGATATGATTTTACATTTCAAGGATCTCCTAAATTAATATGGTATTAATAACTTCAATCGTTATAATAATAAAATAGAGTTTATTTTTAAGAACAATTAAAGAACAAGAAATGGGTGGAACTGTGCTAGGGAACTCATTCTAGATCTCATTTCTTTCCTTCTGATTTATGATTGCGTGAGAAGTAACGAGAACGGGACGTGTAATTATATTTTGTGGTGATTTAAATATCTCATTGTAAAACCCTATCTGCCTCATAATTCAACCCCATTGGAAAAGTCTACGAGCATTGTACCCCAACTTGACTGTGTATCTTTTATAACGAAATGACAATCTATGGAGAATTCGATTTTTTCTCTAACTTTAGCGACGCGTCTACGTCATATTTCATCGCAAAAGTTACTCGAAGATCAGCGTGGGTGAACTTCCTGGTGAATACAACATTTACCCCAACATGAACCCTTCTTTTATTTAAGTACCATCTATACTCCACAAAGAAGAAAAAAATCGATGCAATTATTTGTTGCAAACTACACTCTGAGAGAAAAAGAAGGTAGACGGTAAAAGTATTAACTTTGTACAAGTTAGAAAGACAGAAGTTAAAGAGTGAAGAGTTATGACTAGTTATTCCACCCGGAACACTTATATCCACGTAAGTAAGTTTTGCGACCCCGTGTCGAAGAAGGGGTTGTGGTCAGTGTATAGCCATTCGATATGGTATCGCGGGGTTACAGGTGAAATGGTAGAAGGGAAAAGAGCGAAACGGAAAGAGGGGATTATAGGTTGAAAGTAGGGGCAGCGGTCAGCGTCGGGACGCCCGACGTCTATGTGGGCACAGTCGTGCGTACGTCGTCATTTGTCGCGTCGTTTGCAATTACCCCCCTCTCTTTTTTTTAAATTCGATCAAAGTGACCAACAACTTTTCATCAATCTTTTTATCAAAGTGTGCACTTGTGGCATTAACGTGATTTTTAAGTGACGTTATTGTGAAAACATAGGGTGCAACTAAAAATACCAAGTTATTTTATAACAGAGAAATGTATTCTGCTTATATTCTAATTCTTTACAACAATTTGTCTCTTAATGACAGAAAAATTAATGGACAGGTTTCTTCTTTAAATCCCTCTGCAGATTACGGAGACCAAAGTAGTCTCATTTTTTTTTAAACTTAAGTATACTTCAGTATACGTTGATATAATTATTCAAACATTCATTCGAGTCTTTAATATTTTAATCAATTTTTAAAATGCTTGTATTTATTAGTTTTGACAAATGGTCCTAGGTATCCACATATGCAATTCAATTTTAAAATTGAAAAAAGGGGTTGAAGTATAGGAATGTTTTATATAGAATCTTATCTTAACAGAATTTATTTTAAAGAATGAAGATACACTTAAAAAGAAAATGATTTGATGTTCTCTTTATATTCTTTCCATATTAATTTTGTTTCGGAATTCTTGCACTGTGGATACAGTTGGTCTGATAACAGGTTGTTAATCGATCATTCGTTAACCTTAGGAAGATTAACTAGAAGAGCTGAGAATTAGAATTGCATATTGTCTAGTCACGTGAAATTTACTACTTCGAAGTTTCTTGCACTTTCTGCTACCAGTTCCTTGAGTTTTCAAATTGTTTTGTGTAGAAATTAAATTTCAAGAAGCACTACGTTTATCGATTGTAAATTATACTCCGAGTTGCATAATTTACGCGTAACGCTATTTTCATAGCGAACTAATAATAGTTTAAGTAACTATTGTAATCGATAGTAAATCGCCTTACAAAACTTTTCTACAACTTTTCTACTAAATGTCACAACACGGTGTGAAGTGATACTTTAAAAAATGAATTTTCATCAAATTAACAATACTGATACTTTAGAAATTTTAGTTAGAACAGTGCCATTAAAGTTAATTAAATAACCAAAAAGTACCGTCTTCGAAACAACAAAATTATTAAAAAATTTGTCAAATAGTGAAAAGTGAAGAATGAAAGGAAGAAATTTTGTGAAAAAATGTATCTTAAACTCGACGAGAACTTTTGATCGTGATCGATGAACAAGGACCAATGAAAATGATCTTCAAGTACTGCTCTTGGCCCGAAGAGGCCAAGGAGAGCGACAAGGTCACGGTCTTGAAAAACGGTGACTCGACGTCGATCGAAATAGATCAAAATTATAACGAAGACACTAGAAATTCGAGAAGAAAAGAATGCAAAATAACCAATACGGTTCTTCGGTACTGTCCTTGTGCTTTTCGATGTCGAAAATCCGTGGACATCGAGCAGGAGGAGTTCGCTTTGAGGATAGCCACTGCGAGCAATGTTACACCTGTGATTCCTTTGGGATTGACCCAAAGTAGCGATACGATGTATGTTTTCAGTATTTTGAATATACAAGTTTGCCCGATTTTCAAGTTCTCCAATTTCAGCCTTATTTTATAAATTATACACTTCACGATTTCTTCGTACAAAGAAAGAACGTATATGAATAAAATTTTTGATCGAACATTTCAGTGTGAGAGGATAATTTTCGATTCGTTAATTTTCATTGTGTGTTCCATTGTTTCAGAGATAAGACGGTGAACGAGGAAGAGTACAACGAAAAGAACAAACACCACTTTTTATCGGAAGATGCTTATAGGGTGCCGCAAGTGAATGCAACTGAAACACAGTCCGAAGGTATATAAAATAATACTAATTATTCTTTTTCACCAATTAATTTAACTTTCTGAATTTTTTCCTCTTCTGTTTGCTTGCATATAAACCTCTCGCAATACTTTGTCCATAGAAATTTCTCTTCAGCAATCGATTTTCCGAAGGTCAAATCATTATTTAACACCAATTGAATTAAATTTAGCGACCATAGAAAACGAATAGTGAGTCAGAAAACGTTTCGACGCGTTTCAATGGAATTTCGTTAATAAACGATAAATCAACCTGTGGGACTGGCTGGATCGAAAGTACACGAACTGGAACGCGAGGTTCTTAACCTCGGACTAACGTGTAAAGCTTAGGGCCAACACGATGGGGATGCAATCAATATTTTGCTCGTTACGTTTAAACGCGCTTAAATAAACGTCCTTTTTATGAAAAAAAAGAGATCAATATTACATTCGTCTGCTATCTCAAGGTTCTAATCAATTTCACCGTTTACAGTTCAATATCACGTCCTTCCGATTTACAGCGACGTTACATAAAAAATTCATCTGTGACCGTGGAGATATTTAGAAAACATTTCCTTAATAAACACAAACTTTTAAGTTTTTTAACAAATTTAATCATTCAGAAAGTTTTCAAATTTTATTAAATATTATAATATCTAATATATGAAAGTTGTTCCAAATTCATTATTCTAGTCTTTCAGATATTTTTCAATGTCTCAAAGTTTTTCCAACCAAAGTTATAATGAAAGTTACCTTTGCATTTCGTAGGTCTGGGTCATCATTGACCCGACTGTTCTAGGGTTAAAGCACAGTCAGAAGGTCGCGACAGTTATCGAACGCTACACTATCTTTTTTTCAAAGGAATGGGAAGATGCGCCACGAGATACGCATGCAACGGCAATAAATGAATAGACCCTGAAGAATTGTAATCTAAATCGAAATCCTTCATGACATATCACATGGAATTTATTTCTTCCTCGAATCCTCAACAAATCTCGAATTTTTCGTTTTGTTGTGTAATTGCTTATATTGTTTCTTTTCTATCGTGTTTTTTTCTGTGACCTTCCATATCGATGATACGTATCGAACATTAATTTTCTTCATTGTCTACCTTGCCTGCCTATCCGAATATCTAAACTATCAAAATTTAAAGTTTAATTAATTTTTTTTAGGAGATGACTACGAACATTCGTCGTCGGATGCGTTAGAGAATAATCAAGAAGATGTTGAACAAGATGTGCAAGACACGCAGGACGACAGTGACATCGGATCATCCGGTTCTGACAGACAAAATGTGGACACCGCGTTTGATGTCATCACTGTTCAATCTAGCCCTCCTGGTCGAGACACTGTTGACTTTGTTGTAAGTACCTTTTATGTAATTAATCATTTCTTAAAATTGTTTTAAAAATTCGTACTTCATGTAAACGTCAATCATCAATGAAATAAAATCACATTCTTAATCTGAATCTTTATAATGCACAAACGTGTTTACAGATTTCATTGGACCAAACAGCGGAAGCAGCAGAAGCAATTGTCACATCGAACGAGGATGAACCATCGAAAGATTGGAGCAGTGACGAGCGAGAAATCTTGCAGGATGAGAAACGAACTTCATCTAGACAATCGGAGTTTCGCGAAGATAATCAGAATGAAAGCGAACTTAGCACTTCCGATGAAGCTGAAAGGACGGATGAATTATCGAACGTTCGAAGAAGATCCATCGTATCCATCATATCAAATGAACGAATGTTAACGAACGAGAGCTTGCAAACTTCTAGCGATATTCTACATTCAGACTTTCAAGATGCGAAGACGTCGCCTTTGAGAAGATCGGTCAGCCCTAAAAAATCGAGTCGGTCATCAAGCCGTAATTCGAACGACTTCGAAGTAATGAAGTCACCGAGACGAAATTCTCGTAGTAGTTCGCGTAAATTGGTTAGTCAAGAAATTAATTAGAATTAGTAAGACTGATCACTGATGTCCTCAATTTGTGGAAAATTTGTTCTACTTAATGCGAAATATATGTTTTAGAGTTTTGACTTGGGAGATAAGGATACCGAAGAATCCAGCGAAGAAAGAGTGGCTTCTCCCGAAGAACAAAATGATACTTTTCAAGCAGTGGAAACTAGTCAGTCTCGCAGAGGATCTAAAACAGGAGAATCACCAACAATCATTATTGCCTCCAGACCTCATTCTTCGACGGATATTTCTAATTACTCTGAAAATCATTCGGAAACGGCGGTTCAAATAACAGAAAATAATAATAATGCTCTCAGGGTAAATGATTATGATGAGCTTTTTATGTTTTACTAGCATTTTATGGATAATTGAAATACTTTGTTTCAGTTTGTTAATGAGTCTAACGAGAATAATAATTTAGAAGATGGACAGAGTAGAGATAGTTCCAGTGAAACAAATACGGAGCCAGGAATTTTAAAAATCGAGGTAGTGGTTCGAGGTAAAAAATATATTAAAATATATTTAATCAATTAAATTATTTTATTTTATTCAGAGTCAAACCGGGGAACCTATCAATTTATCCAAAAGAATCGTGTCCAAAGTTCCTCGCGTCACAGGAAGAAGTCGAGGCATTTCGACTAAGCGAAACTCGAATAAGCCTGAGAAAATGAAACCGATAGTTCAACAATGTTTCACTCAACTCGAGAGTAAAGACTGGTAAATAAATTTAAACAGATAAATATTAAGTGAAGCTATCAAATAATATTTAGCATCAATAATGAATCTATTACTATTTCAGGGAGGTAACGATGAAAGGTTTGAAAACGTTATCTCAACTTGCGAAGCAACAACCTGAGTACTTGGATGTATGCGCAACTGCTACTATATGTCGTCTTATAGGCCAACAAATTAAAAGTCTTCGATCACAGGTCGCACGAAACGCATGTTTAGCCGCTGGCGATTTATTCAGTTCACAGATTCGTGGCTTAGATCAGGTTACAACATCTTTTTCTTTATTATACATTCCAAAGTTCTAAAATTCAATAACATTGTTATTTTTAATAGGATTTTGAAGATATAGCTGAGCCATTGCTTCACAGAACGGCAGACACGAATCGATTCCTTCGTGCGGATAGCAACGCAGCTTTGGATCGAATGATCGAACATCTTCCACCTCACAAAACGATTGGCGTAATCGTTCAACGCGGCGCAAGGTGAATTATCTATTCATAGGTTGAATATCATAATTATTGTGTCGAATGATTTCACGTAAAATATTTATTTTGATTGATTATCCAGTCATCAAAATGCTATTGTAAGAGCTGCAACGGCTAGATTACTGGCATCGATAGTCGATCGAATAGGGTCTGAACACACAATGATTTTGCCAAAGGATGTCAAGGATAAGCTGCTTAGTGCAGGGGCTAAACTACTAATGGATGGAAATCTAGATGCTAGGTAAGCTGACTTTGTTACAGCAAATAAAATACAGAAAGATCATGTTCAATATTATTTAACTAATTCAAGAAACTCTGTTGGGATTGAAGTTCCAACAACACAGACATAATAACATGTGTTCACTTTATAGAAACTATGCAAAGAAGATGTTCAGACGCCTTGTGCATTGTGAAGGGTTTCAAAAAGCATTAACAGATGCAGTACCAGACAACACCTTGAGACACATCGACAAAACCTTGAAAACTCTTTAATGGTTCTATGAAACATCATGCAATATCTTGCACATCTCTTTTTACCAACTGGATTTTATCCATATAACAAGACTGTCTTTGCAAACATAAAAGAACTATTTATTCGAATTCAGTACAGTGTTTTGATAAAGATCTATGTGCATGGAAAAAATCCTTAGCAAAGGAGTTGTATGTAAAAAGAATTGACATGTAGATCAAGTAATATTTATTTGTACGTGGAACCATGTTTTCTTCCTTGAATCTAATATTATGTTCAGCCATGAAAGAGAAAAGGAAGCATTATTGAAACATGACTGATAATGTCCTTCGACATTTCACATTTTGATACTATGATGTACTTGGTACATTTCATTTTTATACGATTGTATAGGTGGCACACTCATATTGCAATAGGACTAGTTTATTTACATAATGTGAATTATTACTATTTTTTATTTTTTTGTAATCAATGTTATATTTTAATAGAACTATGATGAGACTAGGAAAGATTTCAGTTTGGTAGATAGAATACGATTTATAATATTTTTACTTGACCAAATTGTTTTTATTTGATAAATAAAAAATTCATAGTGTGTAAATAATTCTCATTCCACTTTGCAAGCAATGCTTCATAACAATGAAATTTAGCGCGAGAATGTTTTTAAATATGAAAAGAAGAGAAATTTAACATCGTTACAGATTATTATATTGTCTGTTATGCATCAATTTCAATTTGATATAACTTTAAGTCAACAATGATTGCTTTTGATGACACTTGTATTTAAAATTTTAGTGCCTTGTAAAATTTAAAGAGTTTACTGCTATTGAGAAAAGAATTAACAAGATTTATATTTGAAATGTAATTTAGAGTTTGATATTAATGATTTATTAAAATATAATGCTCAAATTATTAGTCAAAGGGTTAATAATTTACAAAGCTATTATCTCATTATTGACTAGATTTTAAGTGTGTAATTTTAATAACATAAAGTCAATTGCATGAATTATAAATTAAAAAAAAAATTCTTCAATACTTTCTCATTAATATACATAACTATTAATACAAATAAAATGTGATATATATACGTAATGAAACCATATTAAGTTTTACTGAAAGATGAGTAATAACAATCTAAGTTACAAATAAATTGCAAATTTATAATGATGTAATGACAGAACATTTGTTGCTTTTGTTTACTTCACCAACTCTTCAACTGGGAGTTGCAGGAAGAAAATTACTACATTTTATTGAAGAAAGGAATATCATTGCTGGTGGCAATGATTCCATTTCAAATTGCTGAAAATTTATTGTTAATCAAATCATGCAGATTGTTATTTCATTAGTTTATATTTTTTATTGTATTTTACTCATTTTGTGATAAAAGAAGAAATATTAGGCTGTTGCATATTGAATGACCAGTGTTAAGATATACAAAGTCAACAGTGAAGAATATATTAGACTAGTATTATTTTCAATAGATATTGCAAATTGAACATCCTGTATTAAACTAGTCATTCAATTACAACATCCAGTATTTGTGCTCATTTTAAAAATGGTTGCTAATAATTTCAAATTGTAATTATATAATTTTAATGAATTTAATGTAAATACATAAATTGATATGTACAAAATTAATGATACAACATAGAGTTCTCTGAGAAAGGGCGAATTGAATCAAATTTCTCGAATTATTTACTAACCGAAGTGAAGCAATTCAATTCATTGTTCCGTCCATTGTTATAGTGTAATAAATCATTTGCGATATTTGTATTTATATATTAAATTATATACACGTCGTACATATGTGTATACTTATTTATCTCGACGAAATATATACACATTATAAAGTAATGTAATTGGCGATGTTATATTGCGATTTATTTCGTTGTATTGTTTTGTTTCGATCGAACAATCGAATAAAGTTTATATTTGCATTATCGGTTTAATAAACCGGAATCTTACAGAGAATCTTGTTCTCGAGAAATGGAAGCACGACATAGTATATTACGAAAAAAGAATATTGAAATCACAATAAACACCATCCAGAATGTTGTAAGTATTCGATATTATTTTTTAAAATATGTGCAAGCTTGTATTCATAAGCTTCACTTAAAGGTTAAAAGTATATTCATCCGACAATTCACTAATAGTAAACTTTTTGAATCCTGTAGATTAAAAAGGAAGACATCTCTTTATCATTTATAGTGGAACATGATGGTAACATCTTAGGAACAAGTGACCCAATAATAGTTGCATCAGACTGTGAAGATATGGTTTACAAAATTGAGTTTACTGCTACTTTGTCAGTTTCTCTGAACACCAAACAAAGTCTTAGTACAATTGTATCGACACCAGTGCTAAGTAACAATTCATTAATTTTATTTCCATAATAGTATGATTTGTGTAGTTATGTGTGTAATGATAATACATGTATATATTTGATATATTTTCATATTTGAAGTAAAAGCTATGCAGACTGTAGAAAATGGCCTAGATGAGAGAGCCAGTATATCAGATACAGGAACTAAAAAAAAATCAGTATTTACTTTCAAATCCTCGTCTCATTCTATATTAACAATGTTAGGAATTTGTAATCTTGATTTACTACCAACAATATTAGGTATTCGTAGAATTTTTCTTCTCTTACCTTCAGTTTGTTTCAATTACACAGATCTGTATAATTTGATGAAGCAATTATTTCACCTTGTATCTACAATGAATCAATATTTCAGGAGAAAAAGGTTATACAGAGAAGTTAATACTAGAAACCCCAAAATTTTCCATGGATGGAACATTAGTTTCTTGGCAGAATCTTCCACTAGTGACCGTGACTGTTTATCAAGATAATGTTTCTTTCTTTGAGTCATATGATACCATGAATTTTCTAAACATCACCATTGAAAGTATACATAATCTTCCGCAAACTTTCACTGAAAATATGCAGTATAAAGCTGGTACCATACAATACATTGATGATGAGGTATATTTATATTAATAATATTATACAAATCCATATTGACATCTCAAAATTTTATTAAATATAATTTGTTCAGGTTCCTGAGAACATCATTTTTGAGAATGGAGCATGGACAAAATATCGCGACGTCGAGAGAACAAAACGATGGAACACTTTACAATTTTTAGAGAACCGAGCTCAATTGTCAAAATATAAACTGGATTGCGATTTTATGGGCGTGAGGAATCCATTTAAAGAATGGTTTAATCTGACGGTAAGATTAGTATAATAAATTCTACATTATGTTTACTAATATTTTTGTGCTAATTCTAGGATAAGGTGTGCGAGGATGTACCACGGATAGAATGGAATTCTTTAAACAGATCTCTCATATGGACATCAGGAATTGAAGCTATGAAAAATCATATTATAAAGTATGTAATAAATATTTAATTTAATTTTTATAAAATGAAGAATTATTAATATGCAGAAAAAGAAACATTTAATTCAATTTAATTTTAAAGATATAGATATTGGCCCTTCCAAATCTTGGTTACTGGAAGAGGTGTTCCATCAAAATCGTCAACAGCACTGTATCAATGCGCCATTGATGTGTCAGAACTTCTTTTCCCAGGAAGTAAGTAACTTAACATGAACATTTCATATTGATCACAAGTAATCAAATTATTATATTTTTACAGGAAAACGTTGTCGAGTTGTAGGACAATTACATACATATAGTCCGACCGATTTATCTGAACAAGCAGGTTTGAAGGAAGATATCTTTGTTTTAGAGAAACGGCGCAGAGAGTCGAAAGACAAAGACAAAAAGAGCAGAACGTCAAAGGTAAACGATAGTTAATCAAGGTTTTAAAGCAAAGTATAACTTCTTTAAAGAACGTGCCAAATTCAGCATACACCTTCAGAAACAGAAACGGTACACGAAACGACCACAGAATTAATTTCTGAGGATGCTAAACCAACTGTCATAGTGATAGAAATTGAACTTTACAAACCTCTGGTCATTTGCACTATCGCGGAAGATTTCAAAAAGTTACATATATAATTCACCAATATATTTTTATTTGTTCATATGCAACTTGTAAGAAGGAATGATCTGTTACAGACTCAGTGAAATGGTCACCAAACCAGACAAGATGCCGTCTTATATATACACCAGCGACTTAGCTGAAAAACAGTTCATGACTTGCATTCAAAAATTGAGCGAACACATCACCGAATGTTACCGAGTACGAATCTAAATACATAATAAAATTACTCATATTATGAACTTAAAATTACTAAAATCTTAAATATCGGAATTATCAAAGTTGATAGTTTCTCTTCTTTAAGCTAGGATTTCTGTGAGGAAAACCAGCGAACTGAAGAAAGAACAGAAGAAGAAAAATATTGTTTTAATCCTAATGCGGTAATAAATTATAAAAATAATTCAATTATTATTAATTAATGACGACTCGATAACAATTTAGGACGAAATAGAATGTTTCACTCAATATCTTTATAAAACTGGGGAATATTTGGCTATACGTAACACTTTAAGATCAAAAGTTCCTTTATTGTTGGATCAAAAATTTAATATGCCTGCTAACTTGGTTGATTCCAACGAAGCCCAAGTACTTAAAGTTTTATTTTTCTTTACCGTTATCAAAGCTGTAATTCCTATATTAATTTTTTTGGTTGCAGAATTTCATTGCGTCGATATACACGTACTTGGCGGAACAAACGCGTATCGCATTAAATAAAATTGTGGAAAACCGATTTACGCAACAGACGAGTCATTTAGTAAATTCAAAGCTAATATATTTTTATGCTGAAGAAGCTTATGAACTCGGAAAATTGGATATTGCTAGAGAATATTACACGACGGTGAATATTTAGACTGTTTAAATATTTTACCAGCTGTTTTTAAATTTTTTACTTAAACAAAAATATTAATATTCTACAGATAATAGAGTCGAATAAAGCTAATCCAGATTCATGGACAAAGTATGCAATATTTCTGAAAAAAATTGGCGACGTAGAGCGTGCAAAAGAATGCTGCTTAGAAGCAATTTCATTAGACAAACACCATGCTATCGCGTAAATGAGGCATATCTCATAATTCTTTCTTAAACACAGACTCTAATGCAGTTTATATAAAAATTGCAGATTGTTAATGTATGCGCTGATTTTATTCGAAAATAATGAATACAGAGAAGCAGAAGTTTTTTTGAAAGCCGTCACTAATTTTTATCCACGATTTTTTGAATGCTGGGGTATTTTACACATTTTTTATATACGAACAGAATATTATCCAGGTAACGAGAATATTAAAATTCATTAATCTGTTGCGGATATTAGTCAGCAATGGTACAATAAGTATCATTGCGTTAATTTTATATAAAATTTCATTAAATACTATCTTACATCTTAGGAATAGATCTGACACTTCGGATAGCAGAAAAATGTATGACAGACAAGAACCGAGAAGTAGTTCTTGATCAAGAACCACTTTCATGGACCATGATTCACTGTCCTCCGGATAATATATACTTATTAGTGGCGACATTTTTACTAAAATTGCATTTCTGTGAGGTAAAATATTGTAAAATATTTTCTGAGGTAAAATTCTTTCCATTCAAAATTATGTTTTGATTGTCTTCAGTTTGCAGGGATCGCACTAGCACAGACAATGTTAGATTGCGAAGCATCGACTGATACCTTATATTACCTAGCAGTGGAGCATTATTTGTCTGGCAGATATGAAGACACATTATCCCATTTGAAACAGATTGAATGTTCTTTTGGAGTAGTTTGTATCTTCAACTTATCCATTACTTAAAAACAAGTCAACTTCGCTGACCCTTTTCAATTATTTATTTAGGATTTTTCAGTCAGTAGCTTAATGGGCCATTGTTATCTAAAAATGGGTGATGAAGAGAAAGCTGTAGAATATTATGATTTCGCTTGTATGCTATTTGATAGACCTGAAATGGCACATTTAGTAGAAATTAGGTAACATTATTTCTAATTTTATTTCTAAAATTAGTCATTACAATGTACATTTTTTACTGTCAGACTTGGATACCATCATTATAATGTCGATAAATTTGATTCGGCAAAGAAGATGTTTCTGAATGCATGTAAAGCCTCACCAACCTCGCATACCTGGCTAGGAGTTGGTATGTGTTGCTATGAGGTAAGAAAATATTTTTTCGTTTGCAAAACCTTTAAGATAAGCCACTAAGACTTAAGGTATCATTACATTATCACTGTACTATACTTCAGCTTGAACAGTTTAAAGAAGCTGAGATGGCTCTGACAGAAGCAAATCTAATTGATAATAGTAATCCAGACACATGGGGCTATTTGTGTTTATTAAATATGACGCTTGAAAGGTATGATGAGTTCGTCCAGTGTTATGCAGAAATGATCAAGGTATATTTTCCTTTGATTGCATTCAATATACTTGTATGCTGAATGTAAAATAAGAAACTACAAGGCCCACTGCGACTTATTTTAACATACTTTCATATATTATATATAGTAGTATATCTCGTTTCACTGCCTGACAAGTTTAATAGTCCTCAGAAAAATTCTCTTCATTCTAAAAAATTACAGAACGTAATAAATAACAATAAAACAAACTTTTACTAACAATTTTTATTCATTTTTTTTCATATATTAGAACAATCTTAAAAATAAAAAACTGTGGCTGAGAATAACAAATATGATGGAGGCTTTGGATTATACACCACCAGATTTAGTGACAGGAACCAATGATTTCAACGACAGTCAAAGTAAAGAAGAATTTGAGGAACAATTTGAACAATGATGGCACTTAAATGACGAGAAATAAAGAATGACACTTTAAAAAGGCAAATAATATTCGATTATTGCTTCTTCTTCACTAAATATATAGCGGTGCAATTTTCAGCCAATGTTTAGCAAGTGAATAACAAAATATTATATAATTAAAAAAAAAAAAAACGTGCAATAAATAATCTTTCAGTAAAAAAAAATTTGCGTGCGTACATGTGTTTGCACGCGCGCGCGCATATACATGATTTGGCATGGTTAGATTTTTCGAATTTTAGTTGCAACATAGTATTATTTTTTTGCTAAAATTAAATAAATATATATATCATAACATTTATGTTATCATTTAGAACACTGCAAATGACTGCTCTTTTTAAAGAACGGTCTTTGAATTATTGAAATATAAATTTTATATACGCATATATCCACTTCTAATAATAATTGCTCGTTATAGTCAATTATAAAAATATTACTCAAGTGCGATATCTGAACAGATGTTAGCATAGTGCAGTCTCGCTATATAGTACCCTCGTATGTGTTCTGCTTAATGAGTTCCCTTTCGTACTGTCTTTCACATTATATTGGTGATAAAAGACGCGAAGGCATAAAAATTGCAAATTTGTTCATTGTTAGCAAAGCTTTGTCGACCAAGCACTGCATAGGAGTTTCGCTTATATCTACAGCTTTATCTAGGGCCATACATCAAGACTTCACTACACTCTATTGTCATAGAATTTTACACCGAATATTAGAAATATGAATCATAACTCGTAGATTTCTAAATGTGTAAAAGTACTATGTTAATTAATTGCAACGTGCTAATCCTTTGCAGCTTTCAATTCTTTTACAATAATAACAACTTTCATAAGAAAAAACAAAACAGTATTTTTAAATAAAATTAATACATTACTTCCAATGTATTTAGAAAGATAACAAATACAATTACTTGAAGTAACATTGATTTGCAACGTGACCAAACTACAGCCACAAAGGACTCATCAATTAACACCAACGATTGTGCGCAATTAGTATTTGAATTAACTTAGTTAATAACTTTAAAACGTATTGCTTCAGAAATATCTCTTAAACTCTAAAGTAATATATCAGATTCTCGATAACATCAACGAATTATATATATCCATTTACAATTTTTAAAAACTGTATCAAAATTATAACAGATTTAAAAATAACAATCTACTATTCAGTTATTAAAACAAAATATACGATTTTCAATGTTTTCATAAAATCTGTTCATAAATAATATTTATAAAGAAGCGAGTATTAGAAATAATTCTAATGTGAAAAAGTATCAATGAAACATCCGTTAAATACATTATCAAGAATCGACATCATTTTCATTGTTATATTTTATAACCCCCCTGCATCTTCCACCTTTTCGTTAATGATGTCTTTATCTTTTTCTTTTTCCTGCTCTACAGTATTTATATTGGTATTACTTATATCCTCTACATTTATCTCTTTCTTAACTGTAATATCTCTTGAAATTGTATCGGATGATTCATCGTTTTCATTTGTTTTTTCGGCTTGATACTGTACCAGTTCATTATTACATACTGATTGATCATTAACTTCTATCACAGATTGTGTTGTAGTCTCCGATGGAGATACAGAATTGTTGGTTGCTACTTCTACAGTTTCTTGCAAAGAAATTTCATTTTCAGAATCCTTACAAACAGTATTTTCCGCTTGTTCCAACAGTTGCTGATCATCTTTAGTTGGAAGAATTTCTTCTGATTTAACGATTTCATCATTTTCATTCGCACCTACTACATCTTTAGATTGAGCATTACTTGTTTCGGAAGACGTATTATTATTTTCTTGTAAATCCTGTGTTATGTTATTTACAACTTCTGCACCATTGTTTTCATTATTTAAATCAAGTTTTTTCAAACCCTCTTTATCAACATGTTCGAGACTTTCTGTTTCTGATGAAAAACCCGCGCAAGTTTCTTCTGATTCATTTTTCAATACTATATCGTTTGCAATCTTATTTTCAGCATCCATTTCGCTACTTTCTATAGTATGTACTTCTGTATGCTCAAGTTCAGTTACCTCAAGTGAATCTGACTTTTCTGTTTTAACGTCATTTTCAACATTTGTTTCATCAGTAACCGAACTTTTCTGTGTAACATTCACATTTGAAGCATCGTGTTTTATTATTCTCGTATTTCCTTTCATCGGTTTTGGCGATTTAGGAGTATATGTTCTTTGCTGGTCTTTCTGTGGATAAGATCTAAATTCATTATCGTGGTATTTGTGAAAATTTGTATCGTCCTCCCTTTTGCCTTCTTTTCTTTGATAGTACAAAGGCCTAGAATCACTGTCTTTCTTCTTTTGTGAATGAGATCTCTTTATGTTAGAAAACTTTTGATTATTGAAGAAACTTCCTTTTGATTTGTCTTCAAATGATTTTTGACGAAAGAATGATTCATTTTCAGTTGTAGGTGTATCAACATCTGAATGACTATATGTGACACGAGTTCTTTGGCGTGGTCCAACTCTACCTGTGCCAGCTATGCTTGGAGAATTCACTGAAACACAAAACATGATATAATACATAACAAAATTATCATATACAATAATGGTAAAAGTATATAAAATAAACATCTATAAAATACCTTTAATACTCATAACTGGTCCTTTTATTGCACTGCTCTGATTTAGTGTCACTTTAATACTTTTATCAGTTGCAATAACAGTTCTTTCTTCAGAAGTTGGAGATTCAGACCTTTTCACAGTTGTAGGTGCATTATTTCTATGCTGATTGTATGTAGTATGAGACCGATTGTCATGATTGCCATGAACATTTTTTGCTGAACCACGGTAAGGGCGATGATTTCCACCTTGATTGTAATTAACATGCTCGTTGTCTGTAAGAAACATGTTCTGACAAAACAGTTGTGAGCTTTTCAAAATACAAAATTTAACAGCAATGAAACATACTATTATCATATTTCCTGCCGGAATCTTTATATTTTTTCCTGACATTGGAGAATCTAGGCAGTGCTGTATTCTGCAGCCTGTCAGAGTAGTACTGTGTAGATGCATGCTCTCTATTTGGATCTCTCTCATACTCATCATTTCTATTATGTGTTGTGAACTAACATAAATTATTGTACATGTAACAAAAATAATAAAATACTATAAAATGAATATTATTTGACACAAAATACTATAAAAATATATTAATACTTTATCATTATCCCATTCTCTAAGCCAGTTGCCTTCTGCTGTTCTTTGTCTACTAATACGATCTTCGTCAATTCGATTTCTTTCTGCTCTCCAAGCATCATATCCTGACTGTGATTCACCTTTGTAGTTTCCCTTATTGAATTTATTATCCTGCTACAGAATAGAATAATCTTGAATAGCTCATAAAAACCACAAATTAGATTTATGAGCATATTCTTTCATACCTTCTCTACATTTTCTCTTCCACCAATCTTTTTCCTGAAACTGCCTCTTAGTCCTTTATTATTAAATCTATTTCCAACAGTTTCTTTTGTGTATTCAGTAGGTTCTTCTCGCTCAGAATCTGCTAAAAAGTTGTATTTAGGATCTGGTGGTGGTCCTTCACCCTAAAAAATTTCATTTTTATAATTCATGTTAAAAAATAAATGTGCCATAAAATTTTGATGCATACTTGGGCAAAAGAATGTATTTTCCTTCCTTCACCAGAATGAGACTGCGGTACATATTCATGTCTTTCTTTGGTTGGCTTTTGTTTGGTTTTAGGTGAGTTGGTAAATTCTGGTGGTTCTTTCCTCTCTGGCCAATCTGTTGATGGTACCATTTGCACTAAAGCATTTTGTTTAGCTGCATTTTTTTTATCTTCTTCTACTTCCTAATGAGGAAAATAATTCACAAAATAAACTTAAAAAATTATATAAATTGACTAACATAAATTTATAATAAACAGAATGCACATGCTTTCATTATAATTGTTTAAAATTATATTTCAAACTACAATATTAATAAAATAAAAAAAATATATACATGGACAGTATCTTGAGGTTCTATTTTATAATAAATACCTCATGTCTTCTCTTAATTTCCTCATTCAATTGTCGAATTTTATTGATCTTTTCTGTAAGTGCACTCGAAGCCATCTGAAATTATACCACAAGAAAGTAGAATTAACATATGAATCATATTTTTTAAACATTAAACTTTCAAATACATATTTTTCTGGATCAGTAGGCTATCTGTAAACTACAGCTATAATGTTACACTTTTCAAATTTTAGGAAAAAAGTTAAAATTGCCAAATGGTTGTAGTCTTAGAACTAATGTATATATGTATAACTAGTATAGTAGTATAGTTGTATAACAGAATCAATGAAACAGTAATGTAATAATATAGCGATCTGAATATTATTACTGGTGTAATAATATTTGATCTCTAATCCTGAGCACCAAGATATTAATAATTAAAACCAAATAATTAATTATAAAATGTAATTGTATTTTTAAAAAAGTGTTCATCAATTAAAATAGAAATTAAAAATAAATTAAGCATAATACAAATTTTATAAATTTAATCGCGATAAGTTTAATGACATTATAAAGTGCTTAGTTATTTGTGTCACCACTCATTTCATTCCATAAACAGTTTCACTTCCGAATTCTTTATCGTTTGAACACAACCTTACAATATGTACTTTGTTATACTAATATGTTTAACACAATTGCTTTTCATTTTATAGCAACGAAAATAATTGGTGATATAAAAACAATAAAAGAAGAAAGAATGGTGATGACACAATTTATATCTCTTCAGAATGTACCCTTTTATTTTAGAAATCACTGTGTCTATATTAAGATGTATATATTTGTATATCTATTAGTTTTAATTATTTCTTTTATAAAAAAATGTAATGTAATCAAAAGTATGTTACTGTAGTAATTCGGCATGTAAATGAGATCAATGATCATCTAAAAATAGGTTATAGAAATGTTATAATGCTCTCTTTAAAGTGTAGATATTTCTATGAATCAATTATCTAACATAAATTATATTAATCATATTAACAAATAAATTGACGTACGATTGCAAGTAGACCCAGGCACTGTCGGAAAAAAGAAATTAGAACATCAAGTTAAAGCGTTACGTTGTTCAATTAAAAATTGGTCACATATGTCACTGTTAATCAGTTAAGCACTATGCACCCTTGTTTTTTCAACGGATGTTCTCAATATGAACAAGGAAATTACTGTACTTCAGTGGTTTTCATTATATAATTTATGTAATGTTTCAACAGGACAATTCAGAAACATATTAAATTCTCTAAAGATTCCAGAGTCACCTACTAATTAAATTATAAAATAGAAACATATAGTTATTTAATAATTAACATATTATTCGATCAACGAGAAACCGTACGCATCGCACCGAGTTTTCCTTCAGTCTGCGCACACATCTATTACATATCCAGTGTGTTTTTATTTTACATACTTTCTACTTTAGGTATAATATAAGAAAATTTTCAAATTCTAATTTTCCAATTTTTAACCTCGCAGATTTTCAAATTTTTAGGATTGAAAAATTTCAAATTTCATTATATTTCCATTTATATTTTTCTTTGTTATTCGCATATTTTGTCCACAGCGTATATAACTACTGGAACTAAAATCGTAGTGTAGCAGAGCAATTCAGCTGACGGAGAGCCAACTGAAGTTAGTCAAGTTGCGCAAATTGAGTACGATCTCTCATGAAACAAATATCTTTAGCAACATTTCAGTCTTCTGTACATTTCATTCCAATCATATAGAAAATAAAATTAGTCATATTGTTAAAAATGATCTAATTTTATAAAATCTGATTAATTCTAGAAGATATTGTCGAATAATATTAACTAATTTGTGTCATTTAATGAGCACTCCTGCTATAAATTACACATGCGCAGAATGCAGTAGTTCTATTACTCGACGTTCTGCAATGATTCGGCGGTGTCTTTATTTTGATTAATAATTGGCAAGCATATTGTAAAAAGAATGATAAAACTATGAAGAATCGAAATCTTAAATCGTCTTCCCACTTCAATACATTGTGCCATTTCAGCTGTCATAGCTATCGTGAAATATAACCTATCGCATAGAATTAGTAAACTTAGAAATGCACAGGAGGTGGTTTTATTAAAAAAATCGAATGTTTACTAAAAAAGGGATATATGTTACTTTAATAGTGCAAAGAAAGTTGCTGTGTAAAGCGTTCACAAATTTCTGTCGAAATGAAAATAACGAAATCCACTGTTATTCTTTTGATCTTTGTATTAGTGTTATCAATACTTGTAGCAAATGTTGCTGATCTAATTAATGTTGATACTCACGTGTTAGATGATACTATAACAAACAAAAATGTGAGAAATGAATGGTCAAACCCAAAATATTATGATATTGGAACATCCTCTGATCATTTAATTTGGTTCTTACAGGTTTGTTAGTCAAGACATCTATAATTATTTATTATTTCTTATGTAATGAGATAGTAATATCAATCAATGTCTTATAAACTGAAACGCAGTTTCATTAATTTACATATTATTTATAATTTCTCAAATACATTAGTATTAAAAATAATCTAAGGATTAAGATGAAAGAATGCTTTATTAAATAGTGATCTTATTAATTGTTTTCAGATATCAGATATACATATAAGTATATTTCAAGACCCATTAAGGATAACAGAATTAAGAGAATTTTGTAACATTACAGTTGGCACTATTAAACCACCTGTTGTACTTGCTTCAGGTAAAAGTCATTAAGAAATATTGTAAGAAATTTTATATCTTTGTTATATAATCTAAAAATTTAACAGGTGATCTTACTGATGCAAAAACCAAAGACAAAATGGGATCAAAACAAATACTAGAAGAATGGCAGTATTATAAACATATTTTAGATGATACTGAAGTTAGTAAAAAAACCTTATGGTTAGATGTGAGAGGCAATCATGGTATAACTCATATTACATAATTAATATGTACACCAGTAGACATGAAAGATTTCTCTAAGAAAACTTCTGATATAGGGGAAAGAAGCTGCACTAATCATTGGTTTTATTATAATATTTGATCTCCCCAAGTCAGTTGCCAATGGTAGGAGGTTCTTCACCCTATGTCAGTTCTTATTCAAATAAATCCTATATTACATCTGAGTGTACAATAGATAGAAATTTATGTTAATAGTTTTACCTATAAATTATTTTAAAAACTTCCAGATAATTTCAATGTAGTAAGTCTTGAAGCAAGAAATAATTATTATTCCAATTATTCTATTCAAGGAAAAATACATCCAAGATCTTACATGTATACTGTGAATGTTGGTACTGAATTATATACATTCATTGCAATAGATGCTTGTTTGAATCCTGGTCCAAAAAGACCATTCAATTTTGTTGGTGTATTAGATGAACATGAAATTAAAAGTATGCAGGAGTTTGTAAATAAATCCCAAGAAAATAATGCAGATTATATAATATGGTTTGGTCACTATCCTACTTCATGCATACTCTCACAAACAAGTACAGGAATCAGAAATGTTATAGGTAGAAATTAGTAGAATGTGCATTTATATATTATATTATAAATTTAATTGAAAATTGTTAAGATTAAATATATATTTTTAGGAAGGTACAAAGAAAGCATGGCATATCTTTGTGGACACTATCATATGCTTGGTGGAATAGCTCCTAACATGTATACAATACAGAGAGCAGGATTTCTTGAATTAGAATTAGCAGATTGGAAAGATAACAGAATGTAAAGTATTTATACTTTATACATGTAATGTAATACTTGTAAGATTAACTGTAATATCTGAATTAGTATTTCAAATAAGTTGTATATACATTTTGTGTGTTGTGTTTGAGAAAGTGTTAGCATTACCTGTGCTTATTTTTAGGTATCGTTTAGGAGCAATAGATCATGGTCAATTTTCTTTTATTGATGTGAAACATAAAGAATGGCCTGTGGTATTGATCACTAATCCTAAACATGCTTTGTATATGATGCCTAGAAAAGAAAATATAATGTCTATTATTAAATCTACACATATTAGGTAAACATTGTTAGAATAAAATATTTTGTAACAAAGTTTAAATAGTAATTACTATTATTGTTTAGTGTTGTGTCTCTTGTAGGATACTGGCGTTTTCAATCGCTTCGATAAAAATTGTTGAAGTTCAGTTAGATAGTACAGCATGGTTGAAATGTGAACATGTTAATGGACCATTGTATGTCTTAAAATGGAATTCAACAGAATATAGTGAAGGAATTCATACTATTCGAGTTCAGTAAAATATATTTATTTATATTTTTTTTTTTATTTTTTGTTTATTATGTAAAGTTCCTGTTTGTAAGTTTTACTTTTAATAATTTATATTTTACATTATTTTATCAATGTAATAATTTAATTGCAGGCAAAAGTCGTAGATGTAGATGGCAGGGAAACAATAGTGTTTCAACCATTTGCTCTTGATGGATCTCGTTTATCGTTTCGTATTTTGCCTAGAATTCTACTTATGTCCAATGTCAGTGTCATTGTAAGTATTAAATGATATATTACAATTTCATTTGGATATAAATCTGTATATTAATATTTATTTCATCTAGTTTCAGTTCTTATTTGGAACAGTGTTAGTCTTGTTAGTAATCCCATTATGTTTACTTCGTTTTCTTCATATATTCTGCGAAAGTAAGTAAATTATAAATGTTTTACAATTTTACTCGAAAATAAAATAATTACAAAATTAGTTAAATAAACAGTAATGGAATAATTTGCAGTCACATCACAGAAGTAATTTAAATGTAATTAACTGAAAACAATGCCTTAAATTGTATCTTGTTTAAAATTTACTTGCAGAACATTGTTTTTTGTAGTTCTCACATCATCTGTTTAGATATATAACGATCATATATTATAAAAATTTCTTGATGTAAAAATGAAATTTAAAATATCTTTTATAGATAAACAAATGCATCGACCGCGGTTCAAGATAAAATTTATTCAAGCATGGTTTAAAAAATTGTGGATATTGTCTACAGTTGACCGCCTTTTTTATCCATTAGTACTGTACGCATTATATTTAACAGTCGGTAAGTAGTTAGTAACTTAAATGTGTTATCTAATTTTAAACTAGCGAGTGAATTCTTTTCATGATAAAATAATTAATTTTTAAGGACCATGGGCAATTGGTGAAATAATAGAAAATCACACAGGAATAATTTTCGCTTGGGGAACATTCGTCAAAAATTCTTATTTGCCTGGCGGTTTTACTTATGCTTATGGATTTTTTCAATTATTTTCCTTCCATTTACCGCTAATGTTAATCTTAGCGCACAGAGTAGATAAACGGTAAGATAAAGTATAAGTTTTGTTATATTATTTACATTATATATCATTTAGTACGAAATAATATTGTATAATAAGTAAAACATTGATTTTGCAGCTTACAGAATATCAACAGACTTCATGAGAAACACTCATCTAAAATATGTTGCCTCTGGGAATATTTACCAATTACGTTATTAATTGTAATGCAAACGAGCATGGCTTATTTCTTTTGGTTAGCATATGGAACATTAGCAACTATAGTATGCCCTTTACGTACTTGGAGCATCTTTTTAGCAATAATGTTATGGCATCAAGTGAATACGATGCCTCAATCATGTCTAAGGTACATACCTGTTACATTAATACTTTTATAATACAACTTTACTTATTCCTACACATTAGTCTCTTTATAGTTGTACAATTAATATCTAAAACTTTAATATTTAGAAGATACAAAATAATTTCCATCCTTTTTGTACTAATTATTATTTTTTATCATAAAGGTCTGCTGCGAAGATATGGTCCACACATGGTTGATATATACACTAACATATTCTAAAAATGTGGTAGTATTTATTTTATTTAGATAGGCTATTGTAATAATTTATATATTTTACAAGCCAATTTAATTTGCTATGTAACATAATACTCTTTTTTTCACATAACATGAAAGGTGCTTAACAAAGTCATCAAAATAGTTTCAATTGTGTGTCTTATTTCGTATATACTGAGTTAATAAATAGTCTTGTTGTTCCATTATAAATTAATCTTTTACATCTGATCAGGATTAACTGTAAGAAATGAATTTGATAAATTTGTATAATGATAATTTTGAAAGAAACATTTTGTTTCTTGTTATCAATATAAAATTTTGATTTTATTATTGTGACCATAATAATTACACATTACAATTTAATTAGTTCCTTTTAAACAGTGCCACGAGCTTTTTTAATGCAATTATAACAAAGACTGCTCTTAATTTTAATACTTTAAATGCAATCAAGTGCTATATTATAAAGGGACAGAAAAGTATGTATGCATTTCTATTTATTATTAACATTTTATATAATTAAATACATATTCAATCTTTCGGAGTATTTCTTATGATAATTATCTCAAATAATAATTAGAATACTTCCATATTTCAGTTTCAAAAACTGAAAAGATGCATTATGTAAGAGAATTGGAAAGGGAGAAAAAAAGAAAGTACTGTCATCTGTTTTATTATTGTATTTTAAATCGTTTATGAAATTAAAATTTCAGCATAGTAGGAAAAAATTAAGATGCAATAATATGTAATATACAAATTAATATTTTATATAAACTAACAAGATGAAAAAGATTATTTTTCATTTTGTAGAAATATTAATGTTTTTAACATTTAGATTTATCTTGCCTTGTTTAATTGCATGTAAGCAGTATTAATATTGAATTATATTTCATTTCTGTGATATGTAAGTGTAATTAAAAGTCAAAGTGATAGTAAAATGGAATTTAATAGTTTTAATTTATGAAAAGTACATCATGATTCAAAATATGGATCAGTATTTTCTTAGAAAATAACTTTTATTGCAATATTATATTTTGTATAAATAACCTACCATTGTTCTTGAATATGATCTCAGAACTGTAAATATGATCTCAATGGTTCCCAATCATTAATTATCATGAATTTCTTCCATAAATATGCCAAATATTTTAGAAACTAAAAAATTGAAACTAATTATGTTTCTTTTATATATTACATTTCAGTTATGTATTAAAATTGAAATAGTCACACAAATATTTCATTTTATCAAGACCATTTGGAGAAGTGTAATGAATTGATTACTATTGGGAATCATAGCTCGTTTGATTGTGTTACCAAATATTGTGTATTTAATATATTTTATATACCACTATGAGAAAAATGGAAAAATATTATATTTAAATATTTAGTATATAGTATAAAGCAAACTCTTAATTAATCACTTAAATAGCATTCAATGTATGTATCTCTTTATGAAAAATGCAAACTAATAACACATGTGAATGTTAATAAATGTTGTACACAACTTTAATAATAGGACGTTGTTCCCTGTTGATTATATAAGATACATGCATATTTTATCCATTTTATCAATCATGGTATTTAGCAGAAAGGTTGCAAGTATAAGCCGGCAATTACAAAAGGCCGGGACGTTCACTTATATTAAATTATGCTGCGCGAACCGGTTCCGCTTTTGCGATGAATGGAGCAACGTACACGTTATACGCATGCGTGAACGGTACCTAATTAACTAGGAAGGTTGTAGTCTAAGTTTCTGCTGTTATTTATTGTTCAATATTTTGTATTTACTGTTTAAATCTGACTAATTGTTTTTATAGTTCATTAAAATATTTGGAAAAGAAGAGATGACTGATCAGGATCAAGAGTTTCCTGCTCAGTGGGCACTTGATCTTCTGCGAGGGCCAACAATTTATAAAGAGGCATTTTATATTAAATATTTAGCAGAAATAACATGTACAATTTCTGGTGCTGGTACAATGCTTGTTACTAATTTTATTATGCACAAACCTTTATACAGTGGTAAGTGTCTACAATAAAATTATTGTGAATCATATAATTCTAACCTAGCAATATTTACTATTATATAATGCACATACATAGACATTTGTAATCCATACACTTAGTAAAACAAAGTTTTAATTTGTATTTATTTCTAAAACTTCTCAGAATCCAATTATGTTGATTCATTTAATATCAATATCAATTCTATGAATGTTTATCAGTAATGTTTTACAATATTATGTCATTTCATTTTAGCATTACCTTGGCATTTCTTTTGGACTGCTGTTGGTTTTGCAATAGGAAGAACAGCAACGATTTTTGCTGATTACAAATTTGCAAAACGTGATGCAATGATAGTAGATTATATAAAACTTCACCCAGAACGTTTTCCTCCACCTAGTGAGTTAATTAACATTTTGTGAAATTTTTTCCGTAGTTAAAATTTTATAATCAATAATAATTTGGTATATTGTAGAGAGTATAAGGTTTAGCTAATTTAAAAGGTCATTATACAATCAGCAAGCAAACAATTGACTAATCATCTGGTTTTTATATTTTAGGAAATAAAAAACTTGCAGAAATAATTGAACCATGGTTCCCGATTCGATAAACAGCTGTAAGTAATGTAATTACTGTAATATTTGTACTTTTAATTGTAATAGTGAGAATGAAAGTAAAATATATAGATAATTATACTTTATGAAAGTATGTTCACAATTTTATGTCATACTCTTATATTAAGAATTATATTTTTATTTGTATCTATGATATAATAATAATATACATAAACATAGTTCAATGTATTTACATGTACTTTCATGGTTTAAAATTATTCAGTAATATTATGATAAAAAGTTATGTCATGAAATTAAAGTTATTTAAAATTAAAATAAAAAATAAGTAGAATATTTTTGCAAGCTACTTAATTTATAGTTTTTTTATAATCTCAATTGATTATATAAAAATGTTTAATATCTTTATTGATAAAATTCGTGGAATAAATTTTTATTTTATTTATCATTTATCAAAAGTTCTTTATTTATTTTAATATATATTAACTTTTCAATTTTAACGAATGAAAGGTTTTTAAATTTATTTTTATATATATCATTCATTTAAACAACAACAAACGAAAATTGATTAAACCCTGTCTAATAATCTGTCTAATTTATAAAAATTTCTATTTCCTTTCAGGATTATAATTATCATTGTATAATCCAGTTCCCTTCGAATCTCCTAACCAGGGATATTTATTGGGACATTCTCTGCATGTTTCTAGGTATCTGTAAAATGTTTATCATTATTTTAATGCAAACTATTGTATTAAATACTGTTAATTTAAATTTTGTACATATACATCGTGAAACATTTACCTTGTAGTAGTAAAATTAGATTCTGTAGGTTTGAAATCTAAAGCACATTTGTTTGGATTATTACATGGTGGCCCAGGAATATTTTCTTTCCTTTTACATGACCACCCTTCAAAATTGTTCAGAGACTTTGTCGGTTTTGGATCAGTTATCCATGTAAGTGCTTGTGTAGCTGTTACAAAGTATACATCAGGTCTGCAAATGTATTTATTAAGTTAAAGATTTATACTTGTTTTATCTGGACACCATTTTTACGTACAATGTGACTGCCCAATCAAGGAACTTTGATAAACCTCTTTCAAGTTCCTTTATTTGAAACCAATTAGTGTGAAAAGGCATCATATACGGAGCTCTATTTTGTTCATAATAACGATTGAAGTCTTCTTGTAACCATTCAAATACTTCCTCAGGATCGTGATTGTGAAGTACACACTGATCTAAGTAAGGGCAATGACCTCCTTCATAGCTTTCAACATAATGTGCATTTAAAGGCAGTTCCCATACACCTGATAACAAGTGAAACATTATTTGTTTTTTAAATTTTCTTTATTATCTTTATAAATGATTGATGTTATTGGTTTTATGAAAATATAAATAAAGTTTATTAGTACCTGGAAAAGATTTAGTAGGACATGTGCCTGCTTTGCATTCATGTGGAATTTTGTAATCAAGCGTGTATGGCCAAATTGGTACTTTCAATGGAGAAATTCCGATACTACTATCATATATATATCCAAAGTCTTCCAGTACTTTATATTGAGTATTTCTTCCAGGTTTTAAATATGGAGCTCTCATGCCCACAATTTCACTTATTGAAATGTTACTAAAATGTTTGAGTATTTCCCGCATTCCTATCATTTCACCAACCCATTCTTCGTATCCTTTGTCTTCTAATCCTTTTTGCAATCTAAATATTATTAAATATTATTGATTATAATAATTTCATTCATTATTGTATTTGTACCAGTACTCACGATATAGTTTCAGTTGCAATTTCGTGTCCATCGTGCGCCAAACTTTGAACCATGTTATAATTACAATATTCATGTGAAATGAAGAAAGTACCTTTCAACGGACAGTTATTTGGATTTAATCGATCGGTGTTAAATATTTTTTGGTAATGATCAAAATTGTTGTGATTTATTGCTCCATCGAATGTCATTATTATCATTTGTGGTGTCTAAAGTACAACAAAATTTGATAAGAAGTTTAAAAAAAATTAATTTATGGAAAGGGAATGTACATACATCTTCCGGGTGAAGACCACCAGGAATTATTGTACCATCTCTAGAGCAAAAACAGTATGGTAATTGGCAATTAGCAGTATCACATTTTTCTGCTAAGTCTGTTGGTGGTTCAGTTACTGGTGCTGGAGCTAAAAAATTGAGATAATATATATTAATATAAAAATGAATAGTAAAAAGTACAGTTGTTGAACACTTTTAAAAACAGTACTTACTTGTAGCAATTGGACCACATCTTGCTTCATTTTTAAAAGTACAAAATTTACTGATGTCATCAAAGTGTAATCCTGATGGACACCTGTTTAGGTATGGATAGCCATCTACGCACTGTTGAAATCATGTACAAGTATTCTATTAAAGCTAATTGAATACCGTTCTATTATTATATTAAAAATTATATTCATATTTTGCAAACAAATAGTTATTTACAAAATAGAATTGGAAATACCTGATAAAACCTTCTGCATGTTGCTGGATCTGCAAAATTACCGTTACCTTGGCCTTCAGGGCATTTAAATTCTTCATCTTTCTTCTCTTCATCCTTTTTCGCGTTTTTCTGTCCTGAAACTGTAAAAAAATTTCCATCATTACATTATAGAAAAACGTTTCTATACAAAAATATAAAACTTTTGAAGTCTGAAAATCTCGAATCCCAACAAAAGGTCAAGGTTGAGTTTCTTGGAAGACATTAATATTTTTGTATCTTTTTTTGTAATCTTGTATCAAGTTACTGCACGTTGTAATTTATAATTATATTACGAAGATAAGCGAAGTTAAATTCTCGGAGGATTTGCCTATAACTCAGAGACAAGAATTTCAAGAAGCAAATCCATTCCGTGTATCATCACGTACACTGTACACAGAAAGTTTAAGATACTTATGGAAAATGCGCAAGAGAAATTCCAAGGGTATCACAGAAAAAAAACGGCCGAGAAAGCGAGAAACGTATAGTGGTAAAGAATTCCAACGTTCGAAGACACATTACAGCCATATGAGTCTTGGAAATCAAACGTTTACGCTTACTCATTGTTTTCTAATAGACATCGGTGAATAAACAAATTCGTACATTCTTAAAATATCTCATTTTTGAATTAAAAATATTTCATGAACTTTACAATAAGGCTTAATATTTTTTTTACATAGAATGAAGAGATGATTCGGTTTAATTGTTCTGTTTTCGGTATAAGCTACATCTTTTTTAATTTTCGAAATACTTTTTAGAGAATGAGTGGTTCAAGGATATTTATGTACTTATGTTTAAACGTGTTTGTTACGAGTAATGACAAAGTTGCTTTTGAGAAATAAAAGTGAGAGTGATATCCATATGTTAGAAGCGCGTTACTTGGGTCAGTGGCAAGATCAAGGACCAACATTGACTCCGTTACTATCGTTAAAATATGAATTCGTTTCGCGAAATAAAAATTTATAAAATCGTTTATTCTAAGATTATAGATGGTATACAATACAATAGCCACAATGTTTCATTAGCTCGAAACCCTTTCTTTAGATACAGTGATCAGTTTCATTCACCTATCTAGCCATTACGAATCAGAGAATCATTTCAACTATGCAAACTAAGAGATGCCTTGCAAGGTATGCTTTTATTCGTCCTTCCAGTCGTTTCACCACCGTTATACTGTCTCAATGGTCTGCAGACGATGTTCGATAATCGCGAGTAGAATCCATAATAACGGCATGCTTTTTATTCAAAACGCGAACTAAAAGGGCGTATCCTGATGCGATCCTATCCCTACCGGTTCGAGGTGTGGTAGCTTTGAAACGAATACTACACATTCTCAAAGGAATTCTTTTTCATGACCTGGATAATTGTTCTCGACATAGTGATCTTTCGGTGTGACCTTTTTTCTTTCAGAACATTTCATGCATCACAGTAACAATTAGATAACAATGAGTTAACATTTATCGACACTGGAACTTTCTTTCTTATTGAATACCATCGCAACTTTCTTATTATTCTTACTATGCTTGAATTCTTTTTATGTAGGCCACGTTTCGACAGTGATTTAATGTTCTATAACGCTACAGTTATTTTTCCGAACATCAACGTTTGAATACTGCAAAGACACTGATACTCAAAAGTTTGATCGTACAAGAAATTTAATTCGACGTGGAAATATTGGGATTCGAATACATTGAAATCTCGTGCAGATGTGCTAGCAGGAGAAAGTAGAATCCTAGGAAGACACTTCCCTATGATTTTATAACAGTTAAGCATGAAACTAACGTTAACGCGTTTACGATGTTCAATTTAACTACCGTTATCATTTTATAACGTAATGCATAAATTATAGGAACTGAAACGAGTAATTTAATTTATTATAACATATACAAATAATTGAAGAAATTGACTAATAACTTATTCATTGACTTTCGAAATCATTCAGACTTCCAAGGTTTCCAAAATCTTTCTTGACCTTTGAGACTTTCAGTGTCTTCAAACTTTCAAGGTCTTTAAAACTTAAGTTATTGAAGACTTCAAATCGTTTAATTACTTGTAATCTTACTAAAGAACTTTGAATATTCTTCATTGCTTCATATTTAATTTTTTGTATCGCAACTTGCAAACTTTTTAACTTCGACTATTCAGAAAAATTAATTAACATTTGCGCAGTGATTGTAATATATTATTGTAACATGTACGCGTAAATATAAATACATGTACTTTTTAAGAAGTTTTCAAGAGAACTGAAACTGGTTCGTGTCTACGACGCATATTTGAAATATTGGATGCTGCGGCTATATTTGTACTTTAATTGATCCGATCGGTTACATTGCTACAAAAAGATCAAGCATAGCGGCAAAGTGGAAAGTGAAGGTGCTGCTCTGACAATGACGTTGTGGTAAATCGTTCAGGTGCAGCATTTCCATCGGCCGTGGTGTGTACGTACACTTTTACACCGCCAATTCAGATCCGTCGACGTACGACACAATACGTGTATACACACGAGCGACAAAACTTATGTAAACAGCAGTGAAACCTCCGGAGAGAACCTAATTTAAAAGTGCTCCTCGGTGTCGTAGACTTGCTTTTTCCAACTTCTTACTTTTATCTGTGTCAACTTTATTGACCATATACACCCGGAGACCCTCAGGGACATTTCATTTCTATGTATGTGTCAATAACCCAGACGCGTGTAGAATAGTTTCTATGAATTTAATGAAGCGCAGAAAAAATCATTCAGGAAGATTACTTCAAAATTGATCCTTTTCGTTTATCTTAACTTTCTCCTAAACTTTGAAAGAATTACCTTAACTTCCATTTTAAGTAAATCATTTTTTAGCGCTTCATATGTATCGTGTGTTTGCTTACTTTGGAAATTGTGTAATCTCATCAAAGCTGAATGTCCTATCACGCAATATCGCGTGCTTGATCCACAATTTTGCGGTCACTATTATTTAGCAACAAATGTATTGTTAAGAAAATAAGTATAAAAATATTTAATTAATAGTTGAACTAGGAGCTAATTGATATTGACAATTCCATTAATCGTGTACATGTTAATTTTCTGTTCGATTAAGATTTCATTACTTTCAATAGAATCATTTCATTTCATTTTCTTCATAGATATTTTAAGACAACTCGTTTTAAACGAGTAATTTATCGAGGTATTGCAAGTTAATAAGAGAATGTCCACAGAAGGTCGTTCTTTCGTTGCACCCACGTTTGCAGTAATTTTCTGATACTACTTAATTTGACAACTTTGTTACATGATTCAATTTTAGCAATGTTAAAGATAATTTTTTCTACACTGTCTGTTCGAAATAATAAAAAGCGTGGAGAAGCGAATGATACGGATGAAAGAAACTCGTTATGTTTTTTTTTTGTTTTTTTCATCCTTGCTTTAGGCTCTTCTCAAACAAGTTTATTAATATGGAAAACGTATGCTACGAATAATATAATAAACGCGTTTGGAAAAAGAAGAGCAAGAGATACTTGTTAATTTTACTACTATTTCAACCATATTTCTAGAAATCAAACAAATGTTTCTAAATTAACTCATGAAAGCCACATAATTAAACTAACGGAACCTTCTTGCATTCCCAATAAGCGTATAAAATATTCGCAGAATCTCCAAGAATCAAATTTATTCCAAAAACCACACATTTTTCCTAAACCTATACTTCGGAGAATTCTCCTTCACCGATTCGTGAAACACATTAGCGAAACAGTCGTACGTTCCCAAGGAATGTGTCTCCAGAGAATCTTTCCAGCTTGAAATATTTTCGGCGCAAAGTTTCTCTATCGTCGAAAGATCACCAGGCGGTTACACTTTGATCTTCTCTTTCATCGAGGCAACGACAGAAATGAACGGATTATCCACGGTTTTCCTACCTGCGACGATCAAGAAGGCGTAAAGCAACACACGATTTCTTCTTCTTAACATCATCATTCTTCTTGTTGGTTTCCACCAAGTGTGTAATTAAAGTTAAATTAGTTCTTTCTCTCGCGAATTTCACAACACTCGTTTCTTCAGGTGCGTGGTACCACGGAGATTTGTCATCGGCGGAGAAGCTACTCTTACAGCACTGCGAACCGGGGTTCGTCAGCAATACCTTCTGCCATGGTTACATGGGAACCAGACGGTAGGAACCGTTCTTAGCTCATTGGCTGACCACTTTCTACCACCGTTAGTGATGGCCTCAAGTACTTCGCAAGTCATGGGATCAGGTGCAACAAGTACGCTGTCGAACACGCTAGCATTCCTTAGGGAAAAGGAGGGATTTTAGGAGATACGCGTCATAATAACATTTTTTATTGCAATAAAGAATAAATAGTAAAACCTGACCTTTTATTCTGATAAACGATTAAAAAATTCAGAGTTCAGTTTTAGTTATTCGAGGCCCCCTCTGTACTTTCTTTTTCGGTTTTTTCTTCTTTTTTTTATCTTCGTCTGCGTCCTGGGAGCCGGTAGATTTCCAATAAGGATTCACGTATCCCGGTTCACGTTCGATTATGTTCAACTCTTGAGCTGCTAAATGAACTACAGTAAGCGTTTCCGCGTCTAATAAATGTTTCGTTCGATTTGTAAAATTTAAGGACCAGTTTATGACTGGATTCCATTCCTTTTGCGTTTTTAGTATGCGATGCGTAATGTCTGGGAAACGGAGAAGAATGTCTCCGAATAACGCTGTATTCTCTAACGTGGTGGATATTGCTGAAAAAATATATGTCTTTTAAAATTTGTTCATTCATTTTTTAAATAGCATAGAAATAAAATTACCGCTTTGTATAGTAACGTTTTTGGGCAACGATCTGTCGTCTGGATTAAAACCTATGCTCTCGATCAACGTTTTGCTTGCTTCCACGACATCGATCATCTTTGTACCAAGAATCATTATCATTTTGTATAAACGTTCATAGCTGTCTATATTTTGAAGACGTTTTATAGCTTCTGCGTGCTCTTTACGTTGATGCGTGAACGATTTTCTGACTGCATAGTCGATATAGGAAAATATATTTAATAATAAAGAAAAATGGTAATACTATAACTGAATGAAGTGTCATTTAATATATGTTACCTCTACAGTAATTGTCTCGCGTTATATCGCAACACTATATTGCCACGATATTGCAATAAGTTATATCACTAAGATACTTTGTATTGACAGTCACTAGATATATGACATATATTCCCATTCATGCAACTTTTCTTCCATATTAGAAAGATAGTAGAACGGCGATATAACGCGAAACAACTATATACTAAATAACTTGAGATTCCATGAAACGTATGAGAACATATATCGAGGTAAGAATATAGTAAACATGATCTTAATATGCTGTAAATCTTTATAGCTATATTATTTTGATCTGTACTAGTTAAATTATGTTCAATGGATACACAATTCTTCGTAGACCGTAATTTCAGATGAACCACCATTTTGCGGCTTTTCGGTGATTGGTGTATTATCCTCTATGGCCGAAGAAACTTGTTGCACATGCGTAATACGTGTCAACGCTGACACGACTGCAATGTAAATAATGAAGCGTGGCATGTTACCGATTGTGGAAGTAATGACGATAATTATATATTAATGTAAAGAATATTTATCGAATGTCGATCCTATTCACGTTCTTTTACAGATATTTCTACTTTCAATCGATAATTAGTTAATGAAATTTAGCCGCAAGTTTATAACCGTGATTATACGATCACTACTGCCATCTATCAACTTTTTGCATCTAATGTGTCAACTTGCACTGTTGATTTTCACGAAACTAATTAGGAGATTTATTGTCACCTTGTAATCGTACGATGACTATGAACAACAGATAATGTTCTTATGGTGTTATATTTTTAGTGACGTTATTCGAGAGGAATATTAAAGTACACAAGATTACAAACGTGTAATAGGAAATTAACGTCAACACAAACATGGCAGAAGCGGAAGATGCGAAACTTGATGTAAATATGTTATAAATTTTCAAATATTCTCTATTATTTTTAGCTATATTATAAGTATTTACATATGTGTAATTTCAAATTAATGTTAAGTTGTGTTATACATAAATTTAATATATGATTCTTTATAAGTTTAAAGTTACGATGGAATATGCTGATCCTCAAAATATTGAGGGTGAGATGACAGTAGGACCCAAACAAAAAGCAAATCTTGGAGAACCTGACTTTAATACTTTAGATGAACCAATCAGAGATACAATTGTAAGTTGATAAAATTTGTAGTACTTATAATATCGAATGATTTGTATTTTTATTTCTACATTGCAGCTTAGGGATGTTCGTGCAGTAGGCAAAAAGTTTTATCTTGTTTTTGCTCTGAATGATACAAAGGGTTTATTGAAAGAATGTAAGTAAATATATTTTGAATGATGTATTTATATAAAGTGTTCACTGGTTTTTTATAAAAATATATTTTAAATTTCAGGGGATCTTTGGGGACCATTAGTATTATGTACATTCATGGCAATGTATGTTTATTATAATTTATGATTTTTTTAATTTCATGTTATCAACCACTTATATTATTATTTTAGGGCATTACAAGGTTCTTCTGATAAAGCAAACAATTCAAATGAGGGGGGACCAGAATTTGCACAGGTTTTTGTGATCGTTTGGATTGGATCTATGATCGTTACATTAAATTCCAAATTGCTGGGTGGCAATATGTAAGCATACAGGAAGATATTCAATTTCTTTTGTTTTGACATTAATAAGTGTTATAAACTATTGTACAATTTTTATGTCTTATAGATCTTTCTTCCAAAGCATTTGTGTCTTAGGATACTGTTTGTTACCAACCGCCATTGCTTTAATTATTTGTAGAATTTTATTGATGGTGGAACAAACTACTGATTTATTTAGTCTAAGGTTTTATATCACTATGCTGGGATTCGTATGGGCTGCATATGGTTAGTATGAATTTAATATACACTATATTATAAATAAGTTTTTTGTTCTATTACAAATATGATTATATAATATTTTATTGTAGCATCAATGGCGTTTCTTGATGATAGCCAACCATATGGGAGAAAAGCTTTAGCTGTCTATCCAATATTTTTATTCTATTTTGTCATTTCATGGTTGGTTTTATCTCGTACTAGATAAAATAAAGTATAACTCAATCATAATGCCGGACTGTACATTATTCCATATTTATGCACAATGTAACAAAGAAACTGAAAGGTAAGCAGAGCATTGCTTGCAGTGTACTTTAAAACTTTTTTTAATATAAACATACGTCTTGGACTAAGTATTTCATAGACAAAAGTATATTGCTGTATGTGCATATATCTTTAGAAACTTACCAGTTTAAATGTCAATTAATTAATCTTATACAAAACGTGTTAATATTAATATAAATAAATAATATTTAAGTACTATTACTAAATTGTAATGTATTTACACAAAATCGCGATAAAAATAATTAAATAATGTGATATAGAAAATAGTTATTTAAATGGTTTAAGATTGTAATCATTCCATTTATATAATTTTCCACGATGCATTTTCTATTTTTTTCATATATGTTTTAGTAACATTAGTACTATAATTGAAAATATAGATTAATAAAAGAAATAATTTATGAAATCCTTTTTCTAAAAAAAATTATATATATGAAAAATATCTTTCTAATTTATTAAAAAGTGTTTTACTATCACAGTGACCAGGATATGCACTTAAAGATTTTTGTATGGCAATGTAACTTGTTTGTAGATCTCCAACCTGCAATATATGGGAATACCGTAAAATATTGGATTATGTAATAAATACAGAATATATACATATACTGCAGTATGGTACAACCTCATAAGCTAAATAGGCACTGTTGAAATGAGGTTCATAAATAAAATTGGCAATATTAGCGGCAGCATGAAAATATGTTTTTGCTGCCGTTATATTTCCATTTCGAATTTGTATAACTCCAAGATTATTATATGCTAAAGCATGTCTATTGTCACATACAATAGCTAATTTTAAACATTCTTCTGCCATCACCATATCACCTATACTCTGAAAAGAGTATTTAAAAATTTTTATTTAAAATTATCAATCATTATTATTACAAATGAAATTGAAAAATCATACGTACAAGTGCAATATGAGAAATGTTGTACCACACATCTGCTATATTTTCATCAGTAGAAAGACTAAGTGCTCTTTCAAAACAAGATACAACATGATCATATTGTTGTGCATAAAAACAGCATAATCCAAGGTTATTAAATAATTCAGTGTTATATACACCCATTTGTAACAACCGCCTATTCAAGTTAATAAGATAAAAATAAGTCTTAAACCAATTTTGATTGATATATTTGTCTGCATGTTTACCTATAATAACGTAGTGCTAGTTCTGGTTGATCACTATAAAAATGATGCATTCCGATACTGGCTATCGCTTCTGTATGCGAAGCATCTTCTTGTACAATGATTTTGTAATACTTTAATGACATACTCATATTATTTAAACCATCAAATATGCGTCCCATTTCGGTAAGAATATTTACATCATTAGGAAAATATTCGAGACCCTTCTTACATGTCTCTAAGGCAGCTAATGGTTGATCAAGTTTAATATAAACTCTAACTAGCCTTAGAGTTGTTTCGATGGTTTTACAGTCTTTTAGGGCTGACTTGAACTGTTGTTCTGCATCTCTTACTAAGCCTAAACTATAATAACATTTTCCCAGTTGTACTTTCCACCACCAGTCTTTGTACTGACAGACTTGCGTTGCTTGAACTGCTAAATCTAATGCCTGTGTGCAATATAATAATTGATAGAATCGTAACATCTGCCTTATTAATTTGACTAGTAATTGAGAATATTAAATAACTTACGTATCTTACATCATGTTCATGATAATAAATATACTCAAAAAGTGGTTTTGCAATACTAGGTTGACTAGCATATTTAGAAATATTTAAACGTGATAATTGTATAAAAGGTCCTCCAGGTTCTGTTAACATAGATGCTGTACCCAATCTATACATACATATATGTACCAATTTTGAATATAAGTGTAAAAAAAATTGTATTATTTGGACCAGGTAATATGATACAAAGTAATGAGTATACCTAACATTACGACTAGAACTTGCAGTAATTGGTCTGGCTGTCATAGCAGTTCTTGGTGTCCTTAATGTTTGTTCAAGTGAGTGAGATGTTGCAGCTTGTGTAGCTGGTCGTATGACTCCCGTGACTGGTCGACCTTTAAAATATATTATGTTTCTAAATTTATATCCTAATGTTTCAGTTCATTCTATTTATTAGAAATTTGTAGAAGTAAACCTGATTGTGTTTTGGGTCGAAGATACTGTCCTGCATAGGAGGTAGCAGGTTGTTTCAAAGATGTTCCTGGTCTAGGCATGGATGATATTGTATAATTATCTAGTAAAGTTTCAGCAATACCTTCTTCCTCGCCTTCTATATCATCTACATATACTTGTAAAGTTAAAGCACGCATTTTTAATACCCAAATAGCCTATAATTGAAAATTTTGTATTAGAAAATTAGGTAGATCATTACTATTGATGTAAGTTAATAATAAATACATTTTTACCTGATCAAGTGGACTTTTTCTTAATAAATTTGTACATATTGTTGCACACTCTTCATACTTCCCTCTATTAAATAAACTTAAAGCTTTAAAAAACTCCATAATTCAATAGAAAATTTGATTGAAACTGATTAGAAAAATTAAATAAATAATAGGGAGAAAGTAAAATGCTTAATAAAACGTGTTCTTGTATCTACATACACTTGTGAATATAAACGAATTTTCCATGCAAGATATTGATTATTTTGCTTACAACTTTCTATACATAAAAGGAGAGATCAATATGCTATTTCATATCTTTTAACAAATATGCATCAAATTATAATAAAATCAAGTAATATGGAATTATTATTCTCAAAATGTATTTTGCATACTTCAAAAATATGCATATATTTACAATATTTAATAAATCTTGAAGATTTTTAATATACAAAATTATACAAAACACTATCACATACTTTTAATAAATCATAACAAAATTCAAGAGATTATCATCTCACATGATAAATGTGTATTTTTTATAACTATTTTTTATATTATTTATATTTAAACTGTACATGAAAAGTAATTAATAATCTAATTAGTACTTGTATAAAATTTCAAATAATGGAAAATTTTGAGAGTAGCCTCAGGTTGGTGAATGTTTAAACATGTTCTAAATTAATAAATTAATTATATACATTCTGATTTAGCATTGCACAAGCTTTTCATGATTTTTTACAAAAGAAAAGTATTGAGGAACAATGTACAGAAGAACTTTTAATTCGTTTACACGAAGCATTTCTGGTATATTAAGAAAAATCAAATATTTTTGAAAAATTAATGTGAAGAAATATGAACAAATTTAATTTTTTCCATTGTACCATAATACAGATTTCAGAAAATGAAGAAATGGATAGTGTTCAATTATTTGATGCTTTTGAAAATATATTACATATTCAAATGCCCAACCATGAATTTGAAGTGTTATTTAAAAAGGTTAAAATATGCATTCAATATCCTAATTAATTGCTGCTTTATTTGATATAATTAATTCAATATTGTATTATTTGGTGTTATTAGATGAACTTAAAAAGAGATGGAACTGTTACATGGGATGAATTTATTTCTTATTTGTTAGTAGAGTTTCAAAAGAAAGATGCTGCTTTACAATGGAAAATATTAAAACTTCCTATAACAGGAATTCCTCAACTTTTAAAGTCCCGACATCGTACATCCATATATAAAATAGTTTTTTGTCCTGAAGTTTTATCTGTACAAAAATATTTTATTCAAAATACATAAGAAATTTGAAATATGATTTAAACTTTATTCATTAAATTTACATTTGATGAAATAATATATATTGTACTTTATTAAATTGAGAAATTTACATTGAGAAAATAAAGTTTAAATCATGTACATCAGCAGTTTTCATAATACTTATTAATTTAGATTGTTATTAACTGTATCTGTTCATAGTTAGGATAGAACTGCAAGTTTCCATAGAGGATGTTATTTAACAATAACTAGAGAAGGAATTATCAATTATTGGTCATTAGATTTAGAATATGAGCGTACTGTGCAATCTGTGAATCGTTAGTATTTTAATTTTTTAATCCTTATATATCTCTACTTCTTTTGAAACTTTATCTTTGCAGCATATTTGAAAGTGCAGTCAACTTTAATAACTGACATGATAGTAATGCCTGATGTGCAAATAGTATGCACAAGCTCAACTGAATATGATTTAAGATTTTATGATACTGTAGCTAAAAAATTTGACCTTCGGATATTGGTTTGTTACATTTTTAATAAATATTAATTTTTATTAAACATTGTATTTACTTTTTACTTCATATTTAGATATCAAGCTTAGATAATGCAGTTACATGCATGGCTTACCATTTTAGTAAAAATATCAAAGAAGATTCTCATATTATATGTGGAGACATGAGTGGATCTATCAAAATTATATCTTTTAATCCAGCAGAAAGGGGTCCATTTAAACAAGATCCTCAATGCCATACTTTATTTGTTCGTTATGAATCTGTGCTGAAGGCAAATACTTTATTTTGGATATTATTACTATCATTTTGTTTATTAATTGTTAAATGTTCATTATAGGGTGAAGTAAAAGGATTAAAGATTACAGAATTTAAGAACAAACATACAGATTGGGTAAAACAAGTAGCCTATTATGAAAGTATAAGATCTTTTATGTCTAGCAGTAGATGTTGCAGTTGTTCTCTTTTAGTCAGTGATCTCACAGGAACAAGGATTCCATATAAATTTAAAGTTAATATGGGAATATCTTGTTTTACTTTGTGCGAAGGTATCATTTATTGAATAATTTTATATTTTAATACACATTAATTATTTAAAAAAAAAGTCATTAATATTTAGAAAGTCAGTTATTAATAACTGGTGGACCAGATTGCATAGTTCGAGTTTGGAACCCTTTTGTAACAAAAAGGCCAAACTGCAAATTCCATGGTCATCATACAGCTATTTGTGCATTGATAGTTCAAAATGCTGGTAAACGTATATATTCTCTTTCAAAAGACAAATGCATCAAAGTATGGGATGTCCTCGCCCAAAGTTGTATTCAGGTTTTACTAATAATTTATGTACATTATTGATTGTTCCTATTATAAATGTAATCTCTAAAATCCTTTTCTTATTTCACATAGACATACAATGGTCTTCCCAGCGAATTGGGTGAACATACTTCAATGACTATAGTCTACAATACATTAAATCACAAAATGATTGTTGCTAGTTCAATGATAGCAATTATCGTTTGTGATCCTGTGATAAATGAAGAAACATCAGATGGCTTTACACATACAAAATCTGTTAGCTGTGTTTTATATAATCATCTATATAAAGTGGTATTACTTTCAAATGCCTAACACAATGAAATAATTAAAAATTTAATTGAGTAAACTCAATAATATCTAAAGATTTCAATGTCATAAAACATCTGATTCATTTCTTCATAAACTTAGGTAGTTACTACTGGATATGATTCTTGTATAATAGTTTGGGATCCATGGCTTGGAAATCGCTTATATTTGGTAACACATGCCCACAGTAGATTCTTATATGGTCAACATCATGATATTGAAATTACTGCTGCTTGTTTCGACGAGTCTGAACAACTACTAGTAACAGGTACTCGTGATGGAACATTGAAGATATGGAATTTTAACACTGGTACTTGCTTAAGAAACATGGCAATTGAAAATCAGTGGTATATGTCTATTGTTATATGTTTCACTATATCCATTGTTACAAAAAATGGAAGTAAATGTTCATAGTTTGTTATACACTTTCTACATTTTTAATGTAGTGAAGTAACAAGTTTAGTTTGGATAGAAAATCGAATTTTATGTAGTGGATGGAACCGTCAAGTTGTAGAATTTGCAACTTCTGATACAGATGTGTATAAAAAAAGTTGGGGACTAATACACACTGATGATATTCTTTGCTCAGCTGTTTGGTATCCTCAAGTATTAGCTACAGCTACTTACAATGGAGAAATAATACTTTGGAGATTAGAAACAGGTCAACCATACAGGAAATATAAAGTAGATGATCCAATGTCAAGGTGAAATTATAATAATGTTAATAATATAATGTGCAAAAGTAATTGAAAATAATTAATATCATGTAGGTTCAGTATAAGATTTGACACGACTGAACAAGTGATTCAATTAGAGAAACCAAAAAGAGTTACAACAGAACAGTTTACATACATAAAAAGGTATAATAGTTGTAATCATTATCAGTTACTGAATTACACTACATGTTTAATCATTCATGTATAGTAAACATAATGTATCAAAACATCAAGAATCGGCATTAAGTATTATAGGAACTGTTTCTGTTCGAGCTATGATATTTTTATGTGCACGATCAGTTGGACCTGATATTGGAACACTATTAGTTTCTCTTGATTCCGGTTTAGTACAGGTTTGGACTCATCACCCTGGTGGTGGATTTTTACAGGCTTTTTCAGTTATTCACACTTTAGGTGATTGTGCCTTATCATTAGCAACTGATCCCAAAAACCAGTTTCTTGTAACAGGTAAAAGATAAATTGTATTAATTATTTATACAATTAAATTGCTATTATTTGCAATTATTTAGGACACAGTGCTGGATATATTAAAGTCTGGTATCTTGAAAATTATTTGATACCAAATCATTCTAAGATAAGTATGCCTCGTTTAAGATTAGAATTTCCCTTCTTATGGAAAAGAAAAATTAAAGGAAGAGCACAAAGAGCAGTACGAAATCAAACTCTACCACTTTTGCTTTCTTCTGTTCGTGGTCACTTAAAAGCTATTACATCTGTTCAAATAATTCCAGATGCACGTATCATTATTAGGTGATAAAATTTATCGACTTCATTCAATTTGTATTTATAACATAATGAACTTAGAAATACCTATAACCTTTTTTTTACCTTATTTTAAAGTGGAAGTGCAGATCACACAGTACGTTTATGGACACTAGGTGGACGTTACATTTCAACCTTTGGAACTTTCAGACAATGGTCACCTATTTTGCCAACAATGCCAGCATACCAGTATATAAAAAATTACAGATTTCCACCAGATCTTAAAAGATTCGCTAGTTCTACTACCATAAGAGTAATTTAATTATGTCTTCATAATACTTAAATATTCAGATTGTAAAATAGTTTAAGATACGTTAACTTACTAATATAAAAAGGTTCTCGAAGGAGGCACTATCAAAATATCCGAATATAAGGATGATATGTTACATGTTTTGAAAGATATTCCTGAAAAAAAGCAGCCTATGCTAGATGGAACAAGACTAACCATTTCTGTTATGGATAGATCAGTATTGATGATTTTCGCGGATTATCCAGTTTTGGATACTTCTTTACCATATGTAAATATATCTGTATTGTATGTATAGTGGAGTCGAGATTGCACTATAACTATTAATCAAAAATCACTTGATCAAAAACTATCAAATGTAAATATATTTTAAAAAATAATGTTACAGATACCTATATATACACATTTAAAACTAAGACCTTTGGAAATAATTCAAATGCCAAAATCATAATTATATATAAACACAATCAATTATTGTAAGTTACCTGCATTGTGTCAGTTAAATTGTCAAATACTAAATATATATATACCATATTAACTTATCTAAAACAATATTAATAATCTTATAACTAACATTAAAACAAAAATACCATTATAGATACACGGAAGTGTTCATAAATATTATTCCCTTTTGCAAACAAACGCAGTCACGTAAGAAAATACAAATAAAGCATACGATTTGAAAAACCCCAACACGAAAATATCATACTGATGTAAATTAATCGAATTACTTTACTAAATAATATATTATGTATAAAGATAATGACGACACATCAAATTTAATAAAATCCATTTTCGTTTAAAAGTCATGGTAGTATAATTACTTATTAATTATACAACAGTTCTCTTTTCACTGTAATAGATACGATATACATAAGAAAAGAGAAATCGTAAAATTTGATGTATATATGTGATAAGAATATAACATATTTAAAGATTATTTTAACGAAAATAAAAAGATTAAGTCTTACATTCCTTAATATATCAATCGGAATATTTCATTTTAATGCTAATATGATATAACAGTTTATATTATATTACAGGCACTCTTATTGTAAACACGTGGAATTGGCAACAATAAATTCAATAAACTATACCCTCTCAGATCCTATCATTGAAAACCGTGGTGGTGTCCTCCAAATTGCACTAGACGTACGTTTTAATCTACTCTTATCTATACCTTGGAATATTTCCGCCAAATCCGGTGTACATTTTCTACTGCCGAAAAATGCAAAAATTGCCTTATCGGGAATGTATCGTTGCATTGCGAGTTGAGCTTTGCGTACTTGTGCTAGAATGAATGGAAGATCAATTACTTCATGTATCTTATCTTTTTTAGTCTACAGCAGAAAAATTGAATGGATGAAGGCATTTATTAATTTTCATATAAATAAGTAAAATATACTTACGATGTGCCCAATACGGAATTACATGCTTTGGTTTAGATTCATCATCTGATTCATCCTCGTCAGGTTCACTATCCAAAATATAATTTGTTGGGCCGTGATATTTGTGTCCATACTTTGACTGGAACATTAAATTAATACGAATAAATTTAATAGGATACAAGTTATGAGAAACCTATTCATTTATATAGAATAGAAAGATAGCAAGATTGTTTAAAAATACATATGCATATAATCTCACCTGTGTTACAATTTGATTTTTAACTTTCATTGCTTCAGCTGCAGTCTGTTGTTGAGATCTTGCTTCGGCTTCTTTTCGTTTTTCAGCTTCTTGTTCACGACGTCTTTGCTCTGCTAATATACGTTCCGCTTCTTCCTGTTCTTGTAAACGTTGTAAACGTAATTGTTCTTCTTGTCTTCTTTTTTCTTCTTTCTCCTGGAAATTATTTTAAATATTAACAAATCATTCAAATAACTGAACCACCACTTTTAATATTATATATTGGACTCATTTAAAATTATTATACCTGTGCTCGCTGTAATTGAGCTAGACGTTTCTTCTCCATTTCTTCACGCTGTTTCTCCATCATTTGTTGAGCTAAACGTGCTTTTTCTTCCCTTTCCCTTTCAGCTTTTTGTCGTTTCTCCATATCCTGTTTTTCTTTTGCTTCCCTCGCCAATTTATTTTTCAGTTCTTTCTCCTGCCTCTTCCTTCACATAAAATACGTTTTTTATGATGTTAAACAATATGCATCAAGAATTAAATATTGTATTCTTACCTTCTCTTTTCTTCTGTTACAAGTCTTAATGTTTCCTCACGTTTTTTTCTAGCATCATCATCATTTGGTTTCCTCCTTTTATCTTCTGTCTTGTCAGTCGAACTACGGGTATTAACTGGTTTTGAAGATTGGAGGAATGAGTCCATTGATGTAATAATGTTAGTACGTGTAGCGCTTAAAGCCTTTACATGCTACAATTAGAGCAATGATCATTAACATATATGCAAATTTTAATCTATTGCAGTTTATAATATAAAAAATGAAAAAATTATTACATTCGGTTGATTATTTGGAGTTTGTGGAATACGACTAACAGAGGACGGTAATTGAATTTTTGTTTTAGTTAATGGAGTTGTTTTTTGTGGTTTGTAATTCACTTTCTCCAAAAGAGTTTTTGATTTTGCTTGAACTTTGTTCTAAAACAATCATAATATATTTAAAATTAAAAATATAGCACTTAATTTGTTATTAATAAATATGCGAATACTACAGGATTGGTATTTTTCAAGTACCTCTTTGTATTCATCAGTATCCTTAACTTGTTTTGCTAGTGAAATTTTTTTAGCTTTTGCAAGTGATTTTCGCGCTAACTTATGAGCAATTGTTTTCTCTGTGGTTTTTGTATCTTCCGTAATTTCTGCTTGCGCTGCCTGAGCTGCTTGCGCTCGTGTTTTTGTTCTGGTTACTCTAGTTGGAACATCGACGTCAGCAGTGGGTTTTGGACTATTCATACCTACTTGCTCGAATGCTTCAACTCTTTTCTTCACAGATTCCTTAGCATATGGACTGAATAGAGCATTTGATTTATACGTATTCTTTATTTCCTGGAATGCTGGGCCCGCATTCAGTTCCTTTAAAGTTGGTTTCATTGGAGTATTTAGAATCTCATCTTCACTTGACACATTGGATTTCAATATTTTCTTTTGGTATTTTGTATTTTGTCTAGGTTTCTTTATTTCAGGAGATGATTCGTCTTCTGTGAGTAACTCGTCGAACTCCTTATTTACTAAAGCATCTTTTATTTGGTCCAACCTGACCAGCAGGGTTTTTGAGGGAAGCCTAGGTGATTTCGATTTACCATTTGATTGAACTGTTTTCTCCCCTGTACTATTGGATATCTTTTTATTAACTGTAACAGTTTCATTTAACTTTATTGCAGATAAAGGTTCCAAAACTACTGTTGCATTTATCATTTTTTGCAGAGTATAAGTAGAATTGAAATTCATAGTGGAATTCATTATAGGCATAGGTTTTTCAATTGCATCCTCATACATTGATGGTTCTTCAATTTCATTTGTTGTAGGTGCAATAACTGTGTCATCAGCAATATCAGATTTTTTACTCTTCTGGTTCTGAGTCTGAGAGAAAGTTCTCTTTCTACTACTACTTCGTGTTGTCATTGAAGATCTTTTGGATGATTCAATATTTTCCTGTTTAACTCTATTTTCTGTTTGGATTGTGTTTTCTTCTGTAGAAGGATTCTTTTCTACATTTGTATTTACTACTTTTTCTGGAACACTTTCTACTAGAATTGTTTCTTCTACTTTAGTAATTTTTGCAGGAGCTTTCGTACTTTCTTCATCCGAACTGCTTACAGTAGATTTCTTTCTCTTGGCTCGGCTTTCACGCTTTTTCTAGGAATTAAAAGAAATATTACAAATAATACATAAATGATAAACCTGTACATGTATAAAGATTAGTTTCATATACTTAACAAACTATTTATAATACAAACCTTTTTTACATCATTATTATCAAAAATTGAAGATGGTCTTCGTAGTTTTGAACTAAGAGACATTGATTGCTGCTTCTTAATATTATCTGCTGCTTTTTTTGAAGCTACTCGCTTTGTTCGACCATGCATTAATTCTTCTGCATGTTCTACATGTGAATCTTTATTTTCTCCTTTTATGTCTGTTGTAGTAAAATCTGATGTTACATTAGTAATATCAATAATTTCATTTTCTGGTATGGTTTCAATACGTTGCATTCCCCTTTTCCTTAACACCTTCGGAGTTTTTGCAATCAGAGGACCAGATGTTGATTGTGGTATTTGAGCAATTAAAGCACGTAAATAATCCAAGGTTTCGTCAAGATTGTCATTAATAGATTTTTTAACTTCCATGCAACGATTATGAATATCTGAAATATCTTTACTAATCATTGCTTTAATTCTGTCCTTTGATCTGGTCCCCATTTTTAAGAACTGCAACTAATTACAAAAATATATAATACAAATTAATTTATTCACTAAATTTTTATATATCATTATAGCAGTTATAATACAAAATTGATAGAAAAATATACATTACTTTAAAAGTAAATATATATAAAATATTCTTTGTAATTGAGATATTTTCAGAAACATAAATAAGCAAGTATAAAATATATTTATTAACCATGAATGATATTACAAGAAAAGGATAACATTTTATTACATACTTTTATATTAGCATTTACAATAGTATCAATGCCAATAGTGTTCAAAACATTTAGATATAACAAAATTAAACAATTATCATAATACAGTGCCAAGAAATAAAGAATATATTATAATAAAAAGGAAATTATTTATGCAAAAATTAGCTTACCTTCTGTATTTGCTCACAAATTGTTAAAATATAAAATACAAAATTTCGCGAAAAAAGTTAATATCCCCCAGTGACACTGTACATAAAAGAAAAGAAAACTTCAACGACAATCTCCATTTCGTGTCGCAGACAGGAAGATGCAAGTTTTACCCCTCATGTAGTACAGCATAACGACTTTTCAGTTTAATTTGAATCATTACAGAAAGCGCCATCTATTCTCCCGGGCGCGCCATTTCTTTCTTTTGTTTAAATTATATTTGCCATATCCCAGTTGGTCAAACGCAATATATTAAGATAGTTTATCTATACAAATTCATAATGATGTATTATTTTAAAGTAATTTTTATACTGCGACGCGCTGTAAATTTTATTCATTGTAAATTTGGCGCGTTCTATACTCAAGTGTAAAACTGGTTTTTCTAGGGAAAATGGCAGCCAAGGAAAAGGGAACTTTTACCTGCTATAGTACGTATCATACCTAATTGGCAGAAATCGATAAATAAGTTCTCTCAGATCAATGCTTACTTTTAAAAAGAAGCTGGATCATTTTATAACAAACACAGTGTTGTGCTATGAAGTAATTAATTTAAAGATTGAAAGTATTTCGAAAATCTCACTTTTACATACTTTTTAAAATTTATATTTGCGCACGCTCTCTCTGAATTTTGTAGAAAATTATACGTATCGGTAATTTAGCAGCAATCGCCAACAGTTATCGACGTATCCGACTGTATACTGCCATTCCAAGTTTCGGTAAGGAAAAATTCTAAAATTATCATATTAATTTAGACCGATTTTATATCACAGTGTCCTTCTATTTGTTATTTAAAATAATAAAAGTAATACAACTTTGAGTTTTTTAAATTTCGCTACGAAAAAACTCTTACAAAATAATTTTAGAAAAGTTGTGACATGCCAATGTATTGCAATTCCAATAGATACGATAAAAATTTAATAAACATTATTTTGTAACATATCCACACGGAAAAGTTTTAAAAATGATAAATTTTAACTAATACAATAGTAGTTTAATAAATAAACAATTGAAAAAATTAATAATTATAACATAGTAAATTATAATATAATGCTTAATAATAATTTTGTAACACATCAGTATGAAAAAGTTACGAAAACAACAAATTTAAACATTTATAACTATTAATTTGTTAATTAATAATTGTAAAATTAAAAATTATTGCAAAATAATTAGTATTATACAATTGCAATGTTCAATTCAGGTAGTCGCACCTTATTGGTGCATTATGTGATGAAATTATTGGTCGTCGCAAATTACCAATCGCCGCACTTGAGAAAGGTCATGTGTCTATCAGTCTTGCTGTAGCTGTCACCGAGGGCGGATGTATCCTGTCAACACTTACCGGTACGAGTCAAAGTCATACTTTACCGATTGAGTCTTCATCTATGTGTTACCTACAGTATTAGTGCAAGTGTTTAGTGTGTTTTATCAAGTGTTTTTTAATAAATATGGGGGTGTATTAATACGATTTATGGTGTGATTTCTCATGTGTCAAAGTGCTTACCGGAGTGTTTTAATTTATAATTGCGCGTGTGTATACGAATGCATTAGTGTGTTTTATAGTGTTATACAAGTGCTTTTTAATTATTTTTTAAATATTTTACTGGGTTTTATGGTGTTATTACTTACGTGTTTTTACAAATTTTTGTGAATATTTAATGAGTTTTATGGCGTGGTTACCTACGTGTTCAGACATGTTTGTGCAAGTGCATTAGTGTAATGTATAGTATAGTTGTACAAGTGCTTGACCGTTATTTTTTAAATATTTTATTGGGTTTTATGGTGTTAATACCTACGCGTTTTTACAAATTTTTGTGAACGTTTAGTATGTTTTATGGTGTAGTTGTAGAAGTGTTTTACCGTTATTTTTTAAATAATTTACTGAGTTTTGTGGTGTTAATACCTACGAATTTTTACAAATTTTTACGAACGTTTAGTATGTTTTACGGCGTAATTGTACAAGTGTTTAACCGTTATTTTTCAAATAATTTACTGGGTTTTGTGGTGTTAATACCTACGCGTTTTTACAAATTTTTGCGAATGTTTAATATGTTTTATGGTGTAGTTGTACAAATGTTTTACCGTTATTTTTCAAATAATTTACTGGGTTTTGTGGTGTTAATACCTACGAATTTTTACAAATTTTTACGAACGTTTAGTATGTTTTACGGCGTAGTTGTACAAGTGTTTTACCGTTATTTTTCAAATAATTTACTGAGTTTTGTGGTGTTAATACCTACGCATTTTTACAAATTCTTGTGAATGTTTAGTATGTTTTACTGTGTAGTTATCTATGTGTTCCGGTATATTTTTGCAAACGTTTTAACATACTATGAAGTAATTACTCAAGTGCTTTGACATACGTTGTCAAATGTTTTACAATATTTCACGATGTTACTATTGACAAACGTTTGCAAATTTATAACCGAATTCTGTACTGTAGTTATTGTACTTTTGCATGTTAATCAAAATGCAAATCGATACACAGTTAATTAATCGTTGTGTTCCTTTTATGATTACAGAAGGCCACTCCAACTTCACGGACAAGCCAAATCCAAATCTAACGAAAGCAGTCAATCAACCAAGTAGCCAAGCAGTCAATCAATCAATCAAGCAGCCAAGCAGTCAATCAACCAAGCAGCCAGTCAATCAGATGAGCCGCCTCTCAGATGCTTTACCAGTAAAACGATCGCAGTGATGCAAGTCAACGATCGGTGAGTCGCATGCTTTACGGTTCCTCCGGTTCCCATCATGTCGTAGGACGAATGGTCCGAAGCGACACGGGAACTGGTTGTATTTTTTATTATTTGAGCGAGCATAGTGACCACGACTGTACGATCGTGTAAAATTCGTACAAACTGTTTATTATATTTATTAGCTCAGGTCAGGGTTTTCTTGTACATCGCGTTTTAACTTAACTT